TGTCCCATAATCACAAGTAGCACATTTAAAATCCTTAAAAACCTTATGTGTTAAAAGATGTCGTTTCAAGTTGCGTCTAACGTTTGTCGCATAATCACAATTAGCACATTTAAAATCCTTAGAAATATTATATGTTAAAAGATGTTGTTTAAAGTTGCTTTTATTATTTGTCACATAATCACAATTAGCACATTTAAAATCCTTAGACACTTTTTGTATTAAAAGATGTTGTTTAAGGTGGCTTTTATCATTTGTCTCAAAATCCTTAGAAACTTTATGTTTTAAAATATGTTGTTTGAAGAGACTTTTATAATTTGTCTCATAATCACAATCAGCACATTTAAAATTCTTAGACCTTTTATGTATTAAAAGATGTTTTTTAAAGAGTTGGTTATCGTTTGTCCCATAACCACAATCAGCACATCTAAAATCCTTAGAAACTCTAGGTTTACGGAAGTTTCGCTCCCAACAATTCGCCCCCAACATTTTGCCCCTCACATTTCGCCCCCAGTATTTCGCCCCCGGGTATGATTCGCCCCCATCAGTTTTGCCCTCGCACAGTTGGCCCCCGGGAAATTTCGCCCCCACGCATTTAGCCCCCGAATGTTTCGCCCCTACTTGTTCCAACTGGCCGTTTACCTCACATAGATAATTAGTCAAGGTTTGGAAATATTATTTCAGGATGCAATTCCAACATGCGGATAACTCCTTAAAAGTATAAAATAATAAATATAATATATAAAGTGATAAATAAAAGTATGTTTACCATACTCTTCCACGAAATTTTAAACGGATAAAACGCTTAACTTTAAGTTTATAACGTATCATTTCTATTGGTTTTACATATCTCGGGGAATGATCATGGATTATGCTTTCTTACCTTCATACCCATAACCAACCTAATATGAACTTAGATATTGAGATTTGGGGGGCGAAACATCCGGGGGTGAAATGTGTGGAGGAGAAACTTCCGAGGGGCGAAAGTTGCAGGGGCGAAAGTACCGGGGGCGAAATGCACCTGGGGGCGAAATGTGAGGGGCGAAATGCGAGGGGCGAAATGTGAGGGGCGAAACGTTGGGGGCGAACCTTCCGGATCCCGAAACTCTATGTCTTAAAACATGTTGTTTAAACAGGTGTTTCTTATTTGTCCCATAATCACAAGTAGCACATTTAAAATCCTTAAAACCTTATGTGTTAAAAGATGCTGCATAAAGTTCCTTTTATAATTAGTTTCATAATCACAATCAGCACATTTAAAATTTTTGAAGCTTTATGTATTAAAAGATGTCGTTTGAAGAGGTTTTCATGATTTGTCCCATAATCACAATTAGCACATTTAAAAACCTTATAAACTTTATGTGTTTCAAGATGTTGTTTAAAGTTGCTCTTATAATTTGTCTCATAAGCACAATCAGCACATTTAAAAGCCTTCGTAACTTTATGTATTATTAAAAGATGTTGTTTAAACCTGCTTTTATCATTTGTCCCATAATCACAATGGGCACATTTAAGATCCTTTATAACTTTATGTATTCGAAAATGTCGTTTGAAGTCGTTTTTATAATTTGTTCCATAATCACAAATAGGACATTTAAAGGCCTTAGAAAATGTTGTGTTAAAAGATGCTGTTTAAAGTTGCTTTTATCATTTGTCCCATAATCACAATCAGCACATTTAAGATCCTTTGTAACTCTATGTACCTACTAGAACATGTCGTTTGAGGTTGTTTTTAAAGTTTGTTCCATAAACACAAATAGCGCATTTAAACACCTTAGAAAATGTATGTGTTAAAAGATGTTGTTTAAAGCTGCTTTATGATTTGTCCCATAGTCACAATCAGCACATTTAAAATCCTTAGACACTTTATGTAATAAAAGATGTCGTTTCAAGTTGAGTCTAACGTTTGTCGCATAATCACAATTAGCGCATTTAAAATCCTTAGAAATTGTATGTGTTAAAAGATGTTGTTTAAAGTTGCTTTGATCATTTCCCCATAATCACAATCAGCACATTTAAATTCCTTAGACACTTTATGTAATAAAAGATGTCGTTTCAAGTTGCGTCCAATGTTTGTCGCATAATCACAATTAGCACATTTAAAATCCTTAGAAATTGTATGTGTTAAAAGATGTTGTTTAAAGTTGCTTTTATCATTTGTCCCACTATCACAATCAGCACAATTAAAATCTTCAGACACTCAGCACAATTAAAATCTTCAGACACTGTTTTACACTGAGTTAAAAGATGCCATTGCAAGTCAGAGTGTTGCTGTACTTCATTATGAAAAGATTTAAAACATGGTGTACTTATGGTAATTTCGTCCTTTATTGTCACTAAAAATTCGTTGCTTACTGAAACGTGTTCCTGAAGAAAGGTCTGGATTTCTTCTTCTCGTTTTGGTTCGATTTTAATGAGTGGTGTGTCATTATCTTCATCCATACCTAACAACAAGAATGTTATAAATATGTGTTAAAAATCTTTTTTGGAATTAAACAATACAGAGCGGGATCCCAGGGCAACCAGACATGAAAGTACACCACGCCTCCAGTATTTAAGATCCTTTGTATAAATAAATGCACAAAAGGCGGCTAAAGACACAAACATTCCTTGAGAGAGGTACGTGCGTAACATATCCTTCGGTGTGCAGACAATATCTCCCTAAAATATCTCTCGAAGATGTATTCAGTCGCTGCTTGAATTTTTGTACGTGCATATCTAAACGGTATCAAACATGTGATTCTGCATTACTGTTAAATCAAGTCAAATGCTAAAACAAAGATTAAAACTCACAAAAATATAAATTGCTGCATACAAAACACAAATACGATATAAAGAAATGCAAAGATTACTACCTGCATTAAATAACAACAAACATTTACGGAGCAACGCGCTCGCAACCGCCATTAACAACAAAATGCCAACGTTTCGTGCTCTCCAGATGGCGCAGACTTTCCCCTCCTAAAAATTGCGTGGTTGCCAACTTTCAAAATTATATGCATCGTCGTAAGTTGTATATACAGGGTGATCACCTCTCAGTACATAACCTTAAAAATTAAAACAAAACGTTTTTCATTTCTTGCAGTTGATGAAAATGACCTGCAGGGGTTGGAACCCATCTTGTACTGATCTTAACCCTCGTCTTAACCCAACCCCAGGTTCGAAGCGAACATGACAGATTTTAGAGCAAAGTGGCAATCGTAGCATCAAAACACAGTTCCCGCTTAAATTTAAAACAAAAGAATGACACATGATCGGATCGTCCAATGAATAACAGGAAGGAGAATATCAACAATATACGTGCGACCGCGATGGCTTTTGCAAATGGCGGACAGTAGTTTCCTGGTCCAGTGGCGTACCTACCTTACAGAAGGATACAATTATAAAGAATTTTACACGAAAACAATCTAAACCCCCATGTGTCTACTCCGCCTATGACTTTTGTTTAACTAACCTCAAACTACATTCCGATAAAAAATTTGTAAATTTACATGTACTATGTAAAAATAATATTGGTATTATTCTGTTTTGGAGCATGTTTGACTCATAAGTTTTTGCAACCGACGTCGCACTCTCTCTCGTATACAACTTGCAGGGATTCTAATAGAACTTGTTACACGAAGGGAACGCTCAAGAACGCTGTACTGCGAGTTCATAATAAACTTATTCTGTTTCGATTCATAATAAACTGCATTAAAAACAGACTGCCATACTTCGGCATAATAAAACCCAAATTATGTTAGATGGGCTGAATTAACCCGTTTAAAATTGTTAGAGGCAGCAGTTATTCATGTATTACTATTATTCATGTTGTGACTTAACAATCGACAGTTATGATAACACACAGTTTGCTTGTGGAGCCCCCAATTATGCTCAGTTTACACATAATGACATTGGTATAAAGCTCAAACCTCCGTAACGACTACCTGTACCTCGTAAACCTGAGATATCGTAGACTTCCACAAGCACATGGACATTAGTTAACAATTAGCATGTTGTAAATTACATATCAGCACAATGTTAGATGGAAAATACCTGCAAGTTGCACAATTCATACAGGTACATATTATTGAACAGATTATTGAACTACATAAAATACTTTACCCGATATCAAAGTGGCTGAATATAACTCAAACACAAACACAACAAAACAAAAACTAAATGAATATCACTAGAATAATACAGAAGAATAATAAATTACTTATTTCCGGTGCCATCAAGTGGCGTAAAGCCAAAACATCTCGCAAAGTTGCAAAAAAATTCAACAGTTGGCAACGGCGGTGGCTGATGTCCCCAGAATCTCCAACTAGTTGACTGGTTGCATCCGACGATGAAATATACAGGGGTCCGTATGAATAAAAATAAGCAAATGCTTATACTTGCAAAATTCAAAGTAAATACTGTAAGTGCTCCTTCGCACTGGGCGACTTAGCAGCGCTTCTAAGCAGAAGGACAGGACGCAGTGCAGCGCTGCTAGACAAACCAGTATAAAGGGGCACTTACGAGTATTTACTTTGAATTTTGCAAGTATAAGCATTTGCTTATTTTTATTCATACGGGCCACTGTATTGGATGGGATATAGACATCTCAATAATAACATATTTCCTTAAAAAACTGAAAGAAATTATTCAAGTATTTTGAAGAAAATTTACTTTTGCAGCCGTAAAAACTGCAATATTGATTACTTTTGGCCATTGTAAATAAACAAAATGGCGGTCTTATGCCACCAACAGCTTAGATCATATATATGATCTAAGACCAACAGTATTTGCAAGGTGCTGCCACTAGAAGTCTATGTGCATCGCGAATAAATGAATAAGTTTAAAGCGTGAAATTCAAAGTTTAAAATCAACTTTTATAAAATAAAATCTGCGGCTACATTAAAGTTAGCTGTGACAAAAGTACTTCAAGCACTTGCAAAAAATAGTTCAATAAATTTAAATAAAAAACCGAAGTTTTGTTTAATAATAGAAACAAATAATAATACATTAAATACATTTGCGTGAGTTTTTCTTAACACAAACCCAATATTTAAATAAAATTGTAGCTGCACTTTTGAAGTTATACACTCATTTATTCCCATAACAAAATTAATGGGACAAACCACAGTTAATCAAATCACAGATCAATTGTTTTATTACAGCAACTAACTGTAAATATGTCTTGTTCATAAATTTCTTAGCAAACTTAAACATCATCAAATAAAGATTCATTAAATACTGTGAAAACAAAAACAAAAAATCACTGCGTAATTAGTACATACTGTTAGGTAGCTAATTAACAAAATAACCTGAGTTATATACATAATGAGTATCAAATTTATCAACTTTTTCTACTTATTTTAGTAAAATACATAACATTAACAAATTAATCACAAATAAAAACACCATCCTCAATTAACAAAGTAATTAAATAATTAACAAAAATCATCTTTAAGCACCGGAAGTTTCAGATTGCAGCTGCTGCTTGCGATGATGATACAAATGTACTCGTAAGCAACTGCGATTGCGCATCGTTTTGCCGCAAACTATGCAATCTAAATTAATGGGATTATTGTCGTGTTTGTCCCGAATGTGCACCTTTAAATTGTAACGGTTTACGAATTTCCGATAGCAGTATGGACAATAAACGTGCCCTTTTGGATCCCCCGAATACAACAACACATCTGAAATTAGAAAGAGAGAATCTTAATATGAGGAACGTTTAAATGTCGAACGTTATTACCTTAATATGTACAAGGTTAGCCAAACACCACCATTTACCAGTGTTAGTATTTTATTGTGAACCCGAAGGTCATAAATCTGGAAAAATTATGTGTAACTAACAATTATACATGTTAATTTATACAAAAAATTATAATCAAGATGGAGTTGCTATCGTAGATAGTACAAAAGTGTTGGTCATCTATGCTATGCGCTTGGGAAAATAACCCTGCAGTCGAATGCTAAGTGTAGTAGTTTCCAAGGGTTTTCTAAAGTGCTCTGTAGATGGACGAGAAAGTTATGCCATTTCCGCTTATAGTCTCGAGGGATCAAATAAGCTTTCCTATCCATTTTGATTTCTGTAAATAAGCTAGACTTCTCCCTAGGTACCATATTTGCTATGATGTACAGTAGTTATGGCTTTATATTATTTTATGGAGTATTTATTTAAGTATTCATTTATACAGTTCCAACTATCCTGTCCGTTTCTGATCTTGTGCCCGCTGCCGGATGGTGCGTAAGCAATAAGTGAAGGAGGGTCCTCTAATTAACTTTTCTTCTGTTTAGTATGTGGATTCTTGTCTACCATTTGTATGTATTATGACACTAGTATCTTGTTTTATTTATTTAACTGCAGTTCACTCGATTACTTGATTTGGGATGTTTCTTTTGCATCTTGTTGTAATACATTTATTTCTTAAAACTGCATTATACCTGGCTTTTCGTTCGGAATATATTTATATCTTATCTTCAAAACTTTGGCTTCATTCAATCCCCTTCTCGATTGTGTCTCACACCCCAACACAAGAGTCACCATAGTATAACCCAATGTAGGAGTCCTATTCCTATCACCCAGTCCCAGGCTTCGAGCCGACTATTACAGAAATTTGAAAGTGGCGCGAAACGTCCGATTTCTACATGAAAGTTTTATGATCGCTAGTAATTTTCCCCAGCGTTGCCAACAGTAAGTATATGGTAAGTCAAAATTGCAGTGCCGGACCGGCGACCTCGAGATCATCTTCATTGAAATTTACATTGCATTCTAGATAAGAGGGTTACACTGGTCACATTTAAAATTTTTGGAAAGTACTACGATAAAATGTGAAGTTTTAAACAATCCTTGCTCTAAGGTGCAATTACATTGACTGCAAATGAAATTTTTACAAGTGTATTTACGTTTACAGCCGTAAACACTGCAATATTGATTACTTTTGGTCATTGTAAATAAACAAAATGGCGGTGGTACACCACCAATTTAATTTACCGACGCCGACGGCTCAGTAATAAAACTGTTCTTATACCCCTTACCTTGCGGAAATTTCACCTCTTATCCCCTCTTCAAATCAGACGCACTGGTTTGATCGAACTTTAATAAATACGCATATGATTTTAGTTGATTGAATTATATTATTAAATACAAAGGTGATCAATCAATTTCCATTTTTCTTTACACTTCCTGGATTGGTTTGGTTCATAAAAATATACAAAACATGAACTGCCTATTTCGTGATAACGTGTTCATGCTAAATTTAATCCTTATTTTACCACATAATGAATTACTGGCCCATTCTCCTGTTTAAAATATACACACACCTCTGAATGGCAAACAAAATTTTAATCCAACCAAATAAATACAAAACCCATCAATGAAACAAAATAGGTTACCAAAATCTTTTGTTTGCATTCGATTATTATCAACAAATACAATACAAATTCTGTTCTACGAAAATAATTCTCATAGGTCGATTCTTTAGGAATATTAAAATTACTCCAAACAAAATTAATATGCAAATTCCTAAAAATAATCGACCACTACTTTATAGAAATCTGTAAATTTTAAAAAAGCAATTATTGGCTATTTGGTGAAAACATATGTAGTTTCATGTACAAGAGTCAACAAAGGTAATTAATACAAATAATTTTCAAGAAACGTTTGCATTTTTTTTACCGTTCAATTCGTGCACGTTCGCTATGAAGCGGTACATGTGTAATGTTGCTATGTTTAACAAAATACAAATTTTTGAAACGGAAAAGTTGCCACCTGTTACACATGTGAGAAAAAGGATTGGGAGGGGGAGGGGGGATCTGTATTACACGATAAATTGTAAATAAATCAAGAAGACAAGTGTAAATTTAATAATACATTTATACAAAACAAAAAACACAGTAACAAAACACTTCTCTAAAATTACACATACGTCTCTCAAGCAGCCAGGTCAACGCAAAACCTTTCGTCTATTAAGTACCACATCTTAACTAAAATCAAATAAATACTTTTGGCACATCTGAATTACCCGCCTCGTTCAGTTTGTAATAATGAAATTTGGCGATATGTTTCCGAAGACTCTCCGAATTTTTATACATTTGGGAGCAAATAGCGCAAGCGAATGGTCCCGCCTTCTCTCCGTGAATGTTTTTCTCGTGCGTTCTTAAATGATCACGTCTCGAAAAACGCTTCTTACATTTTAGACACTTATAGGGGCGTTTCTCGAACCTACCTAAATGTAAAATTTCCATTAAAAACGAAAGGTGAAAGCATGCAATGTGCGGTACTGGCAAATCAATTCTGGCTGTTAGTCAAATTTGCACACGACAACATGTTTGTTAATGTTTCGGAGGTACATGCTTTAAAAATTTCAATTATTAGTAGTGGATGTAGATGCTTTGTCGCTTGCATGGAATCGATTTCTTGGTTACACATTAATTTTATAATCAACCGCTATTCAATGCACCTTCAATTTTGCCATTGTACCATTGCATATTATTGCACACGTCAATAACCAATGAAATACCGAATCACAAACTTAAATTGCCACATAATACTTTCCACAGTCTTTCTCCTAATTAATCAACATTACAAAATTGCTAACGAATAAATGAAGAGTCGACTGCTCACGCACTAATCGACTCTCTTCTCAAATTTGGCCTTTGAGTTTTTAACTGGCGATGTATCGTTATCAGATGCGTCGTGAGACTATTGGCGGTTTTAAACAGTTTGTGGCAAATATCACAGGGCAATTGCTGGGTGGGATAATGAACGTCGAACATGTGTCTTCGAATACTGCTTTTACGCATCAGCTTTCCGCAAGTGGAACATCTGGCTGAAAGTGTGTCATTGTTTAGTAAAGGGCTACAACTAGCGTTGTCAGGACTAAGATTATAAATATAAGCGATCTACTTACCATGCGATAAAACAAACAGCACAAAAAAACACAAGAAAACACTACAGTACAAATGTAGTACAAGGTATGGCATGCAATATTCAAAGTAAAAGCAAAGAGTACTAAAGATAAAGAGACTTGGTACCATTCATATATGCGTTCGCCTCTGATGAAATCATCAAGTATATGTTTTATTACCAACGAAGTACACATTTCTACTGCCAAGTTGAATCAAAATAAAAGAAGTTTAACGCGTGTTGTCCGACTACGGATAAAGAAGCAGTTGTAGTACACAGCGAGGCCTTTTTCTTAATTAAAAGTTTCTACCGTCTGAACAGCCACGGAAAATTTTTTCATAAAATTCAACAAACCAGCTTTTGTCATCCAGTTCAGGGTTATCAAGAACAAATGAAGTTTCCTGAATCGGTAACCGAGTGTTTTTTGTGTCAGTTTTAGTGCGCCTAGTATCGCAAAACTTGTACGATCACTTTAAGATTGCTTATTTTACTTGTCGACCGCCTATGTGCGGGAAAACATATCCAAACAAGCTATTCTTTCTTTCAAGGATTTTGTATTAATTTTTTTATGCGTTTCATTTTTTCTTCAAATTCAACAAACCAGATTTTGTCATCAAGTTCAGGGTTATCAAGAACAAATGAAGTTTCCTGAATCTGCCAGCGAGTGTTTTTTGTGTCAGTTTTAGTGCGCCTAGTATCGCAAACCTTGTACGATCAGTTTAAGATTGCTTATGTTTCTTGTTGACCGCCTGTGTGCGGGAAAGATGTCCAAACAAGCTATTCTTTCTTTCAAGGATTTTGTATTAATTTTGTTATGCGTTTCATTTTTTCATCAAATTCAACAAACCAGATTTTGTCATCCAGTTCAGAGATATCAAGAACAAATGAAGTTTCCTGAATCTGTCAGCGAGTGTTTTTTGTGTCAGTTTTAGTGCGCCTAGTATCGCAAACCTTGTACGACCAGTTTAAGATTGCTTATTTTACTTGTCGACCGCCTGTGTGCGGGAAAACATGTCCAAACAAGCTATTCTTTCTTTCAATGATTTTGTATTAATTTTTTTCATGCGTTTCGGAATACATTTTTTGTTTCCTCAAATCCATTGTACGATCCGGATAGTTTTCCACGTCAGATTTTGTTATTCGTGTCCCAGAGTTAGTTTAGGTGTTAATCACATGTCAATGACATTAGTATTATGTCATGTTTTTCTCAGGTCGTAGATAAGAGTTGCGCTTATTTAATTAATTTTGTAGGTGCGCGCTTTAGATAAGAAAATTTTTGCGTATTTTTTTACCCCAATCCAATACCTCCCTTACTAACGTGCGAGTGATAAAAACTTGCTTGACTATACTCTGCTTGTACTAAGCCATCACAGTTTCTAACACAGTAAAAGCTTCGTGATTTTCAGAACAAACTTCCAGTTTATTCTCTCTGTGAACATTAAGTTCTCTTATTCCGTGCAGGGGCTTAAAGTTTTTCCAACAATCCTGTGCTCAGCTAAATCTCCCACTTATTCATTAAAATGAAGTAATTTCTCATTCCTCAAGTGACAAATATCCGGACTATGTTTACAAATTTTGTATCCTGGGAACTAGCATTTAAAACATATTACAAAATCAAATGTAATTAATTCTATGCCAAGGAAACTGAATATGAAAAAAATAATTTATCCATAGGCGACCTCATGTTTGGCAACAGATATGCAGCATCAACAGTCCACTGCATTAATGCATGCAGGTGAGCAACACAGGTTAATTTCTTTATTTAGAGGGCCCTTGAACCAAATTGGCAACACAGCAGTGTATATAACCTCAAAATCTGCTAAAGAAATCTGTACTTTCATTGGTACTGCACCCTATTGGTTGGTTTCACAATTAAAAGGAACACAAAAATACCCATACAATTTACATTTAGTACTCCTTGGCAAAAGGCACATACCATGATCCTGTGAGCTTGAATCCTGCGTACTCAACACGTTCACATTATTGCATTCCAAAAATTGCTTTATCGCTTCTCTATTCGACGAAACTTCCTCGCCCTCACACGGGTACGGCTCGAAATTCGTATTCTCCATATATTCACCGTCCTCCTCAATTTGTATGGGACTATCGAATCTTTCTTGCTTTTCGATTATTGATGTGCTGGTCTGGTCGGATTTTGAACGTTTCGATTGTCCCGAGATGTTTTGCGAAGTTCGCTTGACACTGTGAGGTTGCGGTGAGGGTGTGTAAGAGATCGGTTCCAAATCTGACGAGGCCATCATCGTATTGAACTGGTGAATATCTTGCTCCATATCGTTATCACATGTTGTATCAGATTTATCGTCCTTCTTCGACGATGTGTCACTCTAAAAACGATTGATCATTTGAAATATACCCTCGTGTTACTCACAGAATCGTCACTCGTTAAACCCTTAACTTGTAACAGCTCGGCCGTTCTTAAAAATGTGGAGAGGTTGTCCCGTAACACGTTCACCTCGCCCAGGTACATGAAAGCTAAAATATCTTTCAAATTCTCGTACGTCACGTCCCTTAAAATAATAACGGGATGTTTGCAAGGATTGATCTTGAATAACTGCTTGAATAAAGGGCTGCAGATCGACAGCACCAATTTATGAGCCTGAAGGAACTGCCCATCGACGGCCAGGGTAACATCGACCATATCATTCGCCTGCATTAAGTCGTGGAAACCAGAAGTTAAATTGGAATGGAAATTATTCCAACGCAATGAGAATTGTTCAGTAGACATCCTAAAAAAGGCACTTTCTTTAAAAAGGTCAAAATTACATATGAAAAAGGCCTTACATGAATTTTGATGGTAAACTATTTGAGGACAATTTTTTAAGCAATTTCACTACGCATTGAGGCTATTGTTATTAACAAAAACTGGAATTTGTGCAAGAATTCTTTACAGGTAAGTGCAGATGCAGGTGTTTTAGTGTTTATTATTATTTTTTTAGGAACATTTTGGGATGTTATGTTTGTTTCTTGTATATTGGTATGGTTGCATCATGGTTGCATTCATGTTTTTACTGAATGGGCGCGTTCATTTACTATCGATGCACTGAGTATTTCTTAAAAAAATCACATCTCATTGCTACATAATACAACCCTCTTTACCTTTTAATCAGTTGCATTTTATTCACCACGGAAATCCCCCTGTCCACCCAATTTGATTAGTCGATGACGTAGTTTTGTAATTATTATAGCAAATTTGTGCAAAAGCAGTTAAGGATTTTAAAGTGGTTTGTCCGTTTTATGGGGAAAGTGTCAAATTTTAAAAAGCAAGCAGTTAGTGCACAGGGAGGCTTTCTGTTAAGGTTCTTTTGTTATTAAAGTTGGTACCGTCTGAACAGCCACCGGCAATTCGTCGTATTATTTTTCAAGTTAATGTTTGTTTATTCATGAAAATTTATGCGTTCAAGAAGAGCGCAGTTCCGAAGCTGTCAGCGCTTGTACGTGGAGTTAAGTGCGCTTTGTACGACCAGATTGTTAGAATTATTGTTAAAAGAAAAAACACTGTAGTAATTTTAAGATTTTTTATTTCATTTGTCGAACGCCTGCATGCGGGGTATTTTCTTTAAACAAACTCTGTAAGCCCTTTTTTCTTTTAGGAATAGATTTACCACTTGCTATCTGTTTATGCTCAAGGTCCATCTGATTTCTTAATGGTTTCGCGCTATTTGAATCCATCTGCTGCTTCTAGTTCTTCGGGATCACCTTATTCTTCTATTTTTGGGATTCTTGCGAATCATTAGTTTCTTTGCAGGGTCTTTTAGTCTCAAAAATAAAAATCGAAACCAAAAACTGCAGTATAGAGGTGGAGACAGAAAACTGGCGAAAACCTAGAGACGAAAAATTGCAGAAGAAAAATGGAGATAAAGCACTGAAAGCAGAACATAATATATAATTCGTGTTGTTATACTGTACTTAACACATGTCAAGGATTAATTTGAAAAGAGAAAATTAGAGACTTATAGATAATGAACCAAGACTAGATAAAACAGGAAACTAGAAACCGCAAAATGAAAACACGAAACTTAATTCTAGAGGGTGAAACTAGACATTAGCAAACTGGAAATTGGAAACTGGAAATCGGAAATTGGAAGCGAAATTGGAAACTGGAAATTGGAAACCGGAAACAGAGAACCGGAAATCGGGAACCGGAAAATGGAAACCTGAAATTGGAAACTGGAAATAGGAAACTGGAAATTGGAAACTGGAAATTGGAAAGTGGAAATTGGAAACTGGAAATTGCGGGAGCTGGACAGAGGAAAATAGGAACGGGCAACTTTATATCAGAGATCGGAAGACCTGCAAACGGAAACTAAAAACAGGAGACGAGTCAAATTGATGCGAAAGGTAGGTCGGCGACATCTGGGCGCCATCTCCGAGCGTGTTATAATGACGTGGTGATTTTTCCGTTTTCTTCTGTCTTTTTCTACAGTTTTGATCCGGTTGTTTTCAAATTGGTGCCGTCGAACAGATCAGAAAGATTTTGGAATGCCAATTGCGGGTGAACGGGACGTCGGAAGTGGGTACCGCCAAAGGGAATGGGGTAGCTCCGGACATGATCTTACTTATGGTGGAGTCAACATTAGTTAATAGAATATTGATTTACCACACAAAAATGCGCCGAAGTCTCTTCGATCTCACACGAGGGTTTTGATAATATTTTAAAAACATACTATATTATCTTTACTAGATAGCATTGCGCAAAGATTATATGGAAGAAAGCGTTTAATGACTGAATGGGAAAACATAGCCATTGGTTACTTGATTTTTAAAATACAAAATTGCAATGTTCACCAGTTACAAAAATAGCGCAATTTTGAACATTCAAAAACTAAGAGTGAACGGAAGCATCAATGTTCAAAAACTTAATTAGTGGCCCCCTTTTACTTTCCGCTACCATTCGTGCTGCGTGCTTAACGTTTATTTGGTACCTATCACTTAATCTGGAAACTGTTAAAAACTTTGTTAATACCACATCAGTGACTCATCCCTTATCATTTGGACACAGGAAGACCTGATAATAGTAATAACTATCACGTATTTTCCTAGTTACATATGAAAAGTTACTCGTGTGTGCAAGTTTATGGCAATGGGTTGGTTTGATTATGGTCGCATCGAAGGTCTTCCTTCCCAGTATCCACCCCATAAAACACCCGTTACAGTAGATGTCTTAGAAGCGGGTTTTATCTGCGCTTTTCTCATACTCGCGATTTGTTGCTATGTGTCCCTGGCAACTCCCCGTCTTAAACACGTAAGTTTTTCAACCCCCTTTAATTGCATAATAAATCACAAGCTCTTTCAGTACGGATACCTAGCCATCCGTGTCACTCTTAGCCTTCTGATCGGTTTATTTATTATGCGTAAGTATCTCCCTGGCTAACGCATAATATGGTTAACAGAAAATCTTCCAGTTGCGAATTTCGGACAAGAATGGGAGGTGAGCCATATTAGAACGAAAACACCGTACAGGGTGGGAACTGGACATGAGATCGATGCGGAAATCGGTGTCAAAATTGGTCTTCGGTCCGTGAATGTGACTCTAAAAAGTGAACCCGATGGACCTTTAGCTCACGAAATAATCAATTATAACGAGAGGTTCGAGTGGACTTGGGATCAAGGAAACTTTGGATTTGGACCGTTTGGTGGGTATTATCTGGTTTCTTTTACACTCGGAAATTATTGCAATTAATGACACTTTCAAGGTGAGGGTCAGATAGATTTTAGCCCGAGGTTGACATATAAATTTACATTGCTCCCCATAAGCTTTCTTCTATGAAAAGATACCATAAAGGTTCTAAGGGTCTCAAAACATACCTCAAATCAGAGGGTTGAAATATACCTTGTCTTGCAGCTGGTCTTCTACAACGCCAGTTTCGAGCGGCTCAGTATCGAGGTGTGCCCCTACCGATCCTCTGGATAATCGATTATTTCGTAATCGACGGCGAGGGCTATCGCTTCGGGAGGTTCTACCGTACAGCCGGATGGTACACCCATATTCTGATATGGACTGCCTTTCCATGCTGGTTGCTCGCAGTCATACTCTTTAGATCAGTCATCCGTTACGGGGGATACTTCTTATTCTTAACCGGATGTCTATTGATATTGGCTAATATTACATGGTCGGTTGTTAGAAACCCTGCGGATTTGGTTATTCCTTTCGAGGACGCCGAAATTGTTATGAAGTATGGTTTTAGTTATTGGCTGTGTTTGTTCACAGGTAAGAATAAATATATTATTGTTTTATTATTGAGAAAATAATATCGTATGTGTTCAGGTCTCCTGTGCGTTGCATTGTCAATTACCATTATAGTCATTGAAGCGAAGTGGGACACTGCGATCTCAATTTTCTTTGGAATTGATCCTCTAACATGTTTGGATGAGTATATTCTAAGTAAGTACTCAATAATGTATATGGACCTATAGAGTGGATTTCCCATAGGAATTTCCTATGTCTATTTTTACATGATAAAAAGTCTCCTGAAAGACGCCTAATTTTATGTTGATATTTCCAATTGGTATAGTGCCGATAACAGTCAAAGGAGCTTAAGAGATTAATTTTCTGTGAAAATGTGAAGCTCAACGCAATATACAAATTAATATGACAGCCATCTTTATTTGTTTCAAGAAGTTATTTTGGTTGCATAAAATGAGGCGTCTTTCAGGAGACTTTTTATCATGTAGAAGTAGACATAGGAAATTCCTATGTCTAAATCTACATGAATATCACCTGTATTTAGTTGAATAACACACCCTATGATAAATGATGGGTGATTGCAAACCACCTGCCATTTAACAACGTTACTTACTAAATGTCTTGGAATGCTAACAAACAACTCTTTCCAGTTTGGTACTTTGAGCCGAATCAAAATCGTTTTCCTTTTTTTTCGCCTTTTCGCTAAAAAAATAATTTCACGTGTTTCAGCACAAAGTGAGTTGGAACTGTTACGAAAAAAAGATAGCGCGACAAATGACATCCAAATGAACGAGATGCAGCCTTCCACTTCTAAACAGCACATAGATCCCAACGAGTTGCAAACCGTATTCTTAAAGAGAAAGACGAGTATTCATTTTACGGGAGCAATTCAAAGGATTCGCAAAGCGAGCTTGAGGCCGCGCGAGGATCAACAGCCTCTTTACGGGAACATGGAGTAAGTCTAGTTTAATGCTACCTGTTACTATAGGACTTATTTTTCAGGACAATTAAGGAAGAAAGCAGGCGCCGGATGGTGTAAAATGCGTACTATGTGTAAATAATAAAACATTCACATTCATATTGTGTATTATTATGTGTTTCGAACACATAGCAGGATTTTGAATTTAAAATTATTTTAGACCACGGTCTAAGAAAATTATTCACATATTTGAGGTTAAATAAAATTTTGTTTGTTTGGCACCGCCATCTTAAATTTTTTTAAATGCCATTTTACTTTTTTCTCTTCCTACGTTAATCATGAATGGTGATTAGCCTGCGCCAAAATCAAAGGCCAATACTTCTTCCTCATGAAGGACACTTGGAGCAGATGACCAGAAAATTGTTGTAGTCTACTCATTATAAGCTGCAGAGCTAATCATAAACATAATAGGGATATAAAATTAATTTTATTCCAAATGTAGCATAGATTTAAAAACTGAAAAAAAACAATCGCTTCCCATTTAATGTAGCAAAGTGTAAGTCAACATCCAGTAAAACTGTAAGTCGTATAAAACTGAAAATAATTTAGATGAGATGGTTTCATTTAACATTATCCACAACTTTTGAGAAATCTGTACTGCTCATCCATGGACACCCTGTAGGTGAGGATGATGAGGTTTGCAATAGGTGTATATCGAGCTTAGATTAGTAACATAATACATTACATCAAAGCATTTGTTAAACTACTATCACACAATTTAGGAGGACCCTGAACATTTTCCTTACTCCTCAAGTTCAATTCCGTAGTTTTAATTTTCCAATTGTTCTCCAAAAATGGGTCTCTAGCGAGCATAAAAACCTGTTCAAACACACCTACACAAACACTATTCACATGCAAAGTACCGCACGCCAGAACAGCAACCAAACCGTGCGGATCAACACGACCTTGAACGCCGTCGTTCAAGCAGTTTGGATTAAAATACAAATTATGTTCGGTCTTAATTTTAAATAAAGTTTGGCTAATTACGGCCGGACCGTAAACGATCTCTTCTGTGCTATCCCCATTTGGAGACAGTAAGTTAACTTTTAATTTGGAATCGTTCCAAAAATGATCGTGAGCGATTGGCTCCGTTGAATTTAACATGGTGTAAAACCATTCTGTAAATTTTAAGGCTAAAAAGTTCACATCTAATTGGCCAGATTGCTGCCCATTTTGGATCTGAGTCGATTGCTGGACAATAACGTCATTTTGAGTCGATTGGTCATTTTGCAATTGCTGAACTGTTGAACTATGGTATACACTTTGGATTGTAGCTGGTCTCGATTGTGCAGTCTTCTTTGAATTCCAGTGCGAGCAGATAATTCCAATTATTTCGTCTTTAGAAATTGGCATGACCACAGGTATCCGGTTTTGATGTAGGTACGAAAAGAGTAGTTCTCTGGTAACCACTTTTCTCTTCAGGATGCTTTTGAAATCCGGGGAATAGTTTATAATTGCAAGCAAGGCTTCTAAAATAGAATAGTTAAAGTTAGAGTGAAATTGACCCGTACGTACCCTCTCGTGATTGTATTTTATCTTGGAGTAAGCCTCCCGTTACGGTCCTGGTTAATCCCCACAGTTCCTCGTCTCCTAATTGAGATAGGATTTGTTTAATTCCGGATGAATGTTCGTTATCCATTTGTCACATTTTATTTACAATTTCACGAATACCACAAAATATAATAATAAAACTATTTTTTCATAACATAACAACATAACCATTGAATTTATTCAATGACATAACCACATTTCGAATTTGGCTAAAAAAAAAAAACGCTAAAAATGGTTGCGTTCACCAGACGAAAATCTTCATGAGCGCTACCTAAAGGTGGGGATAAGCAAGATTTCTCGCGCGAGTAACGAGTTGCTATCTGATAGCACTTTCGAAGTGCGTATTTTTTAAATAACAGAAAGAAACATCTTCGCTAACAGAAATTCGGATTCCTCGAGTATTTAACGAATATATCAGCATATAGCAATAGGTAAGCGATGTGCTTATTACATTGCCCCAAGGCTTTATTCCATTCTACCGCGCGAAATGAAAAGCATATCTACATCCCGCTTTCAAGAAAAAAGTTTAGGTGTGGATACTGGAACAGGACCGGGTACTATTTGGCAAGATTGTTAATGGAATTGTGTAGTTTAAGTTATTTTTTTATTTTTTTTATTTTTTTTTGTGAAATGAAGTTAGGTTTGATTTATATATTTTTTTTGTAAATGCCCCATATCCATTACAAGTGGTTCAAACTACTTCGGATTTTGGCAATATTTATCTTTCTTAGTCTCATTATGTACTGATTTTTTTTGTATTCTGCTATATATAATATAACAGTAAAAAAAAATATATTATTATTACATATATATAAGTGATTGGCTTTCTGAACTATACCCATTGTTACCTGTTACCAGGGGTAGAACCGGAACCGAAAATAACCGGTACCGGAACCGGAACCGATTGGATTTTAAGCGCTTCACTTAGAACCGGAACCGTTATTTAAGTAAGTTATGATAACCGGAACCGTTATTATTAGTGCCAAGGATCCGGTATTTTTCGGTTCTCCCTCTCTTGTAGGTAGAGTAGGCACGTTACATTAATATTATTCAAGTTACTAATATAGCTAGGTCCAAACGAAAAGCATCTAGAGAATTCTAGAGTCAGCAGATCATACTTTCTTGAAAGTACATGTCTTATCCGCTCTAATTCCTTATCGCCATCGACTTGATGACCAAAAATAAAATCTTGTCTTCTGAACTACTACGTTAAAAGTTGTAGAATTTGCATTTTAAAGTGAGCGAAATTGAATCAAAAACAGTAAGAGGGTTGATAAAGTGTATGAGGAAAGCAATAATTGAAATTGAAACTACTGCTGCTACGAAGAAAATGAAAGCAGAAAAAGACAGGAGGTGAAACAAAATGCGTAAGCTAAAAATAAGTTTCAATTAAACCTAATAAATATATTTATGCAAAAGAATAATATACACACTTTAATTTTGTGTATTATTTATTTTCTATAATTAATAATAATTTATATTTCTTAATAATAATTTTATTTACTTTTGTTGGAACTCTTAAAAACCGAATAAAAAAACTGGAACCGGAACCGAAACCAAAAATTACGGAAGCCACAGAACCGGAACCGGTACCGGAACCCTTAAAAAATAATTCTACCTAAAAAGTGCGGCTGCCTGTTACAGGGGTAAAACTCTGCTAACACAAAAACTCATAGGTTTAGAATCTATGTGCGATATATGTGTTGCGATTGACGCTAAATAACTGCTGATGGTAGTATCCAATATTATCAACTGTCCCCCGACCAAAGACTCAATACTAACAGAGAGAACGATAAAGTTGAACGCCTCCATCGGAAGCGATTATGTGCTACAGAACCGAGCGATGAGTAGAGGTGCTCCAGCTCCCTATATCATTCTTCTGGGTCTTTGCTCAACTCCAGCATACGACTTTGGTTTTGCATGCGCGTCTGTTGTCTACGGCGCAACACACCGCCTGCCGGGAGAATTATTTGCAAGCATCCGGTATCATTCGGACACAACTGATTTTGATAAGACACTCGGATCATCCTGCAGAGATTTGCAGCCATCCCAAGCATGAAAACACGAAAAGTCCAAAATGTTCCTCCATCCGGAGCTGTATACCTGGTGACATGTTTTTGTGCGAAAAGAAGGCCGAACCCTTATACGAGGGACCGTTCACGGTAATTCCCAGGCACGACAAACACTTTGACATAGACGAGGACATAGACTTAAAAACGATACCCATTCTTCGCATCTACGAACCAGTGCTATTTATTATAAAGTAGACACAGGAATTTAGGGTGCCTAATTTTAGGAATCCAAAATAACTTTTTAAAACAAATAAACATTTGGCTGTCATATAATTAGTTTTTCCTTCAGTTGAAAACATCGCACACGGATGAAAATTAAAATACCAAAGCCAAAGCAACAATATTCAAATTAATTAATTTTATATGCCGGTCGATCGAATCGGCAAATTTTTGAATTTTTAAGGGGTATCTTTCTTTCATGAAAATAACACCTATATAAAGTGACTTTTTTTGGAAATATTTGACGATTGATTATTTACGTCAAACTACCTTCAATTTGCAATTTAATTCCATACATATACAGTGCTATTTATTTAGAAGTAGGCATAGGGATTTACATATGTATTGTTTTTCCCTATGTCTACTTTTACATGAAACAAAATCTCTTCTAAAGGGCGCTTAATTTTAAGCATCTGCAACAACTTCTTAAAACAAATAATAATCTGGCTGTCATATTAATTAATTTCAATTTTGGCTATACTAATTGGCAACATCACCACGAACAAAAATAGAAATATGGAAGCCAAAGCAACAATATTCAAAAAATTAATGTGACAACCAGATCTTCATTTGTTTTAAGAAGTTATTTTGGTTGCATATAATTAGGCGCCCTTCAGAAGGATTTTGTCTTTTGGAAGTAGACATAGGGAAAAATACTATACATAAATCCCTATGTCTATTTCTTAATAAATAGCATTGTATATTGTAAATATACGCAACAGCAAATTATTTAGCGTGGGCGGCTAAATTGAACATACCTACCTTATTTGAAATAACTTTAGATTTGCCTTTTTCTTTCCTTCAGTAAAAGATAATTCACCTGTGATACAAAGATGAAGTTAATTCATGTAAATAACGCAACATTGTACAACACAAACAACAGTTTTACCCATTAAAATTTTGTTTTATCCTCTCAGCCTAAAATGTGAACAAATAATACGGAAGCGCATCAACTTCAGGTAACTAACAACATAAAAACTTATGTCCGTAAATGGCGACAAATGTCGCCCACGTTCAGATAATCCCAAGGTCATCACACATCAAATTAGTAAACGTTGGCACTTAACATGGAACTATAAACTTGCGCAAAGCGTCTAGAACTGTCTACTGCGCCGTACACCAAAATGTCAGTGTTGCCAACTGAATCTCCGTTTAATTTTGCAATGCATGTATAACGTTTTATCGGCGAGCTTTTCGCGAATATATTGCAAGTTATACTATTTATTCGTCGACCAGTCTGAAAAGCTGCTGCGCGGTGTGGATAGCTGATCGTCCGAGGTGACGACCTCGCGTCGCTTGCTAATGACCTTCTTTAAAATATCGGCGATGCCCGTATTTAGAAGCACATTTACGCAACTACTCCCAGACGCGTTCGGCGGTTTCAGCATTTGCTTCTGTCTAAGGAGCTGCTGCGGCTCCAGCGAGTAGGAGCGCACTCTTTCCTTCTGAATCTCCTCCTTCGAACGAAAGCCCTACAAGAACGATCATTAAAGTTTATCGGGGAACACTCTACTTACGGAGAATAGAAAAGCGAACGGCTGCGAGTAGGAGGAGTCGTTCTTGGACTCGTCAACCTCGATTTCGTTTCGTTTCAACGCGTGCTGTAAAATTTCCGTGATCCTTTGCGAGCACTTGATCGCCTCTTGCAATTCTTCCTGGGAGAGAAAGAGCTGATCCAAGGAGTTGCGTTTTTCGTTAAAATCTTTTTGGGTGCTCGATGTGCTTTTACCGTCCGAAAGGTCTTCCGCCTGTTTTTCTTCATTCGAGATGCACAGGTACGGGCTAGATAGGTATCTGTTATTGGGACTGTTGTAATTTAGCCAAAAATTGTTCCATTCACCTACTTTTGCTTCTGGATCGACGGTGTCGCTGAGCGTATTGGTCGTGGAGCCGAAGTAATCGCTGCTGTTAACACTTTCGATCCAGCTGATGTAGCTGGAGCTGGCGCTCGCGAGGGTGTTTTCTTTGTTAACGACGTCGGTTGCACTTCGCACGGCGTAATCTGTGCAGTCAGAGGTGGTGGATTCAATTGATCCTCCGTCTCTGGCGGTGATCAGGGACGCGGAAGAGAAGGAGTGTTTTGGTTTATATTCAGATATCGATTCTAAGCTGTGTCTGTACGTACTGTCCAAGGACTTACGATATCGTTCGGGTACATTGTGGTCTAGTGCTGGATGCTCGGATTTAAGAACAACACTGGTGTCGTCAACACTTCCGCGTTCTTCTCTGGAGGCCAGCGTCGCGGCGCGTCGTACTGTGCCAGTACGGCTTAAACGCATAGGTGCAGGCGATCCGTACAACGTGAGGTCTTCCTTTTGCATCATTAATATAGCTTGATTAGGCGAACTGTTCGAGGATTCCGAGCTGGACATTATGCTTTTGCTTCACGAAGCATCGCGATCGGGCGTTAGTTACGTCAGACGCGTTTGTAGGACACTAAAGGCCGAGTATTAATTGTGATGGGTGTCATGCTTCACATGTGTTTGTATCCATGCCAACGATTAGCATACGCAGATCTTCACGAATCGTTGGTTAATTACTGTTAAATCAATACGACACCCCTTTATAAGTGCGCGCCTATCGAACTATCTTAGGCAATTACAAAAATAGTGCTTTGTCAAGTCTTTATTTCGTTTATTATTTAATATTACACAGAAAATGCATGAGGTTATCAGAATTTTGGATCAGGTTTTGTTGTAATGTTCTTTCTTTTATTATATCTACAGGTGAGAGATTGAAGTTTTACAATAAGAAGGCACCGCTGAAAGAAGACGGGGAATTTAATATATATAATTCGCATAAAGTAGCCTGAATCCTAGTTTTGTACAATTTTTTGTAAAATTTCAATACATTCCTCGTTTAACATAACAAGACAAGTTCACATTTCGACTTTTGCTAACATTTTTAAAAATCTGCAAGAAACCATCAGTAGCGCATATTCACATATGCCTAAAGTTAGCGATGAAAAATTTCGAGTCGTTCAAAGAGAAGAATTTGCCCCATTAGCAAAAATGTACTATTAACGTGTATGTACTCAAGTTACGGGAATTATACACCCAAGAGCTGTGTATGTCGAACATCCATGTAAAAGATAACCACTATTAGTCGGACGCGTTTCGGCAGGGTAGTCGCTTTAGCCGTTTCCAAAAATATATTGTCACAATTGAATTTTGTTCCACCGCTTTATAGCGAACGTGAAAAAAAGTAAGTCTCGAATAAGAGCGATAACAACGTTGCGAAGTTTTTTTTCGGATCACAACTGGTTAAAAGCAAGTTCTTCAAGTTGAGAATTAAACTAATTAAACCTTAAACTACGCAGCAATTCTTTTAATTTTTAGCTTAAGTGCTAGCATGATCTAGGGCAGCTATTGCCATTACCGCCAAAATTTCATCAAACGTCGAAGTTTTACATCATTTTTTAATCATTATTATAGGGGATGAACAATATTTAAAATGTGTCCTTTAATTGATCGCTAACTTTAAGCATCACATCCGCACTTAAATTCAATAATTTGTCTCAATAATAGAATATAAAAGTGCTCACGAGTATTGCGTTACGCGCATTCTGTAATGCATGATAAATACTAAACGAATTTCTTTCTAAATAATGAAGTTGTGTAAATACTAGTACGTCTATAAGTACTCAGTTCCAGGATATGCAAAATTATGTATAAAACAACAATATTATATCTATATAATAATAAATCCGCCTTATTGCTAACATATAAAGATTATCTATTCGTATTACAGTGACAATTAAATTAAAAAATGAGCTCTAACATTGATGACCCTTCTTCAATCTGTCTGAGATCTGTGCTATCACTTCCATGGGACAACGCGTACATCATTCACTCGCGTATCCGTGAAAATACACCAGAGTTAATTGTGCTAACGGAATCGGACCTATACATAAATAACTAACTACGAATTTACAAATAAACAACGGACTCCTATCATTCAACAGTCAACAAATAAGAGTAGGTAAACACAACGGGCAGGTACGCGCGTAATTCTGGTGTACTCCTGGATACCATTTTAAAAATATACTATTGAAGCGTAATAAGTATATTTAACAACTACAGCTCCATCAAAAAATATTGCAGCTAATAGTCCACTTACAGTCTAGGCGTTCGATTCCTTAAGATCTTGTAATTGTGCTAGTTGATGGGGTTCTAATTCGTCGGGAATACTGGCCCGTCCGCCCACCACCTGTTTCGGAGGCGGATCAGCCATGTCCTCTTCGTGTGTCTGACTTAAGGAATTTTCTGCCGTACTCGGACCTGTAGTTTCGCCATCGCTTCCCGTACTACTACTTACCGGAAGGGTGGACGATTCGGTCGTTTGATCTTCATTGGACGGTCGTCCCTCGAGATCCTCGGGCGTATCGGATATCGCCTTCTGTTCCGCCAGCTTATTTTCGCATATCGTCTGCTCTATCGTTTTCGATTCGTCTTCTTCGTCCTCCTCCTCGAGCTCCTCTTCGATCGTCTCCACCTGCTGATCGACGTGGTTCACTGACGGCGTCTCCTCGACCGGCGGGAACGGCTTTTCGGCTTCCTCGATCATCGGCGTCGCGGCCGTTATCACGATTTGGGCGACGCCTAAGCCGGGATCTTCCTCGTCTTTGACGCCGTCCTCGTCTTCAAAAATTTGTTTTCCATCCTAGAAAACGGTCCCGTTAGGCTAGTTAAGAGAGCGCGAGGAGTACCTCAAACATACCTCATCTTCCACAATTAATCCGATAACTTTGAAAGCAAGAAAACATCGTTAGTTAATTAAAAGGCTCCTACATTCTACTACTAACAGTATTAAAAATCCATATCCGATCAGGGCAATAGGTGCGAGAAGCAGTGAACAAGAATTTTAGATTTATGGACCCAAAGTAACACCCGCCAACGTAGATGGCAGGACAAGCGAGTACGATTAGATAGTGCCCATTAATAAAGTAGATATCCGCCGAGATTAATTGATCTTATCTAGGATGTTGGATATGTCCGGTATAGGGTAAGCATTTTTTTTTTGTTATCGCGCCGCAGTTACTTTGTAGGAGGTGTGTTGGACAGAATCAATTGCCAATGTGCGGTTTTTGAAACAGTAAACTATACTGTATTCATTTTAAGAAGGTAGCGGTAAAAAGCATAGGGAAGCTTTGACTTTCAGTGTGATTGGTTAAAACACGAGTTAGTATTACCATTGAATTTATAACTATCAAATTCAATGGTATTACGCTGAAACATAAAAAGAGGGACGAATTTTGCAAGCTGGTAGTTTCTATTGCCAAACTTTGAAGTGTCATAAGCTGTTAATGTCAAAGATTTATTTCTGTTGGCAGTGCTGGATAAATGTCCGATCTTTGATTTTCTTTCCCTCTATAATTCTTCAACTATTAAGCAGCATTTGCCCAACTTAAGGAAATCTTTTTCCTATAAGCAACATCTATCAAGACTTGGCTCTCATTTATGGCATCTTGAAGGAACCCTCATCAACACCTGTTGAAAGGCTGTTACATGAAAGAAAAGTTTAAATAATTTCGGTGCATTTTCTATTTCTGATGGTAAATACATTTCTACTTCACTAATTTTCTACTTTGTTTCAAACAGTTTTAAACGCCCAAAAGCCAAATGAATTGCAAAGGCACTCATCTGTTGTCTAGGAGAGAATCAAAATGGCACGATTTGCGTTTCAAACTTGTCTGAATAAATTTATAGATATCCACACTTATCGAGAATATTTGTCATTTACGATCTAGGGTAAGAATCTTGTTTAGCTTGCAATCAGTATCGCACCGTTGTTAATTTGTAGTTGTAGTAGGGGACAGTAAAATCCATTGTGAAGGTGCGAATAAGTGAAACTAATCGTTATTATTTGTGAAGTAAAATTTATCAATAGGTTTACACATATACGGTATAGGATAAGCATCCTAGTAAATTATTAAAAACCCACACTTATCCAGTATATTCGTCATGTACGGTCTGGGGTAAGAATCTTCTTTAGGTTGCAGTAAATATCATCAATTGGTTACGCATATACGCGCCGTTGTTGATTTGTAGTGGTTGTGCAAATCCATTCTGAAGGTAGCCAATTTTCGAAAGTAGGGAATGAGTGAAACTAATCCGCTATTACTTTGTGCAGTAAAATTTGTCAATAGGTTTATGCATATGCGGTATAGGATAAGCATCCTAGTACATTATTAAAAACCCACACTTATCCAGTATATTGGTCATGTGCGGTCTGGGGTAAGAATCTTCTTTAGATGACAGTAAATATCGTCAATTGGTTATGCATATACGCGCCGTTGTTAATTTGTAGTGGTTGTGTAAATCCATTCTGAAGGTAGCCAGTTGTCGAAAGTACTGAATGAGTGAAACTAATCCGTTATTACTTTGTGCAGTAAAATTTGTCAATAGGTTTATGCATGTACGGCATAGGATAAGCATCCTAGTAAATTATTAAAAAACCACACTTATCCAGTATATTGGTCACGCGGTCTGGGGTAAGAATCTTCTTTAGATGACAGTAAATATCGTCAGTTAGTTACGCATACACGCGCCGTTGTTGATTTGTAGTGGTTGTGCAAATCCATTCTGAAGGTAGCCAGTTGTCGAAAGTACCGAATGGGTGAAACTAATCCGTTATTACATTGTGCAGTAAAATTTGTCAATAGGTTTACGCATATACGGTATAGGATAAGCATCCTAGTAAATTATTAAAAACCCACACTTATCCAGTATATTGGTCATGTGCGGTCTGGGGTAAGAATCTTCTTTAGATGACAGTAAATATCGTCAATTGGTTACGCATACACGCTCCGTGGTTGGTTTGTAGTGGTTGTGCAAATCCATTCTGAAGGTATCCAGTTGTCAAAAGTAGCGAATGAGTGAAACTAATCCGTTATTACATTGTGCAGTAAAATTTGTCAATAGGTTTACGCATATACGGTATAGGATAAGCATCCTAGTAAATTATTAAAAACCCACACTTATCCAGTATATTGGTCATGTGCGGCCTGGGGTAAGAATCTTCTTTAATTATCTTCCTAAATATCGTCAATTGGTTACCCATATACGTGCCAATGTTAATTTGTAGTGATTGTGCAAATCCATTCTGAAGGTAGCCAGTTGTCGAAAGTACCGAATGAGTGAAACTGATCCGTTATTACTTTGTGCAGTAAAATTTGTCAATAGGTTTATGCATATACGGTATAGGATAAGCATCCTAGTAAATTATTAAAAATCCACACTTATCGAGTATATTGGTCATGTGCGGCCTCGGGTAAGAATCTTATTTGGGTTGCAGTAAGTAGGTGTCGCACCGTTGTTAATTTGTAGTGGTTGTGATAAAGTGTGGTATTTTTAAGACCTGTGAATGGTGTCGATGTCGTCGGCTGAATTTGAATTTTTTGTTGGGTTTGAAGAATAGCTATAGAACCAGGCTTCTTGATAATCAACTTTAATAATAGTTTATGGTTGAATTCTGCCTTAGATCTATCAACTTTCTCTTGTACAAATCTTCAAGAGATAAGAGAAACAGTTTTCATTTTCTGAAGTACTGATATGGCGTTACAAGTTATTACGGACTAGAAAAATTATTCTAAGAAAATAGAAAGTTTTCCGGCCTTTTTACTGCAATACAATAGATTTATTCAGAAGCACCTGCGAACGACATCTCTATCAAAACTGCGCCTGTAATTCAATAATGCGTTATACATGCACTACATAGCAAACTCCTGTTGAGCTCAATTCAAAATGGACTTTTTTGTGCTTCTCCATAATCAAAAGTGCGCATCATTTAAATTGAAATAAACCTGTGAACTCTCTCACTTGTACCGGATTTGTAGGAGTTTATTTCAAACGCCAGACAAGTGTTTCTCAAGAGCTCGCACGCCATTCTTTTAATCGAGCCAGCATTTGAATATAATTTGAATTTAATTAAGCGAACCCCGCGAATTTTACGTGTTATTAAATTATGTATGTCGAAAACGAAAGGCGCCGCGCCGGGTATAATCAAATTTAAACGGCGGGGATATCCACACCTTTTGTAAATTAAAAGGAAGAGATGATGAGTTTAAGATAACAAAGGCAAGATCGAGAGCACTTCTGATTTAAAGCCCTGGGATGGAGATATCTTACAATTGTTTAGGTGTTATTCGGGGAATGCAGGTACATACCTGCTTAATAAAGGTACCTAATATTCAACACGTTGAACGTGGGGGTGCAGGAGAAAACATGAAAGTATAAAAGTGGGCAGGAGACGCCAAGAGATGCAAGAAGAGAAAAGACTTGTCAATTATTCCAATTTTGCCAATGAATTGGTTGCCCATTTTAAATTACACGATTGTTGAACTTCGCTACCGTAGTGGCACCAAATATTAATTAATAGATGCCCTCTATTATGCCACACCAACATATGAAAACACCCCACGATGAATTTCAAGTGGTTGGCGTAACTGCACTGGTGACTCGACGGGAATTCGAATAATACAAAATTCACGTTGAGATAAATTACAGGTGGTTAAGTTAACTGCGCTCACGGCCAATGTGCACTTTCCCTCTCGCGGTTTTGGAGGTTCGCGATTACCTTGCTTTTTTAATCACACCCATCCCGAGACTTAAGCGTTACCACCAATAAAACTAGTTTTTTCTACCCAATCGCATACCTTGACACCTATAAATCTACTAGCAGAGATAGTAGATCTGACGCTGCCTAGTAAGCGTGATAACAACGGATGTGGCCCTTGCAAAAATCGTTCCGTAATTCTAGCTAATCTCGTCATCTCCCATGAAGTCTCGGCGTCTCAAGCTTTCACACGCGTTTGAAAAATGAGGGGCGCATCCAGGTCCCACGCGCCCACGTTTGTACAAAAAATTTAAACAAAATCCGATAATCGGCTCCCGTTACAGTACCCCCTTCGTGTTTTCGTTATACTTCAGTAGGACACACTCGGCGACGACAAGTAAGTACGTTAAGTTTTACCTCAAGATACAGACAAAACGGACTTTAGATAAAGGTCCTATATGAACAAGGTGAGATATGTCAACAAACTCCAGGAATTCATTTACCAAGTAATAGTTAAATTTAAATAAGCTCATTTCCATTGTTTCCATTGATTCTGCAAATGTAGTAGTTTGACTCAAGTATGTAAGTGACGCCCTATCGTTTCAATTGTTTAAGATATGTATTTACCTAGTAAATAAGCGCGCATTTTTTTTATATTGTTGCTGTATTTTTCCTAATGCAAGGCTAGTATTATGAAGGTTTCAGGACGCTGGTAAAATTAACCCGAAGATGTCAATATTGATTTGAAACTGCAATATCTTCCAGATCTGCCATCACACCCCCACATTCATAAATCTAAGATTACGAAGTTCATATAAATCGAGAACGCTCAAAATCCGCTAGTGATTAATATCGTTAAAGATAAAAATTCAAAGAACGTACTTGGAACTCCGTCCGAACGAAACTGTGATCCGTACTGCTCGTGCTGGTCCGGACTCATTTCCATTGCAAATTTTCCTTGTTCTCTCTTCTTCTCCTCCGCTACGTCGTTCTCGTTTTCCTGATCCTGTTCGTTCAACGTTGTATGATCTACCATCGGCGCGGCTTGGGTTACTATCACCTCCGATGTCATCAGGAAGTTAGGGATGTCGGGTGGTGTGAAAACCGGCGGTGCGGAGCACGGTGGCGTTTCGTCCCATTGGTTTGTTAGCGGCTCGCCGTACTCGTCGCACTCTTCTACAACTAGCGAGGGGAAATTTCCTATCTGACCTTCGAGTTCGCCCTGCCACCAGCCGTCGTCAACACTATGTGCGCATTTACTTAACACTTTAATTATTTGTCCCTCCTCAAAGGTTAGTTCCTCCTCGCCTTCTCCTTCATAGTCGTAGAGGGCGCAGCAGTAAGTGTACTGAACGTTGTCAGGCTCCTTCTGTGACAGATGAATAACGGAGACCTGTTCGGGAGATTGGTTCGTTTCCGATGGCGCTTGCGCTTCCTCTTCGTTATCCACAGTGTAGTCGACGGATGAAAACGATATTTGTGTCACGAGGCCGGTCCTGCTCGACTGTTCTCTTTCAACATCGAGGTAGTTATGGGGGACGTAACCTTCTTCGCCGCGATAGTTTCGGGCGCGTAGCCATCCGTCGCCGTCGCCCTCGCCTACCACCTCCAGCTGCTCGTTTTCGACTATTGTCAATTCGTCTGGATTTTGAGCCTAAAACTGCTTGCTAAAAAAGGTGAAGAAGCTCATCGGGTTACAAACCGTGTATGAATAAAGCGCGGTGCATTTTAGAACTGGCCCAGATGACGCTCGCTCGCTGGCCACGTCGTCCGTCCTCTCTGACTCTTCGGCACCCCAATCCACCTGCGTCGGATCGTCCCAGCCGGCAGTCAGTTGCTCTATTCTCTGCCTCTCTTGTTCCAGCACAGCTATTAAAGAACCGACAATATCAACTGTAACCAAATCGCATGCATACCCCACTCACCGTCGACCTCTGGATTCTCTACAGGTTCTGGGGTCCCCTCCGATTCCGCATGCTGAACTTTGTCCACGACTGGAAGCTCGGCGTCTGCGAAGTCGCTATCGTAAAACGAATCCGAACTAGGATGATCCTAGAAAAACGCCCTAATTATTGGCACTCAGCCTTTTGGTGCTCACCGATAGCGAACTGGCGGAACGTTGTATATCCTGAACTGTCAGCGACTCCGCTTCTCGCAACCACTCGTCAACATTCACACCCCCCAATCTGAGACACTCGATTCGCGCCTCCGCCTTCATCTTCGACGTTTCGGCTCTGCGTATATTCTGCTTCATGTCGTCGATTTTGGTGTCCAAATCCGGCCCGGCCTGATCGTTCGGGTCGATCCTCTGGCCGGACTCTCTGAGCGCGTTATAAATCTGCAACCTGCGTACGTAATCCTTGATGTTGTTATTGTCGCGCGCTATCTTCGTCGCCCACCTCCTCGCCTCCTTGCTGAGCGTGGCCGCGGCCGAATCGTGTTCGGCGGTAATGTGCTCTACGGGATCGTTGTCGCACGCCTCGAAATCGTACTGGACGTGCTGCTTTAAAACTGGATAGTAAAGGTAACAGCATTGGAGATTGTATTCCCTTGTAAGCTGTTTGGCCTGATCCCTAATTTTACCGAACGAGTTTTGCATGGCAGAACACGTGAGTAGTTCGGTGCGTCCCATCAGGGAGAAGTATTCGGCAACTTTATCGTAAACGTTGCTTTCCATGGAAGTCATTGCCAATTGGAGATCGACGACGAAGTAGCGGTTTTGATGTGCATTCGCCGCTGCCAGGCAGAGGAGGTAGTCGTTTCTGGCCCCGCTCGATTTTTCTTCTAATTGATCACGTTTTGTCGAGAATTTGGCGCTATTTTTCTGTAACGAGGTTATCGATTGGAAAAACGAACCTTTTTTCTTTTTTAATCTGAAACTCATCGGTTAGCTCGAATAATTACACGAGGCACTTACTTTTCTTCTATGTCTCTAGCTTTATCTCTAACGTCGTGGGCGCTGTGTTCTTCGTCGAAATATAATTTTTTCGTTTTGTCCACGTCTTGAACACAGGTTTGCAATTCCTTCTGCACAACAGCCAATTGATCCGTACACTAAACGGACAAGCAAGTGAGGCAGTTACAAAATACGCAAGCACTCACCCTTCGCGAAGTCTGCACCTTGTGGACTCGCAGTAATTTAACATCGTCCGCGATTTGCTGTTGGAAAACTTCAACTGCAGCGAGCCTGGCGCGTGCCAACTTTTCATTCTCCTCGAGCACGGTCCTCCACACGCTCCACATGTTCCTTAAAAAAGTCACGATATTATTAGAACGCACTCGAAAGGGTGACCTACCATTTCTCTTCGCCGCCCTCCAATTTAATATCGGGAATATTAGGAATTTTTTTATTGAGATACGCCGACGATATTTTTAATAATGCCTAAAATTGGACCATTAATCAATATACCAAGCTTCCGAGCACATACTTCCGAATATGATTTCTCTATTGCAGATCTTTTAAGGGTGAACGTTCTTATATCTTCTAAGAGATCACACTCGTGTTGATTTTTCGCCGATAACTTCGCTAATTGCTCGGAGTGTAAATTTTTGAGAAATTTTACGTAATTCCCCTACAATTTAAATTATAATTACGTTTCGTAATAATGGACGGCGGACTTCTGCAGACCTTTCTTGGCGGCGGCTGCATTTCGATAAATAAATACTGGTTTCATTCACCCGACTCGCAAGAACACTCTACTACCCGACTCCGTCGTCTCTATTGATTACACCACCCCCAAACCGAAACCGATAGCGGCGACGTACTCGCGCATAGGAGCGAAACCTTAACCATTAGTATTGATATTTGCGGCAATAAATTTGGACGATTAAACTAATTGTGTAACGACAAACTTAACGGTTTAAAATTAACCCCTACACGTAATTAAAATATTACTCACGCCCCCACCGATCCCTGCAATTATCGCAACCAAATACTCCTTGCGTTACCAAACCACGGCCGCAAATTGCGCCATAATCGGTTTAAATATCAGCGCGCCATCTACTCTATAAAATCTTGTGGTGGACGTCTTTATTTTTTAAATAATTAAACGCTGTATACTTACGTCGTCTTTGGACAAAATTTTAAACATACTCCGAGCCATCTTCTCGTATTAACTCGTCCTAATTATTCTCAGGTAAAAATTAGACTCGGCGCCAATTCCAAAGTAATTAAGATTTGCAAGCCTTTCACTGCACACACGTGCGATTTCCACAGAAAACTAAACCTTTATCAAACAATAATTATCAACTGTGGCAATAGCATAATGTGCAAGTTAGACGATGAAAACAGAAACATCTCGCTTTCGAAACTAGCGTTCCTTGCATCAACAAATTGGAATGTCGCTCGCTTTTAATCAAATCTACTTTTATGACCGAAAATTAATTACGTTACACCATCGATTATTTTCTTGTTCTCCTTTCATACTCTGCTGGTTTAGGTAATTGTTTGTTCTTATTCATACTGAATCAAATCTTCCAAATTAGCGCACTCAGTATTAAATTAAAACTAAAAACGAACTCAGTGGGGATGATTGAGTTATCTTATTTTGACGGCATATTTCAAAACTGATTGACGTTTGAAACGTCTACAACGTTTTGTACAGAGTAAAACAAAATATTTAACGAGACCACACTGTCGGTTAACCAAATCAATCGCATTTCATAACGAAATTGACTTATCATTTAGTATTTTTCTCTTTGACTTTCGTTTGTATCACAAGGTTTGCTGGAAAAAACAATGGGAAGGTTTCATTTTTTTCTTGTGCGAAAAGACCCCAATCTACGGTCATTACCTATCTGAAGTACCTAGTGCATACGATTGAATACAAAGTTTTAATCTATTCCATCCTAGACCTCCCAAAAGAAACCGGCTCGGAATTTTGAAATCCCATCGCGATTACACAAAATTACGTAATCCGCCGGAAAACAAAAATGTCATCTGCGCGCAAAAAGCGGCAGGTAGACGATTGAATTTACGTTATGCAATCTAATTTAGCCCACTTTCATAGTCCGCGTGGAGTTTTGCAAAATTGGCAGAATCCCTGCCATATATGGCACTGCAAAATAAATCAAATCCACCTGTAATCTGAATTAAGACCCGTTACCTCCTACGAATTTCTGGCGCTCCAAGCTTTCACACGCAAATATACAGTCACGACCCAAAGAACTATAAAGCAAAGATGTAAGCGGTTAGTCAATCATTTAAAACGAGACTACGCGAAAGAGAGAACTAATTCCTCTTCCCCCGAATCATTACAAGAATGTTCTTTAGAATGGAAATCATCGGTGGACAGCGCCAAAAACAACAATCATAAAAACACTGTAGGTAGTAGCAAATCCGCTTTAACTGTGGCGCTAAGGATTTTTACACTTAATGCAAAAAGGCTTACGTTTTGAATTTAAATGGACTGAATTACGGAATTCCCTGGTCTAAGACACTAACATTCTTTAAAAGGCACCGTTTAACTTTTGCGATTCATACGATTCCCAACACTAATTGCCGTAATCGTAAACAGAAATGCACAAATAAAATTAACTTATCATAAAATTTTGTATCCAGGACACGTACAACGATTAGATATTATAACACTCCTACTTCTTCTGAAAAGAGCAAGATGGAAAATTATATCACCTTGTAGGGCAAATTCAATATTACAACAAAATATGTGGAAATCGGAGAGTTTTTATTAGCATAATCTCGCCCCCGAGATAGATAACTCGTCCCTCGTTCGAGGTTTCGAGCCTACAGTGGAATGCCGAGAGCATCCCCGATATTGAGAGTCGTTACTCATTTGGTTACAGTTTTTGCCATCCCCGTGATCGTCGCTTCAAGACGAATATGTTAGTTTACAAACAACAAGTCAGTACGCGATACACATCAAACAAGTCGATAATTTGCACATGTTTAAAACAATGATCAAAATTATAAAATTAAATTACACCAAAAATGAACGCGATTTTAAACAAAAGGTTAACGGTATCAAACACATGAATCTGCATTGTGGTTAAATCAAGTCAACTTCAAAATCAACGATTGAAACTCACAAAAAAATATAGAATGCTGCATACAAAACACAGATATACTTTAAAAGGGAATGCAAAGATTACTACCCGAAAAAAAAAAAAACCGCCATTAAAAAGAAGATATGCCAAACGTAACCCGCGTTGGTACTCACCAGATTTCGCAAATCTCTTCTAAAAATTGTGTGGTTGCCAGCTTGCAAAATGTGTCCATCAGTGTCCATCGTCGTAGGTTGTATATACAGGGTGAAACCTCTCAAACTTTACAAGTAATTGGCGTCCACAAAAACAGCGATTTAATGCACATTGCAAGTAGGTGGTGGATTAAAAGCACTGCACAGACCAATCAAAGTCTTGGCCTGGCTTCCCGTTGATTGTCTCTTTGATTTGGAAATGAAGTTGGCCTTTCAGCTGTCTTCTGCACGGACCGGTCACAGAATTCAAGCACTTTGTAAGTCGTGGAAACTTTCAAGTAGGTATATCGTTCTCTTCTCGAATGGTCTACCAATAAAATCTTCTTCAGCGGTACGGCGGTGGCGTTGCTATGTTACTCTAGGTATGATTGTTCTTCGAAAACCACCTTGGTGGATGATTTTAGCTTAAAACGCACGACACGCTCTGCAATAAGATGACTTTGAGTTTAATCTCATGTTTATCTCTGATTGTAGATAAGAAGTTTTGTTATCGCGGCAAAAGCCAATTTATGTCAATATAAATAAACACGGGTGCAGTTTACCATTATCAACGACGCATTATTAATTTGTTTTCATAATACCTATCTGTTAAACTGTTAAAGGGAAACGGGCAATAAACCATCCCGACCGACAACGGACCTCACCACTACGGAACGCAAATTTTCTTTCCTACGCTCACTAATCTGTAAATCTCTCCAGTCGCAACAACAATTTTGTTGAAGATGAATGTGAACGTAATGGTTGTTAGTTGCTCTGCGAAGAGGAACGCAATCAAGTAAATACTAAAAATCGAAAATGGGTTCAGGAAATTTGCAGAAGAAGGAAGATAGAAAGTAAATTCCCAACATTCCTGAATTTAATAACTCAATAGGAGAATGAAAATCAAATTTCAGGTACTGTTATTAATGTGTATTCGTTGTTTATTCATTTTACAAAAAAAAAGTATAACATATATAATATGTGATTACATGAGGATTGGGATTAAAGAAAATTTTTTTAAACACGTTTTTTTATATTTTTTTTTGTTGCGGCTATCGATTTCGACCTTAACAGGTCATCTTCAGGCCGAGCGTCATTTGGTGAAGTGAACGTGCATGTGACATTAGCTGTATTCGTTTCAAGTGATTTCACTAAGTTAAAAAATCAGTTTAAGTGATTGCACTTTGTTTTTTTCGTTTACAATCTTAGACCATATAGTACATGGCTATATGGTCTAAGATTGTAAACGCAAAAAATCACTGAAACTGATTTAACTCAGTTAAATCACTTGAAACGAATATAGCGATTTTGACGATGTTATATATTAGTTGTCAGGAATGGAAAGTTAGTGTACCAAAAAGTAGGGTTGTGTATAACTTATACACAACCTCACTTATACTACACAACCTCACTTTTTGGTACACTAACTTTCCATTCCTGACAACTAATATATAACATCGTCAAAATGTCACATGCACTTTCAGTTTCACTTCACCAAATGACGCTCGGCCTGAAGATGACCTGTTAAGGTCGAAATCGATAGCCGCAACAGAAAAAAAAAACGTGTTTAAAAAGATTTTCTTTAATCCCAATCCTCATCATACAACACGTTTAGAGAACGATGGAACAATACATCAATCGAATGTGATTACATGCTTACATTCGACGATGCAAAAGTGCTACCAACTAACTAATCTGAAAAACCTAACATTAATACATCACAGTTATCCCTGTTAAATCATATCATACCTATACTTCCCTGTACTCGCTGACAAGCAAAATCAGCATTTCCATTTTGCGATGATGATTACATTTTCGGCGATCGCGAAGCTCTCACTAGTTCACTCCACAACGAAACGCAACACGCAACGGTAAAAGTATTCGCGACCGAGATTTCTGCCGACGACGACCGTTAAAAAGAAAGGAAAATTGTTTTAAATAGAACAGGAAGACGTTAACTGGGGATTTTATTTGGTGAGCGATATTTGTTGGAAAACAGTCAGTTTTGCCGGTATTGAAGTTTTTGCTACGAGTCTACAGTTCTGTTAATTATGTAGTTTTGTAGTAGGGAGTCTAGTCGAGTTAAGAACAAGTGTGCTACGTTAAACACAGAGAAAAATTTAGGCGTTTACGAAGAAGTTTTGTTCACCATTGTAATTATAGCATTATAGCGTCGTCGAAACCAAGATTAGAGTGCTATAATTGGAGTCGAGAAGTGTTTCAAAGCAATATATCACCGGGTGTTTTGTGTTTGAGCGTCATTTATCTTGAATCGCAGTTACGATCGGAGATTTCGCATTATTCAAGCTAATTAAGATTTCTTTAATTAATTGTTCCAACAATCACTTGTTGCGTGGTATGTTAATCTGGCCCTGAGTGCCTGTTTTTTTCCTTCTAGTTTATTTATGTCGAATAAATTTGTTCATCTGTAAATGGTTGGTTTTGTGATTAATCGAGCCCAAATTACAACCCAGATAAGAATTCTCAAGGTTTTGTCAGTACAGAGTTTAGTGACCGTTTGCCATTGCACATAGCAATTTAAAAAATGGAACAAAGGTTAAGAAAATGAGTTTTTTTATAAAATTGAATATAATTTAGATTTAGCTATGTGTACATAATAACACGTATCTTACAGTCTGACTGTTCAACAAAATATGTACAAACATGAATGAATGATCGATTTATACAATAAATAATATAAAAAAAGAAAGTCGACGGATATGACTGAATAGAAACTGTTCAATTCTTTATAGTTTATATTTATTATATTATTTATATCATGTAACATGAAAACAAACAAATGGCTCGTGCACGAATACTCATATAAAACATGTAATAATAACACATCATACGTTTATTAAAAACATTTACAATTATATAAAAAAATAAAATATATCTAAAGCTAAAATTTATAAAATCTTTAAGAAATTTTAAAACGATTGCCGTTCAGATATAATTAAAAATACTATGTACAATAATAATAATATTAATAAAAATTAATGGCTTTTTCTCACAACAATAATAAAAAGATTGCACGCAAGCCATTTGTTCTGTACAATATCTGATGAATCTATAACGAATCTAGCTATCAAAATTGTCAACACGTGTTAATCATTTTAAATGAAATATATAAATTAGTATTATGCATATTCACAATGATCGTAACTTACAATATGTACAAAAATATGAATACAAGTTCGCGGATGTAATTGACCTTTGTACACTGAAGTAGACAACGTAATCTACACGTGGTGGTTGCATTATTAGCCTATTAAACATATACTAAATAACTTAACAACGTGAGCTAAAACAGGTGTTGAGATTAGTAAAATGTACAAATCCGATCACTGGTCGCTATTTTACAAATTAAGAGGTACCTATGTCACATGTCATCATCTAACTTCGCAGTCTTTATTGAGAGGCAAGGGCGCTGGAGGAGGAGTATGAACAGGCTCAGGTACATTATTCATAGGGGGCGGTGCCGGCGGCGGTGGGGGAGGAGGAGGTGACGGCACCTTATCACTTTTCTCCTCCGAGGTACTCTTAGAACTAGGCTCGTCCGTCTTCATTACGTAGCCTGAGCCCGTCTGGCACCGCGACAACTTTAATTTAATCGGAGACACTTTGTTTGGGCGAACTTGTCGAAGCGACGTCGCGCCACCGTTCGGCGCGATGTCCTTCGAAAGATCAACTACCGGCGAACTCAACAGTTTCGCTTCCGTTTTACAATTCGTTTCACTAGCACCGGTCCGTTTATTCTCACTACCACGTTCACTAGCAGTCTTTTTACCGAACCTTATAATTAACTTAGTCGAATTTTTATCATCGTTAGAGATGATCTGAATGCGTTCCCCTTTTCGCTTTTTATGCTTGTTGCCGCTCTTGTCTTTCTTTTTCTTTTTTTCCTCGCCGAAGTGCGCCATCACCATCTTTCGGTACTTCATACTCTCCCGCTTTAGGTCTTCGACGCTGGGCTGCGCGATATTCGTCAGTCTCTTTTTGGGCGGCCGAATGCGATCCTTGCGATCTTCCAGCTTGGGACCGCCGACGATGCTGTTGCCGCCGATTTTGATCTTCAACTTGGGAGTATGAGGCTGTAACGGTTTCGCTAGCGGTCTACCTCTGCGTTTATTACCTTCGGATGCGTTGCTGCCGGTCGAGCCGATGCTACGCCTTCGCTCGGGGGCACCGTCGTCTTCTACGGAGAGCTCGAGTTGACGCAGCTCCCGCGAGAGGGCGCCGGGACGCGCTTTGTTTTCCTTCGGAATTTTCGCGTCTAGTAAACCGTCCGATCCCGTCCTGTAGTCTCGGTAGTCGTCTCGGGTCGGTATGCTGGTCATGGACGCGACGGCTTTCGGGATTGTGATAATGGTGCGGTTGACCGGTGGCGCGGCCGGTGCCGCCGCGATACCCGGAACGGTCGCGGGCTCGTCCATGTTCATGTCTTGCGTCCAATACTGTCGTAACAATTCCTTTTTGCGCATGCGTCGCAAATTCGATGTTCCAGAGTTAATGGCGGCATTAACGTTGGACATTGCGTTGCCGACTGAGGCGCTAGAGGAATTACTTGAAACCGCGTTGGATTCGACCGATGGCGGTAGCTGAGGCACAGTCGCAGTGTAATTGGCAATTGGTCCTTTAATTTTCACTTTCAATTGGTTACGAGAATCAGACAGTGATACTTTTATATTGTTGGCAGTCTCTCGTAGTGGAGTATCATCGGCTTTACGCGCCGTTAAGGCAGATCGCAGCTCTTTCTCGAAATCTTCGTCAATCTCATCGTGCACTTGCGATTCGGCGGTGCCGCTAGCAAACGCCCCCAATAAATTTGCCTCGGAGTATCCTTGCGATTCGAAACTGTTGTAAGTACGCATATCCACCGGTCCGGGTAGCACGGGTTGTACGATATCCGGAAACGTCTCGTTCGCAACCGGCGCGATGGGGGACTCGGCTTTTGCGTCGTCGTTGATGGGGGTCGGCGGCCTAAGATCGCGCAAGTCCGCGTTGTACGGTCTACTTTTGTGCGGGGGAGATTGCGAGGAATCTCTCGATAAATGCGAGGCGTCGGATTTACGTTCGTGAATATCGGAGGACTTTCGCCTTTCCCGCATCGCCTTCAAGTCGCCCATGTTGTCGTTACAGATGTCGTCGTCGAAATCCAAATCGTATACGGTTCCGACCAACTTATTGTGAATGGTATTCGTGGCGCCGAAGTTATAATCGGTACTTTGTGCGTGACTACCTCTCCCTCTACCTCGTCCTCGACCGCGTCCGCGAGTTTGTGCCTGCCCCCGACCCGCCCCGCGTTTGCTATCGCCGCGTCCTCGTCCCGGGCCGCTAGTCTTCGTCGCGATTTCCTGCGCGGGACTTTTATTCGGAGACTTATTCTGTTGCGATATAAACCGGGCCGAGGTTCTCGTCGGTTTGCTCGGCGACTTTTTACCGACCGAGCTGTTCGATTTGAGCGACGGATTCGGTGACGGCTCAATATGGTTGGTGCTGGGCGTTGAATTACTTACAGTCGGCGAAAGAAGAGACGGTTGCGGCGGCTCTTCCTTCTCGATGACTTCCTTCGGAGTAATCGGCGGTAAATTGACCATCGCCGCCGTCAGCGCCATATTGTGCTGCGACGATGTGAAAGCTGCCGTACACGCCGCTGAGTATCTGATTGTCTCTTCGACCGGTTTAGGCATAGGAGGTATAACGGAATGAGAGGCGGGAAATGCTGCGCCGAAAGCGGGGGGGAACATTGCCGCACCTGGGGAAGGAAACGGAATTTGAGTATTAATATTAGGAGGCGGAAATAAACTAACGGGACTAACAAATTGGGACGGCTCCGAAAAAGGTGGGTAAGGGTCGAGAGCATTCGGCGGGAACGGATGGAGAACTCCGAATGGCATTTCTAAGTTCGGGTGATTGATCATCATCACGTCCGGCCTTTTCATTAAATCATCGTCGACGTCATTTCTACGGGAACAAGAACTCGACGTTGACGCGACAGAACTGGATGATGATCTCCGTGTCGGCATCACCTGACTATCGGCCCACTTCGCCTGCGGATGAATATCGGCATACGGCAAAGGACTTGGCATACAATCCATAGAAGTTTGCTCCAAGTACGGAGTCTGCGATATTCTCCGATCGTGCAGACTCGGGGAGCTATTCTTAGTGAACTCCTCCTGAACGCGCTGCGCTAAAATTTGGTGCTGATTCATCGAGTATTGCTGCACATACGCTTGAGGTAAATCGGGCGGGTTAACATTATAGTGACTTTCCGTGGGAATAATCGGGCAGCTTTCGCTCGGAGGCACCCACCGCTCGTCCGCCTGCGCCGAATCGCTGTGGTCCAAATGATCGTGCGATTGCTGCGACTTATTACTTTCTATAGGAACATCGACTTCGCAAGTTGAGTACTTATAATCGTGAGATTTCTCGGCGCGCTCTTTGTCCGTAACCTCGTTAACCTCGATCCGCATTTCTAAGCTAACGTGAGAAGGCTCCGTCTCCCTTACCTCTACATCGTTCGGAACAATTTGCTCCATATCTATCCTATCAATATCATTTTTTGTACTCGACGCCACGCTAACGGCGTCTTCCATATCACAGGTGGTCGATTTCTTCGACAGTTCCTGCCTCAGTTTCTCAACCAAATTTAAAGTTTCTCGCGCGCTGTCCTCCTTCGAGTCCTCCTTGAACAACGAAATGTTGCCATAACTGAACGTCAACGAACCCTTCATTATCTCCTCGTCCTTTGAGATTCCAAATCCGTCATCCAAAAGATCAAAATCGAGCAGGTCCGTCTCCTTGTTGGGATGCGGGGGTGAAAATATCGATCGGGCCTGCTTCTTTTCGTTCACGAAATCTTCCACTTTATTGTTGCTCTCCAACTGAAAACTTTTACACACCTTCTCGCTGTACACTTTTCGACTGTCATCGATCGTTTCCTCTAGATTCCTCACGATGCACTTCGGACTACTTCTAACCTCCTTTTCGGCTTGGAATAATTCTTCAGCATAGATTTCTTCGCCAGGTTTCACTTTGGGAGATTTCTTTATGGGTACCGTTTCTTCTTGATGCTGCGGAATAACTTCGTGCTGCGGAACAATTTCGTCTACCTGATGAATAGGGGGTTGATCCTATGGAACACAATATATGCGTTAGACTTTTTTTTGTCCAACATGCAAGCCAAGGTGGTGTAGAGTGTTCCCATTGGACACATGAATTAAAGCTTGTTGATGGAAAAACCAAAAAACCGACCCTTAATGATTTTGAATGTTAATGCGTTGCTATGAGTATGATAGTAAGCAAAAAATATAGCAAACGACCTCCTGGGTATGGCTATAGCATGCGCAAAACCAAATTTTGAAACAGGCGTTAGATTTGTTTTTATTCCAAGTGCGTATGTGTCAAATTTCATTTAAATGCCTTCATAAATAAAAAAGTTGGCACTGCGCATGCGCAAAACAATTTTGAAACTGGCGCTAGATTTGCTTTTGTTTATTATTTTATTTTGCCTTTATGTTTGAGTGGGCGGGGTTTCATCCAAGGCTGCCCAACCCACTATTTACATTTACAAATATCCATGCCCGAACCAGGGACTCTTAGCACCACAGATCAGCTTTAACTGAACTGCGCCACACGGACCGGCCAAGTGTCTATGTATTAAATTTCATTTAAATACTTTTATAAATAAAACAAAAGTTCTCAATTCAGTTCATAAATGGCCGGATGCGAAAAGGTTACTGTGAATCTTGAATCGATTAGACTCAACTTTTGGCATTGCGATTTATTTGGCTAAAGATATACCCACATTGAATTTTATGCAATTCGGTTCATAACTATATCAAAAGGGCCTTCCTTATTGTTTGGCCTACATTGCCAATTCACGAACGGAAATCTACAAATGTGATAAAGAATCCACCTGCAAAATTTCATCGTAATTGGTCCATTAGGATATCGTGCTAACGGACGGACAGACACCACAAAATTATAAGCTCGCTAGGAGCCCGTTAATAACGTTTGTCCCAAAATGTTATAAATGTGGTGAGTTAGGCCATTATAAGCGGGACTGTATGAAGTGTGAGAAGAGTCGGGAAGGGTCTGCGTTTGTTAGCGAATCGGATATCGTCAAATCTGTGGATTCCACTAATGTTTGCATGCAGATTCCGTTGCAACGCAGCACATGACCATTATCCGTAATTGGTTTTCTACTTTTGGGGTGTTTTTCGGTGAAAAGTACATTCACGTGGGCCAACCAATGACGGAGCTTGGCTAGGGAATCGTCAACATTGAAATGATTGTCAATGGTAAGGCTAAAAAGGTTATCTTGAGGATGTGTGGTTTGTTACGGCAGTGGGTAAAAATTTGTTCTCGATAACTAAGAAGAAGGTCATCAGAATCCTGCACCAGCACCAGAACCTGTAGTACCAACAAAATAAGCGGGGGAACCTCTACCAGCCGTAGGACCTGTGGAATCAAAGTCAAGGTTGTTGACACCAGGATCTACTTCAGAAGTAGCCTTTTCCACCTTCCATCTCTGAAAGCGGAAGATTGTGAAAGTCCACCAAAGTCAGATAAGTCAAATATTTTTTGTTTGGGAAACAGTACTGGAAAAGAAGTGTTACACTAACGTGAAACTAAGACAGAGATTTCTGCCGCAGTATTGGACGGCGTAAAAACAACGTCATGTAGACGTTATTTCGGTCTAAACACAAAAAATAATCGCTTTTGTAAATTATTTAATCCAGATAAGGTGTTAAAAGTAAGACACATCTGGTCGTTTGCGATAAGGAGTTTTATTATCAGGCGAAATTTAATTGATGCACGTGTTCTGGTGCTGAAAATGAGATACAAATTTTACAAAGAATTGTGTTTAATCTGGAGAAGTGAGAAAATTGCTGCTGCAAGTTCCAACACGTTTGAAAAGCGTATACTTTTTACGCTAAATTACGGGCAGTCAGCCCAATTTGTTTTGTTGAAGACGCAGTTGGTCAATTTTTATAATTAATCGGTGCAGACGCAAGTTAACCAAAGTTGCGTCCGTTAAGATTTATTATTTTATTTGTTAACCGCTTGCGTGCGGGGTAATATGTCCAAAAAAGCTTTTCTGTGTTTCAAAATAAATTTTTGTCTTCAAATAATTGTGTTATTATTTGAATCCATTGTGCGACCCGGATCGAGTTTTTCATGTCACATTTTTCTGTCATGTGTGAATCAAAATTTGTGTAGAATTTGCGGAAGTTGATCAAGGCCACCAAGTAACAAAAGGTGGATCACATGAATATGCAAAAGTTACTAACAATTGATATGAATACAGCATTGCCCATTGTCTGACATGAAATAAATATGTATCCATGAAGGTGTTTCCGAAGTTGTAACCACAACCTCAATTAAATTTTTTTACTTTGTACTACTACATTGTGCTCCTAGTGCTATAATGTGCCAAAGAAAATAAAGGATTAAGTAAAAGTCAAAGAAGTGTTATATCTACTATGAATCAATTAAAAAAAAATTTACAAGATCTAAAGCTTAAAGCGTAAACACCCTGTATATTTTGTTGTCATATTTAACTCATCCAAAAATCTTCAACTTTTGGTAATAATGTCCTATGGCTAGAAGTAATGGTGCTGTCAATATGCAACAGAGAATCCTCACTGGGTCCGTAAAGTTCAACATCAAAATCAATGGTTCATTAATGTATGGTGCGACATACTCCACAAACGAATTATAGGTCCACATCCTTTTAAGGAACCTTCAAATGGATGTTCTTACTTACGTTTCTTGCAACAGGAGTTGCCAGTATTATTGGAAGAAGTGACGAATGTCAAAATATGTGGATTCAACAAGATGGTGCTCCACCCCACTTTTATCGTGAAGGTACAAAATATTTAAATCAGCACTATCTTCAAAGATGGATTGGCCGTAGAGGTTTTGTTGCATGGCCGCCAAGATCGTGTGACTTTACCCCTTTAGATGTTTTGTATACCGGTTCAAGTTAGTTTTCCTTATTTAATTGATAAAAATGTAAATTTCCAAAATCTATAAAGAAAACCGTTGAATACAAATAAAAATATACCATAACAGAATAATAATAGTGGAGTACTCTAGGAAAAGGATGGTCTCATATAATGAATGACTTCTTTGATTTGAAGTACGGTAACAAAAAATTAGAGGCTCTAACGATAAGTGTAAATGTCATAAAAAATATTTACGCACAAACCGACCACTTCAGACAGGCGACGAATTACGCCAAGTATCAGATACATTATGACTATAAGGTTTTATTTCCCAAATTAAACTTTATTTAATTCCTCGCAGCTTTAATAGTTGTGGGTTAAAGACCACTATTGCTCGTATTTAGCGTTAATAGTTTCTAAATCGTAAATTATCCCTTAAATATGAAGCTCGCAAACGTTAATTTACACGATTGTGAACCGTAGTGGCACAAAATTTTTCCGCAACTAATAGACGCCTTATCAATATATAAAAACACCCTGTCATAATTACTTAATCTGAATTTCGTAACGCGAATTGCTGACTATTTTAGTTTTTTGCATCACACCCATCCCCGTTTGCTACAATAAACTAGATTTTTCTACCCAATTAGATTTCTTGACACCTATCAATCTCCTTCGCGTAAGATAGTTGGTAGATCTCACGCTACCTAGCAAGCTTGATAACCACGACTTCTCGGCGCCTCAAGCTTTCACACGCATTTGAAAAATCAGCGCCGCATTCAGGACCAACTCACGCAGATGCATGCAAAAATGTGAGCAAAACATCCGTTAACGGGCTCTCGTTACAGTACCCCCCTCAATTAATTACCTCCAACCTAAAAAATGATTCAGCGCATTATAGCCCACTAGGAGCGCAATGTAGCACAAAGTAACAAATGTTAATTACAGTAAGTTGCGTTTACAACTTAGGAGACACTCTATGCCATGATCCATTCCTACAGAGGGGTAAACTAGTTTGAAAGCAACCGTCCCCAAAATTAGACCCATTTTGTGTAAAGCTGGCAATAGCAAAAAGTGTACAAAAAATCATTACCTCATCCTTTATTTCTTCTATGAACTCTTCCTTGAGTTCCTCCTTGTTTTCTTTCATCGGCGGCGTCATAACCTTTTCGACCACTGCAACCTTCTCGGGTGAAGCCTTAAATCTCTCCCCGCCGCTCTTGTCGAGCTTCTTATCCAGCAACCTTTCCAAACTCGTCTTGCTTTTATTATTCGAATGATCTCTACCCGCCTTCCTTTCGCGAATTTCGCGCTCCAAATCGACGACGCTCGTCTCGAACCGCTCGCCGACTACGTTCTTGTCTTCTTTCCTGACCGAAGCGAGTAGATCGCCGGACTTGGCGACCTCTTTCTTAGCCCCTTCCGCCACCTCATCAGATTTTCCCTTTCTAATTTTATTTCTTTCCCCTCCCACCGATTGGTTATTAGCGATATCTCCAAGCCCGACATTAACATCTCCGGCTCGATCACTCGAGTTTCGCGACCTCGTCCGCGCCTTTGCCGGCCTTCCTCTGCCCCTGCCGGCTCCCAGCGATGGTTCCTCTCTTTCAGGAGGTGTCGCAGGTTTCTTATCGGACAGTCGGCGAGGAGGCCTAGCGGGTTTTCGGTCTTGAACGCGCGCCGCTGGCTCCCTTTTGAGCTTGGCGGGGGAGGCGGGTCGACTCGAGTCACTAGAGTCTGAAGTACTACTGTATGCCTTAGACTTGGCTTCCTTGTCAAGAAAGGGCCAGTCCTTGGCGTTAGTAGTTTTCTTAATCGTGTCGGGCGGAGGCGACGAGAACAGGCTTTCGGTTCGTGATTGTCGCTTGGGGGGCTCGTCCTCCGTCTCGGAGCTCGAGCTGCTCGAAGAATCAGTGGAAGTACTGGAGGAGGAAGACGTACTGCTATTAGAGGAAGACTTACGTTTCACTTCGGGAATCTTTTCCGGTTGCTTCTTTTTTATTTCCATCTCCTTTTTGGTACTAACCGTTTCCGGCTCTTTTTTCGGTCTTTCAGATTCTGAAGCAACCTCGGCAGGTGGTAGAGGTTTCCCCAGGCCGCTCTTTATATGCTCGGCCGCCTTCTTCGCGGCTTGTCGCTGCGGAACATACGACAGAATTTCCAGGTTATCATCTTTGTCGAACTCTTTCTCAATATCGAAGACATCGGACTGTTTCACCTCCTTTTTAGGGGCAGGTTTGATCTCCTTGCCAGTTTTTAACAGTTTCGGTTTCAGTTTTACTTTGTCTTCGGGACTGGAAACGTTCTTCGGCTCTAACTCCGGAGGCACGGGCTCTTTCGGTCTTGAAACTGATGTCGACTTCATATTCTCGGATGCCTTTTTGGCGGCCTGTCTTTGAGGTACAATTAGATCGGAGGGCACATAATCCTTTTTGTCGGGCGATTCTTTGTGCTTGCTCGATTTTTTCGTTTCGGGCGTCTTATTTACACGTTTCGAGGTCGATGGTTTTTGCGAAAATTCTTTCACAGCAGCTTTGGTTCTCAGCCGATTTTGTTGGGAATCGCTAGCCGCATTCGACGATTTATCGTCGTTCTTCGCCGACATATCTGAACTATCGCTATCGGAATAAATGGAAGATATTTTAGCTCTATGAGATTCTCCGCCTTTTTGCACTCGAATTGGCATTAGTTCGTCGCTGTCAGTGCCGGAAATGCCAAGCTCGTGCTCCATCTGATGCAGGCGCGACTTTGACAATTTCCCCCAGTCTTTCTTGACGTCTTCTTCGCTGCTGCTCTCCGTCTTGCTGACGCGTTTCTTCCGGCGCTCCACCGCCTTTCGATTCAGCGTCCGTTTGTGGCCTCTGTTAACCTTCTTCTTCGGTAAAGAAAGAGGTGGCTTTTCGTCATCTGTGCTACTATGCATTTTAATAATCGGTTTAGGTTGTTCGTCGCTGCTACTGGCGGCGGATGCGCTACTTCCGTATAGACTCGCACTTCGCCTTTTAGATGATCCGTTAAAGTACAACCGACGATACGGGTTCTCTTTGACGCTCTTAACCAGTCCGTTCACTTCGTGCTTCTTATGGTCTTCAAATTCATACTGCGGCGACTTAATTCCGGCAATGCGCGCCAAGATCACGTCGAAATCTTTCGTGTGGTCTTCGGCTTCGCTGTGCGAATACAAACGATCGTATATCGAAGGACCGTGGTTTGCTTCGATAACGGCTTGCACAACTGAAGTAGACAGAGAATGACCCGTCGACAAGACGGCGGCTTGTTTGTGAAAGGTCTGTTCTCGCATTCGAAAAAACGTCCTCGACAGTTTCTCGCGCCTACTAACCATGTAGCACAAATTCCGCACCCTCTCCAGATCTTGCCGCAATTGCACAAACATTTTCATCTTTTCGATATCCGCCTGTTCTTGTTTATGCGACAGCATGTCAATGTCCTCGAATTTGGGTAGAAGCAAAGGCTTATTATGGCCCGCCCTACGTTTCAATTTCCAATAATTATAAATATAATACAAAGCTTCGTTATCTACATCTAAATGCACCGTAACGTCCTTCATACTGACGTGCTTATCGAATTCCGCCTCGATTTCCTGAAGGCGAGCCGCTCGCGCTTGGTTTTTCTCTTCGGATGTCATATCTTTCCGCTTTTTCCGTTTGCTATCGTCGTCGTCCGACCCCGAGCAAACGCTCTTCTCCTTCTTGCTAGTCTTACTGTGCTTCTCGCAGTACGATCGCAACTTAACGCCATCGTCCGCGTTCTCATCCTCGATGATCGCCCGCATTTCAAGTCCATGCTTAAACGCGCACGTCACGTGATAAGCAGTTTTACAAGTTTTTACCGAACACTGTATACACGCGCCGACTCGCTCGCGACACAGCACGCATATCAGAGCCCACCTACTCTGCGGAATACTTGAGATCTTCGTTATCGGCTCCATTTTCTCGACACAACCTATGCTAACCTCGGGAATCCACAACGCGCACGACACGTGCGCCCACTTCTGTCCGGATCTAGTCGCCTTCATAGCCCCACCCTTATTCGGACACAGAACACACTCGGGTCTTTGAGAGAGCGAACAGGTACCGCACAACCACTGCCCGTCGGGAATCCGCGTAATACCGTAACAGGCCTGATGTACACATATATTACAACTATCGCAGAACACCATTTCGTTCCCCTCCTCGGAATCCGGCGATCTACACACATCACAAATTACATTCTCATCATACTCTATGCCTAGCCCCTCCTCGTTTCGCAAAATCGCCTGCATTTTATCCCAACAATTGATCTCCAACCTCTCGATTACCCTTTCCAGTTGTTCCTCCGTAACGTGACCGAGACCTAAAGCGGCCCGTTCGCCGTTCAACAATTTCAACCAGGACACGTCGCACTCGTCCAGATCGTAAGAACAGGCCGCCTCCGATTTGGACGCCGCCGTTGACAGAACGTGATCGTCCACATTGAAATGCTCGTCCTTTGTGATCCTAATGTACTTGTTCTTCGGCCTTGAAAAGAAAAAAAATCGTGAGCGTGGTCGCCAACCAATAAAAAAATGTTAAATACAAGACATAAGACATCCGCCGCGTTGCGTAAGATGAGATTTAATTAGTTTCAAGATAAGCACGTGTTATCGCCGATAAGAAAACAACAGGTGTGCAGTTTGTTTCACAGCGGGCGTTAAGAAAATTTGGTTTTGGTCAGCCTGTTGGCAGTTCGTCCTTTTGATACTGAAGCTTGTTTATTGAAGAAAGTGGATTGAATGTACGACATCATCAAATGGATTGAGTTCGTGAGAAGTTTGAAGCGCTTTATCCGCATCCGGAGAAATAATAGCTTGAGTGTGTATCAAGCCGTTCAGTGCATAGTGATATTTCTCCAAGTATTCGCTAAAGTAACATTTTTCTATTCACCATTTACTTAGTTCTTTGTGAGCCAGAATATCACATTTAACAACCAGATTTTTGGATTATTAAAAGTAAGTAAATAAGATTCTTGGAATGATCTTAAAGACGAGCCAATTTCGTTATTAGAATAATCTACATACAGTATGGTGCAAATGAAAAGAATAAGTGGATTATTTCTGAACTCTTAAATAAATTTTTGAATGAGAAGTAGGCTTCTGATACATCATTTGAAAGGTCTTTTAATTCTCTATTCATTACAGAGTTGGCAATCCTTAATTGTTACTTAACTGCAGAGCTGGGCAAGATACTTTTTAGAAGTACTTTAGAATTAAATACTAAATACATTCAAAAAGCAAAAGTATTTAAATATTAAATACTTTTTTAAGCAACATAAGCAAATATTAAATACAAATACTTTAAAAAGTATTTAAATACTTCTGGAAAAGTATTTCACTACTTTACAAACTATTTAAATACTTTGTAAAGTATTTAAATATTTTGAAAGTATTTAAATATTTCGAAAAGTGTTTAACTACTTTCGAAAGTATTTCAATATTTGAAAAGTATTTAACTACTTTTGAAAGTATTTAACTATTTTCGAAAGTATTTAAATACTTTCAAAATATTTAAATATTTTGAAAGTATTTAAATGTTTGGAAAAGTATTTACGTACTTTCGAAAGTATAGTATTTAAATAGTTTGAAAGTATTACATATTTTCCAACATAAAGGGAAAGCTATTGTAATCGGTCGAAAAATTCAAAACTGATACCAGAAATATCCGTTTCGAGGTCCAAATAAGTGGTTTTTGTGAAATGTGAAAAATGTGTGTGTGTGTGTGATGAAATTTGTTCGTTGACACTATCTTATTGAAACAAGATTGACTTTAAATTTCATACACGTGATTTGCGTTTTAGTCGTAATATCGCATAAGCATAAAGAAATGTACTAAAATTTAAAATATTACTTTAACACAGAACACAAGTAATAGACCATTTTTCATTGAAGAGGCTCTTGAAGGTAAACAATCAGTCATGATTTAAAAAGATAAATAATAGTAAATTGAACCGCATGTTTGTATCTGGAACACCTTTATTTTAATTCCATCATATTTCAGTTTCTAGTAAATTTACGCCGATTTACTTATCTAATGTGGAAAAGTTTTTTGAGTGAGATTTTTTGTTGACTATTTGAATATGGATTTAATATTTAATCTTGGAAAAATATTTAACGTTAGCTAAATGGACAATACAACGTGCTTTAGGCTTCTGCTGCGGTAAGAAGCGAAAAATTCTAAATTGGGTCACTGTCACTGAACGTATATCTAGTGACTTTAACTGAACGCTGTGACTTGCGCCATCTGTTTACTATTATAAGAAGCAGCCCCCCACAAGGAATTCCATTTCTATGTTTTCCTCTCTTCCTCGCATTGTTTACCAGTACTAATGACGGCGCATGCGTTGGTCAAGTTTAAATTTCCCTTATGAAGTGATTTGTCTCGTGATTTCTACTGTGTTTAAAGTAAGCGATAATTAATTTTACTACTTCACTTAATTAGAGATCCGATTTTGTTTTGGAGCAAAGGCATGTAGTTGTGGGACGTGAAAACGAAGCAGAGATCTGGCTTCATAAAAACTACCCAGATTTTTTTTATGGATTCTTGGTTGAGAACCGCTGAAGTAGCCTACAAATGTCATTGACATTGCGGACACGAGGCTTTCATAATAGAGCCAAACTTTAAGTATGCCTAAATCCACCTATGAGATATTATCATTTACATTTCGAGCCACATGGTTGGTTGTATTTATTTCAATTTTGTTGTCAATACTTCTCATATGCATACCTAGCACATACAGACTTTTGGTACGTATAGAAGCAAGATATAAAATTTTGTCATAATTTTATTATTTTTCCAAGCGCAACTAAAAATCTTAATTACGGTTTTTGCATTTCATTTTACAAAAAACTGAAAATTTCTCCATTGCAGGCCATATTTTTTAGTAACCACCCAAAAAAACAATGGTATCCATATAAAAAAAACCGATTTTCATTATTCAAAAATTGTGCTTCAAGTAAATGTGAGGTTATGAGCTTCTTTTAATATTATAATTATCTAAGACTTCCTTCCACTGGAATAAAAGACTGAAGGAAGGAGCTTATGTGTCATTAGCTTAGGGGCCTATTAGACTTCTCAATATGGCGGATGTTCATAGGCGCAGTGGCGTGCATATACTTAATATATTTAATTTTTTTTTTGCGGTTTCTACTGAAATTACATACATTTTACTACGGACAGGTTCATCACTTCCAGTAAATGAATTCCATATATCTCGCCTTTCAGTGTCTAAAGGAAATCTGAAAAATAGATATATTTCAAAATCGCTACGGCAGTGGATCTATATTATATAACCTATAAAATGAATGAAATGAAGTGTGATGAAAAGAAAGCCATTTTTAGAAATATAACATTGTTATGTATTATGTATTATGATTCACTTTGGCGTAAATGTCAATTAGCTGTCAAAGCCAGCAATATTACAAAGCCTAATTGAACCCCAACTAGCATACGTTAGAAACCCTCCTTTCTTAGTCTTTTATTTCAATGTTTCCTTCCTATATTTTCTCTAAAGTCAATAATAACAATGCAGAGGCTTCCAATGAAATAAAAAAAAAAACATTTTCACGCTTTACAAAGTTAGCCGGAGGTGGTATAACATTAAAACCGGCTCACCTAATGACTCATATGGGTATCCCATTAGTGTCCCAGATAACAGTCGACTTGGCATGCCATTGAACATGGCCAAAATCCCAATTCGATAGATGGTTTATATTTATACAGTGTGTCCAAGATATGAATGAACAGCATGGGGAATTCGGAAATCATAAGAGTGATACACAGTCGCTTAAATTAGAAGAAACTTGCGTATTTTAGGGCTTAGTCAAATTCGGATCAGGTCCGAAGATATTCGAAAAAAAACGAAATTAACCATATTCGTTTTTTTCTTGCCCTGTTTCAAAAGATATAGGAACTTTTTAGGCTCTACAAGATGGTGTCCACAGATTTTCACTGCAACGTTTCATCTTGGACAAACCATCATCAACTTTATATTTTTATATGGATAAGAAAAAAATGACATACTGTATTGAGTTTTGACATTTTGTCAACGCCTACTACATCAAAATATTAAAAATTGTTTATTATGTCAGACAAAGGGCTTGTTAGTAAATTTTCGTGTACAAAATATCAAATTTTGGTTCCTTTAAATGACATATGTAGTAAAGAATCATATTATGCCATACATCATCGTATTTGTCCAGTCCAGATAATTCGAGTCTCAACAGATTCCATGTAATTCTATTGAAGACTTTTTTTTAAAATAAGTTTAATTTTAATTTTTTAACGTTGTGGGCACCATCTTGTATAGTTTAAAAAGTGCGTATGATATCTTTTCAAACAGGGTCAGAAAAAAATGAATATGGTTAATTTTGGTTTTTGTCAAATATCTTCAGAACTCATCACAATTTTAAGAGTTGAGTGGAAGAGCAGACACGGATCCCTGCCTGAACTCGCCATTTAGACAAGATCTGTAGAAAATGTCTAATAAAGTCATTTATTATTATTTTATTTATTTTTTTCATTTGGGCATCGACCTCTAATGTCATTAACTGTCGTTATCACATTTTCAAAAACAGATTTCTCTCTCATACACCTCATTATTTTCCTGTTATTGTCGGTTTCGTTGTTAAGACATTGTTTTATATTGCTAATTTGTATTTCTGTCTTACAGCAGAAAATTCTATACATTCAATGATAATATGGGGTACCATTAATGAGCTTAAAAGTTTATTGCTACCTGTTAGATTGGTATAACCCATGCGAAATTGGTCAAGACCACTTGCTCTCTGTTTGTCTACTTTATCTGTTGAAGTTGTGCTGTATTGTTCAATCCCCACATATTTTCCCAAAGTTTAATTATTCTTTCCTTAGTTATTATTATTATTTCCGAATTTTTTAAATATTATTTACTAAACCCTAAATATGCAACTTTTTTTCTAATTTAACTGTTCGCTCGTGTCTTGGGCACACTGTGTTTATAGGTCTAGTGACAGACATATGAAGACATAAGCATTTATACAGGGGCTTCAAACTTGACGGTTTTTAAATTTCATGAACGCGGCTTTGGTTCAGAAATATTTGTTGATCGCAAACTGGAAAATAAGAGAAATACTATTGATGACTTTAAAAATTAATCGTTTAATTTAAAACATATTTAATTTAAAGAAATTCATATTTCTGAATCAAAGCCTTATTGAGAAAATTTAAAAATTGTCAATAGATTCCTTATTTTTGACTTTAGAATACAACTTTTGTTAACAATATAATTCTCTACCTTACGAAGGTGTCATATACAGGGTTTCCACTAGAAGTGCGTTTTTGTCAATATTTTGAGAATGTGGCTGTCAATCGTTTTTCTGTTTTCACCATTGTAATCTGCGTAAAAAAAACACTATACTGCATTCATTATAAGAAGGTAGTAGATGGCGCTGTGCTTGAAGACAAGCACACACAGGAAAAATTTAAAACGGCACCAAATTATTGTAAAGTAGATATATCCAATACTGCAAACAGAAATAAATCTTTGACATTAACAGCTAATGACACTTCAAGAGTTTAGTTGACAATAAAAACTAACAGCTTGCAAAATTCGCGACTCGTTTTATGTTTCAGCGTAATACTGACTCCTGTTTTAACCAATCACAGTGAAGGTCAAAGCTTCCCTATGCTTTTTACCGCTACCTTCTTAAAATGAATACAGTATAGTTCTCTAATTTAACTCCCCTTGTATCCCTTATAATTACCAAGTTGGCAATAGTGCAGAAGTTTGAAGACCTTGTATATGGTGCAATTCGGTTTTAGTACCAAATATTACATTAACTAAGTGATTTTTTGATTATGGTACAAAGTAACATATTCTAGACACAAATGATCCCACGCCCAACGTGGATTTTGTTAAATTTTTGCTATTGCAAATTAGGTAGATAAATTTTTAATGGAACGCTCTGTATATTTTTCAAGAATTGAACAGATCTTTTCTTTCTGATTTAAAAAATATATAATATGTTCATCATATCCAGCATTTGTAAATTTTGATTACATTAACATTAAAAAGTTGATTATTTCTATGGTAAAAATAATAAATTAATTAGTAATAAATAATAATGGCAACTGGGATTTGGTAAAACAATTTGATAATATACTATTAATGCAAATAAAAGCAAATGCCAGCATTTCTGAAAAATATACCAGGGGTTCCATATTAAAAATTTACAAAATCTACATTTTTCACTAACTTTTCGATATTGATTTGTTTTTTTACGTTATATTTTCCATTTCCAATTTTTACTTAGAACTTTTTCATGTAGCATCTGCCCTGTCAAGAGATATTGTCTGATATCGCACTAATGGGACAGCCTGCATATTGTGAGGTGTCAAATTTATAGCATTTTTTCATTGTTTACAGCATTGCACTTTTGTCAGGGAATTTTCTAGTGTTTCTATTTGCTTGAATGAAGCAATGACATGTTTAAAAAATTGCCTGTCGCTGGGATGTAATGCCATAGGGCATAGAACACAGATATCTTATACATGAAAAAAATTGTCCTACGTCATAACAAACACAGTCTGAAATTCAAAATCAAACATTTTCGTTAATAATAAAAAAGTTATGGGTGTAAATGATCCAGGTGCAAGAAACACCCCCTAAGCAGTCTCATTTTCCTAGTGGTCATCCTCGCAAAATGTGAGTCCTAGTGGTTATTTTTGTAGGTTTGATAGTACCATGAATTCTCATAAGAAAGCGCTTACTTTGGACCACTCTTACACATTTTAACTGAAAATAAAATATTTTATGAAATTTATAAATACACCATACACATAAAATGGCCACCTGCATATGAAAAAAATTATCCATTTTCGGAAAATCAAACTCCTTTCATTTAAAAAAATTACCAATAAGAATATGCCATAAAAAATCTAAAAAGTTGTACAAAAATCACAGTGCATTATTTGCAAACAGAACATATGTACATGGTTTCAACAATTATAAGACATATGTATTGTTTATACAACAAAGATATTAAAATAAAACAATAAACACAATGTGTATTAAAACCATGCTTCTATTTTCACACGGTTAAATCATTTCTAGTAACTTCACTTAGTTAAGAATTCAAGACTGATTTATTTGTGCACTAATTAACAATTACAACAATAAATGAACTTAGTTTGTCACAGAGGGCGTTTTTATACAATAACTTACTGGAACACCTTGTGCATTTTCATTGGTGCAGGTACTCAAAAAAATGACTGTCAATTTACATTGATACCTAAAGTGTTATTCATGCCAGACTGACAGTTTGTTTCAATTGTCGTACTTACTACATGACTTATTGATTCTGTACTGCACAATATTTCACCCAAGCAACTAGATCAATTCGTGACAAAAAAACCTAAAGGGCATACAGAAAACCGAAATTACCGACGCAAATACTTACATTCGAAATTCATGTCGAGATCTACCATGGTTGCACTGATTAACGGTGACGCACGGTTCGGGCAACGAGTCCGGATTAACGGGCACCTGAACGCCCCGCTCCCACTCCTGCTTCCACTGGTCGACGATAACCCAGTACTCGTCCGAAGCGAGCGGCTCCGAATCGGGCAGCTTCATGGCGCTGATGAGATCCTTTCGAAATAGTTCGGCGGGCGCCTCCGTCGCCGTCCGATTGTAAATACTCTTAAGATCGTTAAACGGCCTCGGTTGCCACGCTGCAGCTGCCAGGGAGGCCGTCTCCTCCTCCTCAACCGTCGGCCGCTAAAAGCCAACAGTCAACGAGAGCGAAAATGAAAGCGGCAACAAGTACGTACCTTACGCCGTTTAGTAGGAACAGAGCCATCGTCAGTGCGGTTAGGCCGTTTTACTCTCTGGGACATTGCACTTATATTGTGCAGGTAGGTGAAAACTGTGCAACCTAAAATATCAGTCCCCAATTAGAATGTCATCGATCTCCCATTTGGTGGGTCTATACAACAACCAATTGATACAAACGAACACATTTGTATAGCGTTTTTAATTAAATACTAACTGTAATGCTTGTATAAACCTTGTTGTTTTCCCATATACTTACTACATATTTGTTTAATTTTTCAATTTGTGCACCAGTTTAATTAGGTCTGAAACAGAGAGAGATTACATTAAAACACAAACATCCATATGTAAGTAATATGGAATATTAAAACAATGCCAGTTAAATAAAAAGTGAAATATTAATACAAAAGGCACAATTTATAATGTATTGCCTATGGCTATTATTTTGTGAAGCTTTATACTGCACCTACATGTATATCAAACAGTTGACTGCATGCAGAACGTTTTAAACAAATGAACGGCGCATTCATTTTCAATGAAAATAAATGAAAAATTCTACAAAATAGATTGACAAACTGCAGAGGAGGCTCCCATGTCTACACTGTAAACATTTGAACTTAATCGTCTGTGCACTCACTTCTACCCTTAGATTTATTTCCAAATAAAGCAACACATATGATTATTAATGTATTACCATTTTCTTGGAAATTATGCGTGTATAACAGTGAATTTCAATGTTTTATAGGTAAAAGTCCTCCATTAAACTCCATTTGGTAAGCTAACAACATTGACAGCGCAGATGGCGCATGAATCAGTCCACTAAAATTAAACGTGACTCTTCACAGACGAGTTTGCGCGACTTTTTAAAAGTGAGCGCGATTTTTCAAAACAATTGAGCTTTTTCCTAGTGCCCGTTTCTAGGCGTACCACTTTTAAAAGGTAGATCTGTGACAAACGAAACTCCGGCACAGATTAAAGCCAACCTATGGCAACAACATTAGCAAAAGGAAGATAACGCAGCGATGTGGTATTTAAATACCACCTTTTTACCATCTTAACAACAACACTTTACAAGTGTCTGATTATAAATTTATGGGGTTGAAGGGTACAGTTACATACAAAGGCTCCCTCAATAAACACACAACACACTTGCAATAAAAAATTCTTAAAACTACATGGCCTTCCCGATAGAAAATTCGGACCTTTCTACACCCTTCATCCGTTGCTTCGATTCTTCATTTTCAGTCGTCTACCTTTCGCGCGCGTACACCCTAGGGCCTCGGGGTATCTGCGAGGGATGAAAGAAGTCTTTTGTACTCCTTAGACTAAATCAAGGCGTTTTGTCTTACATTTAAGGGACTTTTCCTCAAGAAGGGATTAAAGGCAATAACAAACGAAAAGTGAGAGTACTGCCAAACACAATTTTAACCTTGGAAGATAAATTCTGATGGTTCTTACATCATGTTTTCTTTTCGGATTTGGGAATCAGTAATGTCCTCATGGCTCCTTTTGTGAAGTTTTAAGTAATCTCTACGTTTTGTACAAGAATCTTTAAACTTCTAAATCTTCTAAACAATTGTTAGGTATTTACATAAAGGGCAGGAGAGTGACACATTTTTGTGGCAGCACTTTCGTATTGCTGGATGCAGATGAGACATAAGTATATGTTTTATACATGTATTATTTATAAGTATTTAAATAGATTAATAAACTGCTTATTTATAAAGAATATTGTTTTAAATACTTGCGTGCTTTAAATATTATAATTTTCAAATAGATACGAAGAACGCATGCGCCTTATGAAGAGTCACGTTTCGTTTGAGATGTGAGTGCGAATAGGTGAACTACAATAATATTATCCGTCTCTTTTTCTCTTCAAAACAATTTTGCTTGTTTTTGGCAAAAAAATCGCGAATTTAAAGAGCGCCCTTACAAAAATCGCCGCGACGCGTCCGCCGCATTAACAAAAACGCGCGTTTTCATCAATTATCGGTCCGATTCGTGAATCCGAGCAAATTCAATACGCTTTCTCTTTCCAATTTAACAAACTAGCATTTGTCCTCATTACGCATTCCTCTACTTTTAATTATACACGATCTGAACAAAAAAATTAATAAATCGGTTCATAGGTTGCGATTGGCGAATAAAATTTTGGCGGTTCTCGTTCTATTATTTATAACTGTCGGCTAAATGCGTCACGTGATCTTTGGCGGGGGTGTATTGTTGTCGTTTTTACAAAAATTTGAATAGAGGGGTTAGGCAGGTAAATAAATAACGGTAAGTGAACGAGGATGGGACCTTAAAAATTTTTATCTTAACGAATTCTCCCAAATATTCCACAATCCGAGTGTAATCAATAATCAAAGCACGCAGAAGCTGACGTTACGCCCACCTATCGCGATGGAACCTTCAAGCCGTTTTTTCAAATTAAATGCGCAATTCAGTTAATGAAGAATTTTGGGCTTTTAAAATGTCAATGTGGCAAATTCGCGCCACACGAACAGCAAAAGTAGTCTACCGCCAAATTCTTCAAAGTTCAATAACTTCTAACGATCATTTCCCGCCATTTACATTATCTTTGTTTGTTTACTTTTGTTAAGCGTGAAATTCCTTATAAACATTCAATTTTGTACCGATTTGCATTGCAAATTGAGTTGGTCAACAATTAAAATTCAAGCCTATAAATCTTAGTAAATAAAAAAGAAACCTGAAATAAGATGCGATTTTGGAAAATTTGATATAAATAATAACATTTCTAACCTGAAAGTGTAAATAAACAATATGTAAATTCACTACAGTACAGGGTGTCTCAGCTATATTTGCATTTGTACAGGGTCTTGGATGATGATTCGTGTCTGAGATCAATATGAAACCTAATTAATGGACATGATGGTGGTGACATCATGAATTATTTTTTCCACTATTCGTGTCGATTACTTCCTCGATTGCCATATTAAGATAGCTGTAAGAGTTTTCATGTCCTACTATCCCTATTTTTTATATTAAAAACTGGAAAAATTTCCCAACGCTGATTACGCCAAAGCGTCAGCTGATGCACGCGCCTCCTAGATTGGAGATCGAGCTACGGAATAAATTTAAAGGAGCCAATGAGCGCCCAGTTACCATCCGATCAACGCAAATCAGCTGATACTTTGGTGTTTGGTTTTATATAAATTTACAACAATCGCGGTCATTTTCGGAGATGCATTTTCTCACTCGTGTTGGAAGGCGTTATTATGGTCACTTTCTCCGTCCGAGGCCTTAACTACTCTTACAGTTTTCAAGGTATGTAGTGCGTTCTTTTTGCATTCGGTAGCTAATAACTCGCGTACTTCAATTAAGAAAAATCTTGACGATTAGTGCCTAATGTCAACTTTCTTATTTATGGAGATATTTCTTTGAAATTTTAACCACAGATGCTTCTATAGTAAAGATAAGCATATTATAAAAATGCGCATGTGCAAACTGCGTAATTTCATCTTTCTACGGAAATAATTTGTTTTTAATTTTAACCACAGATTCTGATTTTGACAATTTAACGGTCTATCTAATTCCACAACTAAGAAAGTTAGCAATAATGCTTATTTAATTTGAAAGAACTGTACACCTTTTGGCTTGCCTTTCAGTTTTATTGTCCTTTAAAAATTACAATTAAATTACTTTCCATTCATACTTTGTGTTTAAAAGTTCATAGTAAAGGGCAAGAATAACATGTCGATCTAACAACAATCGTGGAGAATTCAAAAGAATCGCCACTCACAAAGAAAATGGAAAACAAACAAGAAGTCATTTTGATACCTTATTACACAAAATGGTACAAAAACTATACATCACTACAATACTAGTTTTTTTCTGTATTCAAAGGTTCTTGCAGTCGGAAGCAGTCGCTTACAATTTTCCATTTGTCATTTTGTGCAGTTATGACGAAACTTTCCTGGAACGACTTTGGTACTTTATCTTGATACTTAACCGTACCGCTAACTTGTATTAAAAAGGACAGTTGACCATTTACAGCATTATCTAAAAAAATAAAAATAGTAAACAGGACTACACACTACAATATAAAATAATAGCTTTCCCTATCTGATCTTTGCCGTTTACACTTTTGGTAGAACAAAAGGCTCTAAATGTACTTAGAGGGTGCAATACCTAGAATTGGCTGTGCATCTAAAGTTGTTATTATGTGATCCGTGGATGGTAATTCCATGTAAAACTTTTGTATTCTGTCATTTCCTGTTATTCCATTACCGTTCCATGTCAACAATCCATTATCAAGATATAGTTTCGATATTAACTGCAATAATAATTAACGGTTAATCATGCACCAGATTTTGAAAATAGAATGTACTCTCATTTCATTTGTTCTTTGCTTTCATAGAGCTTATGCCAACTGTGTTTATAATAGGTCAATGAACACAGGAGTCTGCTACTCTGCATGCTTGAAGCAGCCTCCAAGACCAAGCCAATTCGTGTTCTAACAATTTAGTTTGCGGTACCAATTACAACTACTTAAAAATGTACAAGTAACATCTTTGCTGCAACTTACATGACGCCTTTTATCGGTACTTTCATAATACAGCTTTGTGAATTCCTCGGCAGTTCGACAAGATTGATCAATTTTTGCTTTCTAAAATAAAAACGTTTGAATAAGAAACTAAAATATGTGCTGAAAACGCACCTGGTCCATCGTGTTAATTACCAAATTATCTTTAAGAGCAAATGTAATTGAGAGATTTAAGTGAGGTTAGATCATCAATCATGAGAACCATGAGTCAGAATACTTTGGAAGATTAACACCCGAGTTACGTCGGTTGATAGGCAACACATCATACATTATCCAATTTTTGTAGAAAATTGTACTATTCATTTATTTGACGCATTTTGGCAACACACTATACAGATATCGGAATCTTTTAACATAATCAAAGATCATAATATTTACCTATACAAAAAATCCCATTCTCTTAAATACTCATTCTTTTGTTCCTATGTGATTCGTTCTTATCTGGTCTTTACATCTCTCTTTCTGTTGGTTTCCTTTTCATGTCTTTTTTTCTATAATCTTCACCCCGTTCTCTCCCTTCCCCTCTTCACTGTCTGTGACTTGGAACTGCATTACAAGTAGTATAGTTTGTAACGGCTTGATTACTGCTGTAGTTGTAGTAATAGCAGGTCTAGCGTTTATTTTGCTTGAAAAGGGTATTTTTATTTACAGGTATAGTAATCATTTTATTCTTTCCTTTGTACTAACTGTTGCTCGGTACGTTTCAATTTAACCTGGAGACCTTGGTTGGAGTGAGTACCTCATGCAGTTTGATTCTTGGCTGCATGTTGCTCCTTCATCTCTTGACCTGCCAGCGAACAGTGCGTAAGCTATGCGAGAAGGGGGTCCTCTAATATGATATTTCTCCGTATGAGTCGTTTAACTATATTCTGCGAAGATTGATTGATGTTTTTGTACTACATTGCTGTATTATGTTTTCCACTTATACATATATGATGTCTCGTGTGTTTCGTTTTTATGACTTTTCTCTCTTGCATTTTCTTGCCGTAGTTGATTTAATTCATGTATTTTTGTGGGCTATGCCGGGTTTTTGTCCCCAAGAAGGTTTCCCTTATTCCCATATTCTTACGCACAAAATTCTGTATTTTATTCAATTCCCTTTCGTTTATGTCTATGTCCCAACACACAAAAAGCCAACCTAGTAGGAATTCATTCGTGCCATCAAGTCCGAGATTTCAAAGACCCCTAGGATCATTACAACTGTGTTGATATTAATTTTGCCCAACCTATCAACTAGATTTTGTTGTGGACAAATGCACCGTTTAATTGTCTAGGTATAAGTGTTCCTATGTTTACTTTATTACTTGCTTAGTTCTGTGACTAAATTCAGCGTTTGCTGGGTTTACCCTATGCCTATGTAAAATGACTCTTCAAAATATTTTGCAGATTTTATTTGTGTAATAAATATCGATACGTATAAAATTCTTACATTATTTCCAGAATTACAAAAATTACGACTCATACACATAAAGATACTTTGGGCCAGAAACGTTCGTATAGTATATATACAAATACAGTGAAAAATAACTTTTAATGTTTAATTATCAAATAGGACGTTAGCGGGCAAACAATTCTATAATTTCAGTCTCAAGGAAATACCATATACAATTGGCAACAGTCATTTTCTTTTTTAAATAAGGAATGTATGACTACAATGAGCAAAAAACCACAACCAACAAAAGCATCGATAATATTTAGCGTAAGGGAAGCATTTAGTTACATCGGTAATGTTTGAGTGAAAGCGTGAAATAGAGAATAACGTGTAATATCAACAGATCTATCTTCAACATGAATATATCCACTGCCATTAATAACCATTTGGTCCATTTCCGCAAACTGTAATTATTACCAAACGAGGTGGAGGGGGTACAATTTATCCGAATAAATATACAAATATACACAAACGAGACATAAACGTAAAAAACAAATTAATTAACCTCGTCAAGGTGAACGGCGGCCGCGTCAAGTTCCGGAATTCCGCCGACGGCCCCCTCCTCGATCTCGACGTCGATATTTTCGATATGTTCCTGCCTCAGCTCGATTACCTCGAGCGGAAACATCGGCGGACGATCGAGAATCGGCGCCGCGATCGGGTTGCCTCGGGCGTCCAGTTCGAGCGCGGGATCGGCGGTCGCCTCGGCGAGGTTGGTTACGCTCTTTGATTTGACGCACTGAAAGTCGACGTGGCGACTTTTCGCCTCCTCCTTTTCCCACGACATGTGTATGAAAGGGCGCTGGACGTAGTTGTAGATTACTTCGGCGCGACCGTCTGGACGTTTCTTGATTTTCTCCTTGTATGTGGGATATCCTGCAGGATTTTGTATTAGACACGAATATGGCATGCAACTGTAGATAGTGAGACAAGTATAAGGTCCAGTATCTGGCAATATTCTAGAACATTGGTATTTATTTAACGCAGTTTCATAACCTGTCACATAAACAAAACTTGAATACGTGACTGATTGCATATGTAGAAATGTTTGGGCTCGTTCATGTTTCAAAGTAATAAATAAATTCTGAAAGGGATATTTAACTTGTAAATAAAGCTCTCGGGAGATCATTCAGTAAGATCCAATTGTAGAGTAACTTACTGAATATAAATATGCAATTTGGAGTGACTCAATAAAATTCCTGGGGTAAAGACATTAAAAATGTGCGAATCAAGAACTGTCAATCGTCAAGTTACAGTGGTGCAATATTGTTGGCACTGCTACTGAACTTCAGTTGTTGCCGTACTTTCATTAACTGAATTCAATATGTATATTAATTTGTAAGTAGCTATAATGTATGCAGCTATAGTCAGGGACGGATTTAATAAAATAAAATTAGGTGTATGTTTTATTAATGGAAATTAAGCCGCGCGAAACTTTGCGTTCGGCGTTTCAAAGAAAGTTATACTGGTTTAGGTGTTTACTGCTTCTGACAGTAAGGTGCATGTGGTTCTGTAGGAAGCAGATCTAGGTGGAACTACTCCTATTGAGCTTCCAACGTTGGTTCTGTAAACCGTGTAAACTATTCAAACCGCTAATACCAGTCCGCGTTTCCGTGGTTAATCGGTGCCGAGTACTGCCATTTATGCGTTCGCTCATTAAGGGCTCAGTCAACGAAAAGTGTGAGCGTAAGCTCGTTCCCGGTTTCACCGTTTATTGGGAAATATAAAATGGCATGCAAAGCCAATAAAATCAGGCCCAAAAGAGTGGAGAGTCGAATGACGTTTCACGTTTCACGTTGAGAAAATCACATGTAACTTCCCTACGACCACAAAATTTAACATACCTCAAATACTAAGAAGAAAAGAAGAAAAAACAATAATGACAGTAGAGCGACAAAACGGCAACGGTTGGAAATTAAATTAAATTAATAATAATACATTAAAAAAAATGAAGTATCAAGGACATTGGACACTAAGTGGAGTGCAGGGTCAATTTTTTTTTAGAATTTGCGGTCAAAAATTGGACTACACCTTCACGTTTCTAATCTTTGAACAGAAATAATCAATGCATTACAAATTATAAGGACGTCTCACTATCTACCACATCTATGACACTAAAACACGACTACTGTACCTTCGATTCCTAAACGAATTTTCTTAAGACCTCTATCCTTTAGCACTTGTTTCGCAACGTCGCGATTCTCGATATATTTAAAAAACCTGTACATCGCTGTACTATTTACAGTTTCACTATACTCCTCGCCCATCTGCGGTGGATACTCCTCGTCCCAGTCGACCGCGTCGTCGTCTAACAGAACGACGATGTGACACTCCCGATCGCCTCTCTGCGCGGAATTTACCATTAACGGCAGTATAAGCGCTTCCAAAAACACCTCGAACTGACAACGTGCGCCTTCATTGGACAGCTCGTGAAGGAGACCACCTAAGTTAAAAATATTAAACACTGAAAGGTATGAAGGGGTCGCGTATAGAGTTTGATTGACACTTTTCCGATTTTGTCAAAATTATTCTAAAAAAATGTCCTCTGAACACCCTCAGATATAAACCGCTTGACTTTTTTAGTTAAGAGATACAGAAAAATATTTATTACAAAAGTTTCATTATAATGATTGTTGAAGAATCTGCGGTTTTCAAAATAAGTATACAGGGTCAGGTAAAAAAGTTATGAGACCTAACCTCATTTTTTTTCAATGGAACGTCCTGTATATTTTAATAAAAAAATTCGCTTTTCAAAAACTTTCCTAACACTAAAAAAATCAAAATTGATTCAAAAAAATTCAAAAAAAATTTTAAAAAAATTTAAAAACTTTCATTTTTTTATTACAAATACGAAGTACGCTCAGAAAAAACCAAAAGTTGGAAGCTGTTGGTTTCAACAGGATGGTGCACCAGCGCACAACGCTCTAATCATGCGAGAATACCTATCAATACTACCGGAGAAACTTTCCAGGAAATTTGTCCAAGAAGCATGCATTAATAAAAGGTGGAAAGTTTAAAATCTGAATCCGAAGTGCAAACTCTACATGTGACCCTTCTACAATGTCATAGAAACATCGGATTTTGTCAAAATTATTCTAAAAACCGTCCCCTGAACAAGCTCAGATATAAACCGCTTGACAATTTTAGTGTACAGGGTGTCGACACTTTTTTAGTTAAGAGATACAGAAAAATATTTATTCCAAAAGTTTCATTATAATGATTATTGAAGAATCTGCAGTTTTCAAAATAAGTATACAGGGTCAGGTAAAAAAGTTATGAGACCTAACCTCATTTTTTTTCAATGGTCCTGTATACGCTTTTCAAAAACTTTCCTAACACTAAAAAAATCAAAATTGATTCATATTTTAAAAAAATTTAAAAACTTTCAATTACAAATACGCGCTTTGGAAGCTCAACAGGAACCAGCGCACAACGCTCTAATCATGCGAGAATACCTATCAATACTACCGGAGAAACTTTCCAGGAAATTTGTCCAAGAAGCATGCATTAATAAAAGGTGGAAAGTTTAAAATCTGAATCCGAAGTGCAAACTCTACATGTGACCCTTCTACAATGTCATAGAAACATCGGATTTTGTCAAAATTATTCTAAAAACCGTCCCCTGAACAAGCTCAGATATAAACCGCTTGACAATTTTAGTGTACAGGGTGTCGACACTTTTTTAGTTAAGAGATACAGAAAAATATTTATTCCAAAAGTTTCATTATAATGATATTGAAGAATCTGCAGTTTTCAAAATAAGTATACAGGGTCAGGTAAAAAAGTTATGAGACCTAACCTCATTTTTTTTCAGGAACGTCCTGTATATTTTAATAAAAAAATTCGCTTTTCAAAAACTTTCCTAACACTAAAAAAATCAAAATTGATTCAAAAAGATTCAAAAAAAATTTTAAAAAAATTTAAAAACTTTCATTTTTTTATTACAAATACGAAGTACGCTCAGAAAAAACCAAAAGTTGGAAGCTGTTGGTTTCAACAGGATGGTGCACCAGCGCACAACGCTCTAATCATGCGAGAATACCTATCAATACTACCGGAGAAACTTTCCAGGAAATTTGTCCAAGAAGCATGCATTAATAAAAGGTGGAAAGTTTAAAATCTGAATCCGAAGTGCAAACTCTACATGTGACCCTTCTACAATGTCATAGAAACATCGGATTTTGTCAAAATTATTCTAAAAACCGTCCCCTGAACAAGCTCAGATATAAACCGCTTGACAATTTTAGTGTACAGGGTGTCGACACTTTTTTAGTTAAGAGATACAGAAAAATATTTATTCCAAAAGTTTCATTATAATGATTATTGAAGAATCTGCAGTTTTCAAAATAAGTATACAGGGTCAGGTAAAAAAGTTATGAGACCTAACCTCATTTTTTTTCAATAGAACGTCCTGTATATTTTAATTAAAAAATTCGCTTTTCAAAAACTTTCCTAACACTAAAAAAATCAAAATTGGTTCAAAAAGATTCAAAAAACATTTTTAAAAAATTTAAAAACTTTCATTTTTTATTACAAATACGAAGTACGCTCAGAGAAAACCAAAAGTTGGAAGCTGTTGGTTTCAACAGGATGGTGCACCAGCGCACAACGCTCTAATCATGCGAGAATACCTATCAATACTACCGGAGAAACTTTCCAGGAAATTTGTCCAAGATGCATGCATTAATAAAAGATGGAGTTTAAAATGTGAATCCGAAGTGCAAACTCTACATGTGACCCTTCTACAATTTCATAGAAACATCGGATTTTGTCAAAATTATTCTAAAAAACGTCCCCTGAACAACCTCAGATATAAACCGCTTGATAATTTTAGTGTACAGGGTGTCGGACACTTTTTTAGTTAAGAGATACAGAAAAATATTTATTACAAAAGTTTCATTATAATGATTGTTGAAGAATCTGTAGTTTTCAAAATAAGCAACAGGGGACAGGTAAAAAAAGTTATGAGACCTAACCTCATTTTTTTTTGGAACTTCCTGTATATTTTAATTAAAAAATTCGCTTTTCAAAACCTTTCCTAACACTAAAAAAATCAATAGATTCAGATTTTAAAAAAATTAAAAATTAAACAACTTTCATTTTTTATTACAAATACGAAGTAAGCACAAAAAAAACCAAAAGTTGGTTTCAACAGGATGGTGCACCAGCGCACAACGCCCTAATCATGCGTGAATACCTATCGGAGACACTTTCCAGGAAATTTGTCCATGAAGCAGGCATTAATAAAAGGTGCAAAGTTTAAAATCTGAATCCGAAGTGTAAAATCTACATGTGACCCTTCTACAATTTCATAGAAACATGCCAACTTACGTAAATTCTGACAGCGAACGGTGTGGGCGTCGAAAGGCACTAACAGGTAGTCGCAAGCTTCTCGTAACTCCTGCACGGAAATCGACGGAGGGCATTTGATCAATCCACCTTTGTAATACTCTAAAATCGCTCTAAAGACGGTCGCCGAAATACCGTCGGCGACCTCGTACTCTCCCTTCTCGTTGGGATGCGCGTACTCGAATCCGGACGTGAACATGCGTCCCAACAACGTATTCGGATGTCCCATAATTATCGCGGGATCGATGACGAATCTGGTATTGTCGACTACCAAAGTCACGCGATCGTCGCTACTCAACGAGTTGTTCACCGAAGATCCCATTTGAGAGTTTTGATTTTTGCTAGTGGGAAGCGTTTGTATCACCGAACGTGATCTAGCAGTGCGATATTAAAATAACAACGAAAAGGTTGTCACTTACCGATTACGGGTATTCGTATGGCACTGCTTGTTAGATGAAAGGGGATGGCATCTAGGATCTGTTAACGACGCAGATCGCTGGACAAGGCACGGTTTTGGCTTGGAAATTGATCCGTAACTGAAGCACAATTTTTATCAGAGAGGAGTTTAGATGTTGGCCAGTTACCTTAAGCGATTTTTAAACACACGACGGCGACGATCATCTGTGTAGTCTTCCGTGTCACTACTAGTGTCATTGTTGTTATTATTACTGTATTGATGACGATCGCTGTTACCTGCCATTTCGACTCTCGGTAATAAACACTTGACAATCACATAGAGATAATCAGTGCAACTATGAATATTTTTGGAACATACCCAGTGCATACGAATTTTTATAAATAATTTAGGAACTGTCAAAATTTTACAGCTGCCTGTCAAAAACGGACGAAAATGACAAAATGTCAACAAATATCCAATATTTTTGTATTTAATAACGGTTTAATGTTAGTAAATTGAGTTGTTATAGCATTTTATAAACGTTTCGAGTACATAAACACAGCCTAGACTGTGATATAGCAAAAGTGATAAGCTCGTTGTTAAAATGCAGTGGCGTAGTATGAAAAAATAGTCAGTGGTGTAGGCAATAATTTGAAATTATTCAGCAGTGGCGGCTGTTAATTGGTTTGCAGGTGCAGCGACTTTTTTTTGCAGGATAACAGCGTTGCCAATCCTACTGTCATTGCAAGTTTTTCTATTATTATTTTATAAGTAAAAATATTTAACACTACTTAACTGCTTGTATTTGCAATTTAACACTTTACCGTTTTTGAATTTGACTACACTTGCGGCTATTTTTACATCGATATGACACACACAAACATCTGCGATGAACTTTGAGAACATTCTCGAGTATAGGCATTGCGATATCTCTGTAATTCTGCCATCTGAATGTGAATTCCACTATAGATTCTTGTTTTTATCTCGGTAACCGTACCTGACAGACCTCATGTTATGCATACAAAGTCCACTTTTTTTTAAAATGGTATCCGCCTTACATAACAAAGAGTAATTTCCAGTTATGCACATAATTGTTGCATGCAACTTTTTTATTTATTTAATGAGATGTCCGTTTTCAAAACTCAAGCTACGAGTATCGTTAATAGAGACACCATTTCACCGTTTGAATCATCGACATATAGAAATGGATTACGGGTGCCAATGCTAACAGTGGATATTGCAGGTGAGAGAGAAGGGAAAACAAAGAGACAAGCTCTCTCCTTATAGCATCGACATTCGACATACATGCACTTCCACAGCAATGTCGATTTAAAATTTAATGCCAGTATAATAGAAACGCGATAAAGAGAGCTAGCTTGTCTCTTAGTTTTTCCTTCCCCACAATGCAGCACTGTTCCTTTGGTTTCCTACATGCTTATTCTGTTCTATCGAGTGCATATACGTAATTTAGATGTAATACACCGATTACGTACGTTACAAACTAAAATCCTACTATAGCATATATTGCTAGACAAAATAAAATTGTATAACTGTATATACCTACTGTAGGTAGCTGCATGTACTTCTGAATTGCAACTATATACTATTTAAATCTGTGCTAGTATGAAGCGCCAAATCTCTAAATGTTAAGGTCAAGTAAAGTGTAAAGGTAGGATTTTAAAAATGTACCAAGAATATAATTTAATTTAGAATGAAAGTCTAATCATTCCAAGTTCATACAACAATAACGATAGGCGACAAATTATTAGGCAAAATTTAAATTCTGACAGTGGTACACATACAAATCAATTTTCATACAAGGTCATTTTTTATACTTTCCATTTTGATTAACTTGTTTGGATACGGAAGCCGCAATTTGCACTCACAAAAACACCAAAAATAGTACATAAACAATTCTGAGATTAATTTTCATATCGACTGGATTGACTAATATCACAAGACGTCATTTGTTTGCCCAAATAATAATAAAACACATAATATACGAGTGCCTGAACCGGTTCTGAGAGAGATGACCTCTACTGACACACAGGGACTTTCATATGAGCAATCTTATCATATCATGTTGCAAACATGATAAAAGGGACATGCTCATTGAACTCTCTAGTCTAGAAGGTTGCGTTTACAACTTCATACCGGTAGTGCGACTGTTAGTAGTTGAGTAGTAGTACCACAGAATTACTGTTCTGTGAGTAGTACGAATGCGAACGTCATTGTTGAAGCATCCTTGATTTTAGGACAAAATTAAACGTTAATGTAATTGTGATTAACGAAACGATTTAGTAGTGGAGAACATTCCAAAGTGTTTGGTGTATATTACCTAGTTTTCGTTTTGGGGGGTTTAGTTTTAATAAAATTAGATAAAAGTTGTGTGATCTAGAGTACGTTTTATAAATAAACAAGAGGTAAGATTTTTTTGGTTAATTTTCATTGATCATTTTCTCCAATTTGCATATAGTTAGATGATGTCCCAATTATTTCTAACCTTCACATCGATCAGAAGTACGAAATGAAATTGTGAAAAGTTGTTTGGCCAGCTTTCGTGTTGTTGTTTATTTTGAATTGCATTCTAAAACGTATCAACCTTTGGTTTCTAATAAACTTTGGACCCTTTCGGTGTGTTAAATTAAATTTTAATGCGGGGACACTATTTTCGGAATTATGTAATGTAAATGGAAAGCGGTCAAGTTTGATTTGCTTAATCCCACCAAAACAGCTAATTTCGTATTTTCTCCCCTTTGGCTATTTACGATTTCAAATTGACGACGTCACCGTGAAATCTTCGAGACATCTCGTAAAAACGGCTAAAAGAAACATTTACGTCACTGCAGCGTGTGGTTTACAGTACAATGTCTAAAAAACAAGACGGCACGCATTAGGCAAATTTGCACTATTAACCTTATTATGATGTAATCGTAATTAGCTATTCAAACGCATTTTACTTCAACCATGAGGACTTTTCCCATTTGAAACTCGAGCAATGTGTGCTACAAGAAGATACGAAACAATTTATAAATGACGAGCGTAACCTACTTTTTAGAAAATGATGCGGATTCCCGCTCATATGGCTTCATAATCTAATTGAATTTCTATTCTTTACCCAAGTATTTCAATTAATCATTATTATTAGACAGCTAATGAAGAAAGTGTACACATCCGCGTTGCTTTGGGGTATAGACTCAATGCCATTATATTTAACTTTCAAAAAAAATAGGTGTAAGGTATGCAGCAGTTTGCGTAGACAATTAAACTGCTTTGTCAATGTTCGTAATAAATTAAAAATTTAAATTGATCTTTCATTCAATCCTAATGCTATGTTAATGCCCTGCATTTTAATCACCTCTAAACTAAAGTTCAAGATACCTACTTCGTTGGTAAAACGCTGGTACCTACTCACTACGGATTACAGGCAGTGGCGTAACATCATTTTAGAGGCCTGTCTTCAAAAATATTTGGGGGCCCCGTCATCAGCATTTTTTAAGCGATGTTAATATGTAGAAAATAGTGTCTTGATTTATGCTGATTTTGCATTTTGTAATTCATTGGTTCACACTTTCACAGGTCCATTGTAAAATTTAGCTTCACTGCGTTCAGTTAGAGCCCAGTTGATTTTGTTGTAACTCTTCGTTTTATTGTGACTTGTATTGACTACCGCTATTTGTAACTAAGTAACCCTTGAATTTGTTTGTTATCTTTAAATGTCATCCTTATTTTGATTTATTTAATATTGGCACATTCTTTCAATGTTGAAACTCGTTTAATTTGATTAGTGACTTCAATTCTTTATGTACGAATCTGCCTTTTTTAATGTCTTCAACTGTTTCGTCCGTGCAGAGGTAAATGCTGGAGTGTTAAAATTACTTAGCGGCATTAATCTCGAAATACAACTTCAGTCTATGGTTACCAGATCCAGGGCCTCCAGATACCTTCTGGATTGGAGAAGGTCCCGCTAATTAACAAAGTATTTCATTTACCTTATGTAAGAGACTTCGGAATGTTAGTTTTTGCAAATGAGCAAATGAAATTCGGGGCTCGTCTTCATTGCGTAGCTTTGAGGCATTGTAGTTACGCCACTGGTAACAGGTAAATATGAAACGAGACTACACTAGTATCTTCAAACGAAATAAATCGCACCAGCGGACTTCGTTACAAGCTTCGTTAATATTTGTTATAAAACCATTGGTAATATAATTTGAAATATAATTTGTAAAGCTGCAACTATACTTCATATTATGACTTTTATAGCTTCATACCTTTGATGCTAATCTACTTATCACAATTTTTACGAACGACTTAAGACTGTTTTTTCAATGTCGTTAATGTAACGTAACATTTTGAATTGTTAATCGTTGTTAATCTAGAAATTAAGCCGATTACCGGATTACCACTTAGTAAAAGTGTTACCATGGAATGATTCAATGGTGTTACCTATGTAAGTTGTTTTCTAGAGCTTGACTTATTTTATAGACATTTTTTTAAAACCTCCATTTACGTAATTTTAATCAAAAATGCAGAAAAGTTTCTCTCGAATAGTAGGGATGGAAATTATCAAAAAATAATCTATGTTTGAGGTCGATATGAGTCGAAAATAAAACGATCGATTCGAAATCGAAATTCAAAAATCGATTTTAAGTAACAATTTGCAGTAAAGTAAAAACTGAGGTAAAAACAAAGTAATCATAATATTATAATGATAAAAGAAACGATTTAAAGGCAACATACATTATTAAAAACAATATATGTTTCAACTTGGATATAAAACATTCTTTTGAAATACATAGGTAGGAAAAAAAGAATTTTAATAAGATGGTATTTTCGTATAAAAAATGCGAAAATTTAATACAAGGCCAACAATTGTAAGGGGTTTTGGAGAATCTTGAATTGGAAATATTAAATGAATGGCGACATGCACTTTGTGATCATTCTCGTAATTTGTTACTATTTTTTTAAGTTTTGGGTTGTTTTCAAATTTCGTCAAGCGGAATTGTTTCGATCCCCCTTTAGAGGGGGATTTCTAATGTTATTTGGGAATTTGTCCTACAGTTTTCTCATACAGGCGTGTTGGTATTCACTAATCAGTAATTCAAATAACCCCACACTAATTCCGGAGCGAGTTCCGGAGGGATGTATAGGGTGTCCAATTTGCGACACCGCTAATTAGTGGTAGAACGATACCGATATTGATATCGGTATATCGGCATATCGGTATCGTATCGTATCGGCAAGGTAATTGCGCCGATATATCGGCAAACAATTTTTTTAGCTGTTTTAACTCTTCAGTGCATAAATGAAATACTTTATTAAAGAAAATAAAATGTTTTATTCTAAAGTTAACATTTTTACTAAAAAAGTTAAAAAAAAACAAAAAAAAATATACCTAATATAGCAGGTTCTAAATACAGTATATACTTAATACTTAAAATTTAACTTTTTGATATTATGATGCAAAAACACTAACATTTCAGCCCTATCTGCATTTAGTCTATTTCTTTTAGGCTCGTAAATATTACCCAATGCACTAAAAAATTGTTCACTTGACACACTGGCAGCGGGTGCTGAAAGGTAGACTGAAGCTGCGTTGTACAGAATAGGTAATTTGTTTTTTTTCTGCCTCCCACCACTCAAAAGGGGATTTATCTTTTAATAGAGTTGAAGATGCCAAATATAATATTATTTCATTTTCCCAACCTTGCTTTTTTGTAGTACTGGTTTCGGAAGCTGAAGTAGAGGCAATGATCTCAAAAGTTCCCCAAAACGTATTTTGTTCATTTTGTTTTTTTGCTTGACCGTGTCTAAATAGTAACGCCATCTATTGTTTGCCGATACGATACGATATATCGGCACGTAAATATCGGTATCGGCCGATATATCGTATCGGCAAAAAAAGTGATATCGTTCTATCACTACCGATAATTGTTAGTCTTTGGGCCAAACCTAAAAAAATAAAAAAAAAATTGAAAATGTTCGCTCGAGATACGGGGGAAAATAAAAAAATTCCGAATGCGAATGACTATATTTTCTTGTTAAAAGGGATACAGCTCGCGATATAGAAAAATGTTTAAGTATTACAATTAAGTTTCTTTATAAAGATCTGCCGTTTTAAAATACGTATGCAGGTCATGGAAAAAAGTTATTGGATTTAAACCTCATTCTTTAAATAGAACCGAGAATAGAACACCCTGTATATTTTAATTTAAAAATATAACATTAAATTCTCTCTCTTTTCATTACTGGTTTTTCTTTTGGTCCACCTTACATACTGGCAACTATTAAATAACAGAACACCAGAATCCGAGCCAGAATCTTTCTAGAAAGTCTGAGTGACTAGATTTCACTGGCACAGACGGACGGAATTCAGTAAGCTGAAAAGTCTTTCGTAAGGTTGGAAATGTCTAGGGAAAAAATATATAAGTTGGAATACATCAATGTAATTACTAATTACGTTAAGATATACAGTGTGTTGTATTTAAAAAATACCAACTTTGGGTAAAATTTCTGAAATGCCCAAATTTTTTTTACTACACCACTGGATTTTACCTAAAAATATCAAAAATAAACCGTGTTGGCATTCTTTCTTTGTTACATGGATAGTAACGTATGATAGCATCCCAAAATGTCAAACTTTTCGCACACAATCGTTTTTTTCTATCAAAACACCCCAAACAATAATTATGGCACCTTGGCAACCTAACTTCTGGCACCAACACACGGTACAGATCAGTATTTTCCGAAAGGCTGTATGGATACAAAAATTTTTATGGTGGTTAAAACCGACAAGTGTATGTAGTATCTCAAAGGAGTATCTTAATAAATAGGAGAATTGTTGTTGCGCTGGTAGGTATTTGAGTTTATACATGGGCCCTACGTTTGCTTTTGTTCGAAGCATCAGTAAGTAGTTAAAATTTTAAAAAAACCTTGGAATTAACGAGTCCGTCCCATGCGCATGTTTGATTTTCACTATATGTGCTACGGTTGTTTAATCAGAACCAGTTATGGTTAAAATTTCAAAAAAACATCTACAACTAAGAAAGATGACATTGCGCATTTTTTTGCACTAAAGAGAAAATATACAGGATGCGTCAAAAATTTTATATAATTCAATTATTTTTTTACTTTTGCTCCGAAAGCAAGAAAAAATTATGACAGACGAATACGAGCATTTGTTTTTAAATCCAAAAAAACACCTGATTTTTAAATGAATTTGTTCCATATAATAGCCGCTAACTGTATATACGATATGTATTTCTTTACTAGAAGACTAGAAGCATCTCTGGTTAAAATTCCCTGAACAGTTAAAATAGGTACATACAGGGTGTGAATCTTTCGGCTTTAAATAAAATTTTCAGTTCAAACCCCGTACGGACGTCACTGGTAAAATAAAAAAAATCTTTTACGTCAAAAAATGCTCCTTAATGATGAAAAGGTATGTACACAATTTGATAAAAATATCTAAGAGTGATGAATAATTACGATGTAAAACTCACGAGAAAACTCACTTTTTTCTTAAAATTTAGCACCCTGTACCTCAAAAAGTAAGAGGTTTAGGACATATGTTGATATAAAGTTTTCTCCTTAAAATCACCCGAGCATTCACACCCTGTATTATCAGCACTCAATTAGTTAACACCCTGTATATGACATTTACCGAGACATTTACATGAAACATGCCTCGGAAAATGTTCAAATTGTAAATAGATATCTCATAAATGTGGAATATTCGGGCGGATATGTATTGGAAATGTTGAATTAACACGATCTGAAAACCAGGTGTCAAATTTGTGACAGAACAGTTTCCTAGCTCAAACCAGATATTAAAGAAAATCGTTCTTAACAGTCTTACATCCTTATGCATAGAATCCAGTGGCGTAGTCAAAAAAAATTTTGTACCACCGTTTCTGAGATTCGACCCAGAGTTGGTATTTTTAAATGCAACACCCTGTATATTTTAACGTCAATTTTTTGCATTTTCTTTCTGATTACATTGATATATCACATCTATTTTTGTTTATATAATTATATCGAGAATGAAGTATATACCATATTTTTCAAAATTTTGAAATCACATGTTTCCTACCGTCAATCATTTTTATTGTTTGATACCAACTGTCTTCATTGGATACAATAAACAAAACAAAATCGCTATTAAATATATGGCCTACTACTTAATCACAAACAGTAAAAAAAATAGGGTTTTATTTATAGTCCATGGTTAAAATTAAAAAAATATAGATTGTGATACATAAAAGCTCGCATAAAAGTAATCAGGAAAAAGAATGAAAAACAATTGACGTGTGTTGCATTTAAAAAATACTACCATTGGGTCAAATATGAGAAACGGTGGTTCAAAAAATTTTTTCTCAAGACCATGGGAAAGGCCAAGATTCCAGTTCCATATCTATTAATTATGATGCAGTTTCTAACCTTGGATTGAAGCACTAACGAGTACCTAGTTGCTTTATTATTCTCTTGATCTGGTTTCTGTAGGTCTGCAGTAATGAAACTGTTGGGTCATTCAGTCTCACCAAAAATAATACTTGATATAATAATGTATAACTCTCGCCAGGAAAGATTGCCGGTCACAGCACACCTTGTGTCGATTTACAATCTTTGTTTTTCTTAAGATGCGAGAGACTTCCAGAATAGGATCGTGCCAATGTTGAATGAAAAGTCTTTTTGTTGAACATTGACACGATACTAACCCGGAAGTCGCTCACATCTTTAGAAGAACATAGATTGTAGACCGGGATCAAGTGTTCTATGACCGGCAATCTTTCCTGGCGAGAGGTTTAGGTATTAGCATTCACTAATAGTATTTGTCAATGGTATTAGGTACCTATGGTGTAACAACATAAAATTCTGGCAAAAAATTACCTTGCTCACTCAAGGCTGGTGCAGGTCATTTACTTATGTAAGAGTTTTTTTCGCGTTGAAGGCTAAGACGAAATAAAGTACTTTATGACCCAAATTAACATAGACAATAATTATATTAGCGTTAACTTAAAATTCGTTTTCGTTTCAGTCAATAAATTATGGCAGAAGCACATTCTGCCGTCGCATTTTCGTTTACGGTAACTCACGAAGGTTGGGATGTTAATTTTGACAGAGAAGTTCTGAACCTCGTCTGGCAGTCAGGTTTAAGGTCGTGGAAAAAGCGTTTGGCTCGCTTTCAGGTTTGTATACAATGAAAACGTCGAAGGACGGGATTAATTAACGTATTATTACAGAATAGCATACACAACGGAGTTTACCCCGGTCATCTCTGGACGTTATGGGTGCTAATCAGCATAACGGCGGGAATTCATTTCTCAGGTTTCAAAGTGCCTTACGACCTTGTGACGAAAATTATGCCGTACATGCGAGGGTAAGAGCGACGGAGGAAGTGGCGCGATTTCTTACCGTCCCCTATGTTTTAGTCAATCTCTAATGTGGCAGTTGGTCGCGTGCGGTCTAGTATCGTTAACGATTTGGTTGTGTATTATATTTACGCTACGTTACACTTTAAAGCTCTTGCTTATGTACAAGGGATGGATGTACGAGGCCAGGGGTAAAAATAGGCAAATTTCTCGAGGCACGAAGTTGTGGCTCTCCGTTGTTAAAGTACTGAGTGGGTGGAACAAGCCAAAGCTTTACAGTTTTCAAGGGTCCCTACCAAGGCTACCATTACCGTCGTTGCACGATACCATGACGCGGGTAAGATCACAGTTTCGTAACTGACCTTCCAATTACGACAGACCAGTATCTAACGTATTTAGACTGTTCCAAAATTCTAATTCATTATTAGAGGCTTTCATTTACATACAATGGACTTGGTTGCATCTAATATTCCGTCTGCAGTAACAAAAGAAAAATATTTTCACGATCACTTTATATTGAAATAATTCACAAAAACAGTACTGTTATGTACTGCAATTCTACAAGGGTATTGGAGGCTGATTCGTCCAGAAGGTAAGTTCTGATGGCGAGGGGAATATATTGCTTCTACATTCTCCTCGCACATTTAATCACACTACCTAGTATTTTGCACAGGTACGTATGTCTGAGGACCCTTCCTCTCATAAAATTGTAATATTTCACCTCTTTTTTAAGATTTGATGAACTTGTTTTCCGACTCTTTAATTAAGAACAACCAGAACTATATAGAATTAATTATTGAATTAATGATCTCATTATAAAGTTTTGGATTAGAAAAAGTGGAATTTGTTTATGAAGGACATATCAAATAGCGCCGTAGCGGGACAACTTCAAGAAAATAATCGACGATTATGTTAGTAATTTGTCCCTTCTTTGGCACCAAACAAATAATTTATCGCCAAAGTAAGTAGCGCTAAATTTGCCGCTTTTTGGTCCCTAATTGGATCTGGAAATAAATTTAGGTCTCTTAGTAAGGGGAAACAGTATTGAATTTTTTTGTAAATTTAATGCTAAAAATATGGGATCAGTACCAATTAAGCGCGCTTCATTTGACATTACACAATCTAATCAGATGAGGTTTCTGCAACACATCTGATTAGCTATTGGCCACCGGTATTTATGCTCACTCAAATGGCCGGGCTGAAATTTCCAAATTCGGTAGTCCAATAAGGCCCATTGGTAATTGAAATTTTTAGGTCGAGCGGCAGGTTTATCTACTTGTAAGTGAGCGATTTTACCGATTTCTATCGGCTAATAACCAATTAAGGGAGCGCATTAAAATATTAATTTTTCCCCTGCTTCCCCACACCGAAGCCTGTCGGCTGCCACAAAAATAATCTCTCTGGGAATAATTCGAAACTTTACAATTTCCTTATCAGCGGTTACACGGCTCTACAAATGAAAACATTATTTTCACCTTCTATTTCTCACTCTTAGAAGAAATAAATAAATATAGAAGCTAGTAACGAAGCACCCAATTACTCTCGCCCATATATAGCTGGTGGTCATTAAAGCTGGTAGATTTCATATACGAAACGGGTGCGTCGTTACACATTGGAATGTTTGTTGTATCGCAAGAAGTAATTAATTCTTCAGTAATAGCTTCCCTAATGTTCCATTTTACCCATATAGCACATTTGCAATGCCCCCCTCTCTCTCTCTCTCTCTCTCTCTCTCTCTCTCTCTCTCTCTCTCTCCTCTCTCTTCTCTCTCTTCTCTCTCTCTCTCTCTCTCTCTCTCTGCTCTCTCTCTCTCTCCTCTCTCTCTCTCTCTCTCTCTCTCTCTCTCTCTCTCTCTCTCTCTCTCTCTCTCTCTCTCTCTCTCTCTCTCTCTCTCTCTCTCCTCTCTCACTCACTCACTCACTCACTCACTCACTCACTCACTCTCTCACCTCTCTCACTCTTCTCACTCTTCACTCTCTCACTCTCTCACTCTCTCACTCTTCTCTTCACTCTCTCACTCTCTCACTCTCTCACTCTCTCACTCTCTCACTCTCTCACTCTCTCACTCTCTCACTCTCTCCACTCTCTCACTCTCTCACTCTCTCTTTCTCACTCTCTCACTTCTCTCACTCTCTCTCACTCTCTCACTCTCTCACTCTCTCACTCTCTCACTCTCTCACTCTCTCACTCTCTCACTCTCTCACTCTCTCTCCTCTCTCTCTTCTCTCTCTCTCTCTCTCTCTCTCTTCTCTCTCTCCCACTCTCTCACTCTCTCACTCTCTCACTCTCTCACTCTCATCTCCACTCTCTCACCTCTCTTCTCTCTCTCACTCTCTCACTCCTCTCAACTCTCTCACTCTCTCACTCTCTCTCACTCTCCTCACTCTCTCACTCTCTCACTCTCTCACTCTCTCACTCTCTCTCACTCTCTCACTCTCTCACTCTCTCACTCTCTCACTCTCTCACTCTCTCTCTCTCTCTCTCACTCTCTCACTCTCTCACTTCTCACTCTCTCACTCTCTCACCTCTCACTCTCTCACTCTCTCACTCTCTCACTCTCTCACTCTCTCACTCTCTCACTCTCTCACTCTCTCACTCTCTCACTCTCTCACTCTCTCACTCTCTCACTCACTCATTCACTCACTCACTCACTCACTCACTCACTCATTCTCTGCCCCTCTCCCTCGCTTTCGCGTTTTAAAATGGAAAGTCAATTCCTGCCCCTGTCACAACAATAAACTCAATGTTGACTTTAAATTAAATTAATAACTTGGAAGACTCGGTAGCCAAATAAACACAATTAATTGATTGACAATGATTACAATATTCCAAAACTGCGACGAACTTTCGCCGGAAGCTCGCGCACCAACGGTGGCTTCGGGCGGAATGGGTGTGCTTCGGCGGCCACCAGATGTTTTCGGTCTCTCTTGCTTCTGGTCGGCGATGGTGAGCTCCAGGTAACTAGAATGGAGAACGGCCCAGCAATTTTAAAGGGGAAGCGGTGGGCGGCTACTGGTAAATGCTAAAATAAACTCAAAGCGCACAGCAATTTCCCTAATTGGGAACAGTAAACAATCAGATTCGATAGCGGTTTCTACGGGAAAGCAGATGCAGGAAAGTGAGACAATGCTCTCCCCTTATAATTAATGAAACGGAAAGTAGTAAAAAGCTTACCTTCCAATTAACGGAGCGGTAGGAACTCCTGTGCAAGAAAAAGCAAAAGCTATAGACGCGGTGCGGTAAACTTAATGTAAAAGAAAAGAGTCAACGGTCTGAATGCAAAATAAATTTATGGAAAATATGTAGATTTTTAAAAAATACTTACAAAACGTACCTGGAGAAAGTGCAAAAGGCTGATATTTTACGGTTAAAACAACAAAGGTAAAAAATACCTTATACAAAATTCGGCTATGCCATGAATGGAACGTAAGAGATTCTAAGTCGGCCGGCGTATTCGGTTATCTACACTAAACATTACCACTTACGCCTTAAAAATACGGGACCGGGGTCAAAATTAAATTTTTTGCGCATCTAACGGATGTAATCTCGGCTTAATCGGAGACTGTCACCTGTAGCCATTCAACTAATTACAGTTAATTATATTTATCCAAATATTCGAAATGAAATATCCAAAATCTGTGATCCAATTAACACCTGTTGTTGATTGAATTTTGGTATCAACCGGCTGGGTCGGCGCTATCAAGCTGGTAACGGCGTAAACCTGCATGACATTGCCGTTCCAATGCTGGTTTTAATTTACCATGGCAAACAAAAACTTGTTAATAATAGCTTAACGTGACTGAAATTCTAAAATATTAATTTGCTCTTCTAAATTACAAAGAGCTTTCGGACGCAACAAAACATTTGAAAGATCTCCACGGGTACGGTTGCAAAATGGAAAAGTTCAATACGAAACTTAAGCGCGTTATCGGCGGTAAGATAAATAATTAAACAAAATCAATCCCTCGTCTCGTAGAGGAAATAAGTAAATACAGAAACTACGGTTTCTTAGTAACGAAGCGCCCAACTATACAGGGTGGTCATCATAAAGCATACAGCATAGTTTTTCTTAGTAATCTATATAATCTGGTCATAAAAGGTTTGCGATATTAGGTGCACTTAACTCGCACACAAGTGCTGACAGTTTGAAAGCTTCATTTTGTTTTATAACATGGCTGACTGCTCAAGATTAGGCGTAAACAAATTTGCACGATTTTTTACCGTCGCGAATCTCAGCAGCAGCCTCTTTTTCTAGTTTTCTCCCGTATTTAAGGGATTATTTCCACCATAAAACAATCGTATTTATGAAATTGCAAATAACTCTCCAATCAACGACTGAACACACCAAATGCCAATATGAAACGCGCTCGGTTCCTTCAGGAAAGATTAAAATTACTTCAATCAAAATAAATGGTATACAGATTCCCAAAGATAACTACTAACGGCAACTTACAATTTAAAAAAAATTAAAATAACTTACAGATGGATAAAATTCCCGTCTGCTACGAATGGATCTTATCTTTCCTTGGAAAAGAGAAATGTGGAAACAGATAGATAGATACTTTTATTTCCACGTTCACCATTGGATATATACAAAAATAGACAAAAATAACGATATGTATATGTTCTAAAAAATAATAAACCAAAACAAATAAAAAGAGTAGATGAATCTCATTACAATTATTGTGAAGATAGCGTTTGTACGGTACAGCTAAACCTCCTGCACGTCCCTCTTCGTTTTCTTCGCGATGATGGCAATTTAGACGGAAGGAATGGTGAATCGAAACAAACCAGCATCAAAATTCGAGAAAGTAATACACGTCACGTACTCGGATTTTTGCACAACGGAACGAAACTTAGGTCCGAAGAGACCATGGCGCGTTATCGCCAGACATATTTTTGTTCAAGTTCACTATGAAGCGGTACATGTGTAAATTTTCTTTTTTTCTAAAGCGACCACCCGGAACTACTTTTTTAACATTAATCTAGAATTAGTTTTGAAAGAGGTGACGTCAACTTGACAAAACTTTAAAAAAAGCGGCAAATTTAGCTCTTCTTATGCCATCACGAAATTTTGTTAGCAAACCCCAGATTCGGAAATCAAAACAACCCCGCAACTTTTCGGCCTTTTTGAGTACAATATGACTTCTTCTTGCAGTATCTGAGAAGCGTGCGTCCATTATTGGACGATGCGAACTACAACAGAATGGTCAAGTTAGCCGCCGACTTTGAAAACGGCATTGGAATCAAGTTGCAGCGCTATCTATGGTTGAAATCCTGGTGGTCTACCAATTACGTCTCCGATTGGTGGGAAGATTACGTGTACTTACGAGGCCGCTCGCCCCTAATGATTAACTCAAATTTTTACGGAATTGACGCTATACTAACCTACCCGACCAAAATCCAAGCGGCCCGCGCCGCCACCGCCATCAACTCTTGCCTTAACTATAGGAGATTGGTGGAGCGACAAGAATTGGAACCTATACTAATTCAAGGCCTAGTGCCACTCTGCTCGTGGCAGTACGAGCGAATTTTTAATACGGCCCGAATACCGGGCGCCGAAATCGATAGGATTCAGCATTGGTCCGATGCCAATCACATTGTTGTCTATCACAAGGGGCGGTATTTTAAGGTTATTATTTATAAGGGAAGAATCTTGCGTCCCAGCGAGATCCAAGTGTATGTATTCCACGCCTCGTCCTCGTTAGTTCAACTGAACTTTTCAGGCAAATCCAGCAAATTTTAGATGACAAATCGCAACCGCTACCAGGAGAAGAAAAGCTTGCCGCGCTAACCGCGGGCGATAGGGTGCACTGGGCCCACGCGCGAAGACACTTTTTCTCACGGGGCGTCAACAAGCTCTCGTTGGACACGATCGAGAAGGCCGCCTTCGTCGTCGCGTTGGACGACGTGCCGTACGAATACGAGCCGGTGATTAGCGTTTCGGTTTGGGGACTAGTCTAAGAATGTCTCGTTACAGAGTCAGCCCGATAAGTTGGATCGCTTCGGGAAAATTCTGCTTCACGGGAAGGGGTACGATCGATGGTTTGACAAGTCGTTTACGCTGTGTGTAGGCAGTAATGGCCGGGTAAGTACAAACAAAGCACGACATACATCATACATTTCTCATGCTCTTTTAAATCTGAGGCAATTTTAATAATTAATGTGTGAACTTTTTTTGTTCAGTTTTTTGTAATAAAATTTACATGTAACAAATTGACTAGAATTGGGACTATACGTTCTTAATTATGCGTGATAAAGTATTCACGCTATATCAGGTGAAAATTTAGCATATTTTTCAAGAAACGTAGTTTGATCTGCAAACTAAATTTTAACTACAGATTTAAACGGAACAATTTTGGTGTGAGAATGAGTTTAATTCCTGCATTATTTTTGGTAACTTTTTCATTCTTTCATAATTTTTGGAGGAATTTTTGATCATGGATTGGTATGCTTGATTGATCACACAAAACAATGGTGCAAGGTACAATAAAAGGAGGTGTTTCCATTTTCAGATATTAGCCTTGTTCAGTTGAAGTTGACACCACGAATGCGACGTGGTCCTCTTGTAATTCTTGCTTCAGTTGTCGGCACTCTCCTTGTGCCCTGGTTTTCCACAATGGTAACACTTGAGTCTTGTTCCTTTGAAATGAGACGACCGATTCTCAAACCATCGAAACTTGATGGCAGCATTAAAAGGAGGTGGCGTCCTCCAGCTTGGCTCCAATTCTCATTAGTTCTGTGACACTCTGGAAATTGACAGAATGACTCTCGAGTCCTGCACACGGCATTTCCTTGTCAAAAGTCACCTTAGATAATTCTGGCTTGCGATTCCCTTCCTTTCGAACTCGCTTTCCCTATGTTATGTTATAGGTTTCTCTCGCAGGACCTTACGTACTGTAGGCGGCAATTCGCTATTCCTTGGATTAGGATTATTCACAGTGACTCTCCATTTTCATATAAGCGTCATTCAGTTTAGTGGGTAACTTGCTACATTTTATACACTCCTTCCCCTCCAGGATAATCTCTCCATTCGGATTTCCCAATGATCAAAATCTTTACCGGCGAATTGGGGGTTTCTAGTTTCTTCGCATCATTACAGTGGCTACATTTTAAAGTAATGTGTGTTAACAAGTGCACTTTAAAAGTAGATTTAATATTGGTTACGTAATCGCACAGATCACATTTTAAAGCTTTTTGGTTTAGTAAATGCATTTTAAAGCGAGAAATATTAGTCGTTGTGTAATCACACTGGGGGCATTTTAAACCCATGGAAGTCTTCTGTGTTAACAGATGATTTTTAAAATTGCCGTTACTATCGGTTGCATAATTACACTGGGCACATTTTATGTCTCGTTTTATATGTATGAAAGTTTTGTGCTTCAACAAGTGGGTTTTGATGAGAGTTATAATGGTTGTAAATTGTAAAATCCCACAGTGGACATTTTAATCCTGGAATTGTTTAGCATTAACATATATGCTTTTTAAACTTTATTTATTAGTTGCATAATTGCACACTTTAAGTCCTTGGAATTCGTGTACATTAGTGGATGCTTTTTGGAACAATTATAACTAATTGAAAATTTGCACTGGACACATTTTAAATTGTTAACCAAAACTTTAAGTTCTTTTTTTTTGCCGCTAGAGGTCTCGTCCTTATTTGGAAACGCGAATATTGTTTTAACTGATTTTTATTGTAACTATTAACTATAAATATTTATATTATTGATTACGCTTGGGCGTTGCTAAAAGCGGTGACAGTGGGGCCCGGTATTGGGAAACATTTCAAGAACTTTCTAAGTTCCGTTGATGCGACGGCGATGACGGTCATACACACACTATGATATTATATTTCTTTATTTTAACACATTAAAGGCATTTTATAAATAATTAACATCAGAAATGACTTTCAGCTTTCAGACTAAGCAATGCAGGAATAACACGAAAGTACGAATATACCTAATGCCGAAAATCCGAAAGATTTACGTTATTCCGTTGCTAAGATGCTGATCGATTTATAAAAGGTGCCGGAGCACCAATAAGCTCCTTTTTGAGAATCAAAAATGCACAAAATATTTCCATTTTCCGTGATGGGGTGGCAACCGACTCCTTAGTCTATTCTCCACCTACGGTCACAATTTTAAATTAATCAATTCATTTTGGAAAAATTTCCAAGTCAAGACCTTGATTCCCTGGACTGACGTCCGTTCAAAGTTAGTATGCATTTATTTGTTATTGTAATTGTTTGATGAACACTTTATTAACGGTCCTTTATTTAACATAAAACCTCGCATAAAACTCACTTTTCTTTTTTGTTTGTTTGATTTTTTTTTGTTATTGGTTTCGGTAGTTTTTAGTACTGTTATCAGTATTACTAGACATATGTTTTATTTTTGATTTATTTTTAACTCTTATTATAGTCTGCCAGGTTGTAAAATGTTGTTTTTGTTCTGAAATTGGAAAGGTTATGTCTTTCTGTTGGGAAAATAAAAGATTATTATTATCTTAAAATACTCTTGGAATTTTCTTAGAACCTTCTTCAAGTTGTCATAGTATCTTTTTAGAACTCTATTACAACCCTTTTTTTAAATTTTTTAGAACCTTATTTTGAATATTTTTTATTTTAAAAGATCCGCCCCTACTCCTTAGGAACGCGCCACCCTCGAACTTTTTTCCAAAATTGAAAAATGCATACTTTGTACTCTTAGCGTATTAAACAGAAATGTTTGTTTCGGTTCCCTCAGCCATCCACTTGTAAGTCGATATAGCGGAAGCTTATTTTTTCGTCCAAGCGCTCTAACTTTTAATGCAATTGTACTATGAGCGGAAAGGCTTACGGCAATTGAAACCTAGAATTTTCTTGGAAACTTCCGAGTCTTCGTAGATTGTTCTCCTTGGAGGATTATGAAGATTCTAAAAAAATTTCACTCTTCATTTAGAATCTTTAGGAGCTTTATCGAATCTTTACAATCTTTAAATACTTTAGAATCCTGTTATGATCTTCTTAGAATCAGTATGGAATCTTTTGAGTTTGGGGCTGAGTGGTAGACCATTGGGGCTGAGTGGTAGACCAGATGGTTAATATTTTTGACCAATCTGAATCTTAACCCCTTGGGGGAAACTGGAAGGACTAAGAAATTGTAATGATCATGTACCTGATGATGTATTCCATGTTAAACCCAATAAACGATTTATTATTATTATTATCTGTGAACGTTTTAATATTTTTATAACGCAGAACCATGGGAACAATGAAATCCTTAGACGACACAGCCTTGTGGGTCAGAGGACGCATGCGGTATCTGCATATTTTGTATTGCAAAAAAAATGTTACCAGTATCATAATCAATTAGCATAAGGCGTTTGGCACCAGGGCAGCTTCCCTCAAGCTCACCTGTACAATAGTTTTTTTTAGCGCATTTTTCAACGAAACTGGGTGCGCTATTGCTTGATTATTAGTTGATTTGAATTTCGCGCCAAGTGAGTGCACATCATGGCTGCCCCCATGTAGGTGTCATTTGTCAATTCAGCATTAGCAGTCCATCTTAAGTTTAAGTTCGTGGGTGCGCTATTGCAGCCACTTTCTCTGTCCGTCCGTCTGTCCGAGGCCTTAACTACTCCTACAGTTCAAGATATTTAGTCGTTCCTTTTGCATTGGGTAGCGTATAGCTCTAGCACCTGAGCCTAGGAAAATCTTGACAATTAAACTGCGCATGCGCAGACTGCGCAATATCAACGTCCTTATTTATTAATATATTTTGTTGAAATTTTAACCACAGATATTTCTGGTGAAGGCAAACATCTCGCATAAAGTAAAAATCAGATGTGCGCATGCGCAGACTGCGCAATGGCAACTTTCTTATTTATGGAGATATTTCTTTGAAATTTTAACCAAAGTTGCTTTTAGTGTAAGCAAACGTATCGCATATTGTAAACATCAGAATAATACGCACATGCGCAGGATGATATTTATCGAGATATCTTTTTGAAATTTTAATCACAGATGCTTCTGTTAAAGGCAAATACAACTGATATTGCAAAAATTAGATGCGCAGTCAGTGCCAACTTCTTTATTTATCAAAATAGTTCTTTGAGATTTTAACCATAGATGCCTCTAGTAAAGAAAAACATATCACATGTAGTAAAAATCGAAAACTACAAATGTTATTAGGAAAAGCAAACATATCGCACATAGTAAAAATCAAATCTACGCATGCGCAGACTGCAAAATGCCAACTTTTTTTCTTACGAAAATCCCTCTCTTAAGTTTAACAATAAACGCTTCTAGTAATAACAAACATCGCATAACCTATGGCATAAATTAAATGTGCTCATGCGCGTACTCCGCAACGCCAACTTTTTTGTTTATGGGGATATCTCTTTGAAATTTTAACTAATTAAATATGCCTCTAGTAAAGAAAATCACAGCGCACATAGCTATGGCCTTTTGGGTAGTACTGATCATCAATGGAAAATACGCTAAAGTTATTCGCCTTAGGGCGAAAACCTTTTTACTTGTTGTAGTAGCTGTCCTGACTATTCAATTTTTTTAAAGGCATAGCAAAAGATTTGCATACAGGCGATAAAAGGTGAATTGTGTCTTTACTGACAGCCCAAGAGATCACACTAATCATATATATTGCTATGTGCAATGGCATGCGGTTACTACCCCACCCACAAAACACCTGTCCAGCTAGCTCAAAGCAACACCACCTTTAAATTCGGAATTGTAATTATTTTCTTTGTAGACTTCCGGCTCCTGTCAATGAAAAATTCTATTACCCCCGCCACAGGCGGTCGAAATAAAATATGAAATCTTAAAATTACAATTTTTCTCTTAATAATCAAAATAATGTGGTCGTAGAAGGTTTGCGATACTGGGCGCAGTAAAACTGACAAAAAGCTGACAGACAGAATTAGATGACAAACAAAACTGGATTGATGAATAAGATGATACATTTTCGGTAGCTATTCGGACGGTAGAAACTTTTAATAAGAAGAGAACCTTAACAAAAAGCCTCACTGTGTATTGCTACTGCTTACCTTTTTGGGACAACACGTGTTAAACTTCGTACACCACTTTGGTTAACTTGCTTCTGCACACTTTATTTCCATACCGACGAATTACGTTTTCACATAAACAGGCTGACTGCCTGCAAAAAAATTCGCGTAAACAAGTGTACATGCTCTTCCACCTGGAGCAGCCTCGTTTTCTCATGGTATGTAACGGAACGCTCCAAGTCTTCTTTATGAAATTTCCAATAAGTCGTCAATGACGACGGAATGCGCCAAAGATTCCTACTTATCCAACATGAAATGCGCAATTCTTCGAACACTTGCGTCTTCGTTATCAGTGCCAGCACCAGATTTCGCCTATAGCGCGTTCACACCTCCAGATGCAGTATAGGGTCTTATGGACTAATTGCCTCTCTTACTAGTTTGCGTCATTCTTCGATAATACTATCCTTGTTTCTAACCGCATTGATGTCAAATTGACATATGATTAAATGGAAGTATTAAAACAAAACATAATCTCCTTGTGCTGTCATTGTCACGTTTGGCAAGCATGTACTGTATGTCCATAAGCACCATACTGCATCTGGAGGTGCGAACGCGCTATAACAATAAAACTTTTATCGCAAACGACCAGATGTCTCTTAATTAAAACATCTTATCTAAATAAGAACGTAGCTCAGATGAGTTGACGTTAGTAGCTCTAACTTTTGCTACAAGGGTCCTGGGTTCGAATCCCAGATAAGGCATGGATGTTTGTGATTGTATAGTGGGTTGAGTGGGAAGAGTAACTAATCAGCTAACACTCCGCCCACTATAAAATAGAGACAACAAATCAAAAATAAAATAAAATAAATGGGATAAAATAATATGACATTGGTTACACAACAATATGCCAATGTAAAGCAATTTTATTCATGGCAATAAACTATTATTATTATAGTCAATATATGTACATGCCAATAAGATTGATACATTCTTCATTGTATTCACTTTAATTTTTCTTCGTGTTGTCGATGTGACAATTAATACAGTTTTTGTTTCAGCTGGGTTTTAACTCGGAGCATTCTTGGTAAGATTTTCAACCTTTAGTCTAGTGACAGTATATCTGCTTGTCTGTACTCTCTCCATTATCCGACTTCTCATTGTACTCCATTTCTCCTCTCCTCTAACTATGATTTTTGTGTGTTTGTTAAAAGTTTGCTCCAGATTAGATTCTGTTCATAGGGGTGACGCGGCGGTGATGTCCCATGTTTGGGAACTTGTAGTGACCGACGAAACGCTTCTAATTCGGTAATAAAACGTTATCACGTCTTGTTATTTAGGTGTTAGGCTCCCGGTTTAAGGACTCGCTTTTTTTCTTTTCTTTTTTTTTGTTGTGTACTTTATGTTTTAGTATTATAGTTAATTTTTGGTTTTGGTTAATCTGCAGGGCCGATGCTGCCGTAATGGCTCATTTGGGTGAATATTTGTTTCTTGATGATGAATTTTCGGGACGGTAACTATCTTGTAATTTTTTACGTTCACTTTGTGTGTATTCAACTACCCTTTTACTCTCACTAACTACTAACGTTTTAATATTGTGTTGTTTTTCTTTTATTTGCTTAAAAGTAACTAACATCGGATGACTAATTCCATTCCCCAAACTAAAACCAAACCAAACACTTACGTGAGTACGTTACAGATACGATGAAAACGGTAACTGTATCGGCAAACCCGAAATTGAGCCCCCCGTGCCGTTACGTTTGCAGTGGGAAATGAAATCCGAATGCCAAACCGCTATTAATATGGCGGTAACGGCAGCACAAAAACTTATCGACGACATAGATCTGCGCATTTACGTTCACGATCATTACGGAAAAGGTTTTGTGAAAACGTGCAAGTTAAGTCCGGACGCTTATCTCCAAATGGCTTTACAGTTAGCCTACTATAGAGACGCGGGCAAGTTTAGTTTGACCTACGAGGCAAGCATGACGCGCTTATTTAGAGAGGGAAGGACGGAAACTGTGAGACCGTGCACGGTCGAATCGTCCGCTTGGGTTAAGGCGATGGAAGACAAAAGCTTCTCAACGGAAGAGCGTGTTAAGCTGCTTCAAGTGGCCTGCATGCAACATCAGGTAGGAATTCGTCACTGTAACGGATGTGCAATTCTTTTATAATTTATTAGATTGGGTATCAAGACGCCATGTGCGGCAAGGGAATAGACAGGCACTTGTTTTGCTTGTACGTTGTTTCGAAATACTTGGAGGTCGATTCGCCATTTTTAAAGGAGGTGCTGAGTGAACCATGGAGATTGTCGACTTCTCAGACTCCCCACGGACAAACCGGTCGTGTTGATCCCAGGGAGCACCCTAATTGTATCTCGGCCGGTGGAGGATTCGGTCCGGTTGCCGATGACGGTTACGGAGTTTCTTACATTGTGGCGGGCGAGGACATCATATTCTTCCATATATCGCATAAAAAGAGTAGCAAGCAAACTGACTGCCACAGGTTCGCGCTAAACATAGAAAGAGCTCTTGCCGATATGAAAAAATTGTTTGAAGACTACAAAATGATGAATGGCACAAAATGAACCTGATAGCATTGTAGCGTAATTTATTAAAAAAAAGGAAACTGAGAATGGCTGGGATTGGTGTGCTGGTTCTTTGATAGAGTAAGCCCAAATAGTTAAATGTATCACATATCGGAACATGATTTAATCGTTTTTGTTTTCAAGAAGTAACGCACAAATATGAAGTTAGTATTAATATGGAACCTTAAACAAATTTCAACTTTTATTGACTTAAGTATTATAATGTAATTATCTTTAAGCAACTATCAATGCAATGTTTTTAATCAGATTATATTATTGTTGAGTGGTAATGTTATAATTGTACGAAATGTGTATTATTTTCAAATGAAATAACTTCCAATTCTAAAGTTCTAACATGAAACTTCATAATAAAGACTACTTAATATATATTTCTTTAAAATAGCCCAGCCGTGTGGATTCGGGCTCTTTTCTGCCACACAATTGAAAGTTCCCATTGAGAGCAAATACCAAATTGGGCAAGACATAATCAGAAAGTGCTACAAATTTAATACTGTCAAATGTTGACTGATTGGTTTCAGATGGTTCCTCAACTAGTGGCAGTGTGAATATGAAAAGTTAAAAAAAAGGGTCCACAATTAGTGTTGGCTTCTGCTCTAACCTTAAAAATAGTTTCGAATGGAGTATGAAGGTACAAATGTTGATAGGTAATTGACAAGAATTCTTTTTTTAAGTTTGTGAGCTTGATATCGAAATAATTTTGCTACTCATTCCTTGGCGCCCGAGCTTGGTGAATTATGAGATTTGTTTTAACTTTTTTTAGTTTTAAACATGGAATATCCGGACAAGAGACAACCAGCCCACCACATTTAAGAAATCCGGCAATATGAAATTTCACTCAGTAGAGAGATTCAGCTGCGCATCTTTTTGGATCATTTTACTTCAAGTTGACTTGTACTAAGGTTTAGTCGATTGTTGTCGTACCTATTATTTCATGATATTGGGTATAAGTGCCATTTGTCAAACGCAAAGAATATACAGTGTGTCCCAGATCGGGGTGGGATTGCATGGGTAACTTTCTTATTATTAAAGATAGAGAATTGGTTAAATGGAAAATGTTTCCCAGTTTTAGATGCTAATTTAAAATTTACTCGTGGAAATTCAAAATGTCGAATACTGTCGACGTAAATTTAAAAAATAAAATTGGTCTTTTCCTTTAATGTCTTAGGGCCAATTCTACAATGAAGGTATATACCGAGAATAAGCTATACCTAGAATAAATGTCGACGGTTGCGTTGGTTACCATTGTGTCAACCAATGGCATACATGTTGCTATGGCAGTTATTCCAGGAATATCTTATTCTCCGTAAAAGTGTAATTGTAAAACCGGCCCTTATACGCCTAATTTAGAATTAATGTAAAAAAAATTCAAGATGGCTACCTTTGAGGAACATTTACCACTTCCTAAAGTTAAATAGGCGCCATGTTGGATTTTTAGATTACTTGATAGATTTTTAATTTTCTTTTCAATGAGCTATCATATATACCATAAGATTGAAAATAAGATGTCGGTTATATCAACGGTTTTTATATTTCACTAATAATGGTCAGTAATGGGCGATCAAAAATGAGTTGCTGTCGAGTCGTCTATGGAAGTTCAGGTTAAATACGATTTCCCATGTAAACAAAAATTCCAAAGGTGACTCGACAGCAACTCATTTTTGATCACATTGTATTTTAAACATCTGATGTAATTATTTTCATGGTTGTGTTGCCTCGAATAGATTTTGTTTTGTTTTTTTTTAATTCATCACAGCCTACTTGATTAAAATATAAAAACCGGTGATATAACTCTTACGCTATGATAACTCCTTGAAAATAGAATTAAAAAATCGATCAATTAATCTAAAAATCCAATATGGCGCCAATTAAACTTTAGGAAGTTGCTAAATGTTCCTCAAAAGTAGCCATCTTGAATTTTTTTATTATCCCTCTCTTGTTTTGGGCCCTCAACAGGCATGCGCCCAATTACAGAGTGACCCGCATAATGCTATTTAGAGGTGCCTCTGCAGAAGGTCTTAAGATGGTCTATACTACTCCGGTATTTACCTTACGAATTAGGAAAACTGCAGGAAAACCTAATTAATAATAATAAGATGCTACAGAGCTGGGCAGTATTCGATTTTGTAAATACTTTTTAGTATTCAAATCCTTTAAAGTATTCAAATACTTTGTAATTAAATACCTTTATGGAAGCAGTATTAATTTGTATTTGTAACTCAAATACTTTCACAAATATTTAGTATTCGAATACTTCGCAAAGTATTTGGATACTTCGTAAAGTATTCGAATACTTCGCATAGTTCGTTGATGAAGGACTCCATTTTTTGTTTGAGTGATTATTAATATATGATGAAAATTAATTGAGACTCAAAAATTGTTTATTTTCTAACGGCTATCGATTTCAACGAGAATTCATTTTGTGTTTGTAAATTTGAGTGCTGTGTGTAGGTATTTTGTTACCAGATAAAGATTGTTTATTAATTCAAAAGTTCAAAATTTTGCGATCCCGTTACGATTTTACATCATGTACTTTGTAAGGTTCCTTATGTACTGATTTCATTATTTTTTTGTTTTATATAATCCAGTGATTCATTATCATTTGTACGTAGCTCATTTGGTGCTAGTAAGTAATGTAATGTCTATTTTTGAATGGTCCTTCTTTCTTTCTTTATGACGAAGCCACGGCAATTAACGATGCTAATAATATGGCGGCTGTCAAGGCATGGAATTTATAAGTAAAACCTAGAGGTCTCTACCATCAAGAAAAATGCAAGTAAAAAGGCATCCCTAATCACTGCAATCATTTAAAGCTAAAGAAATGAAATGTTAAAGTTAAAAAGACAATTGATAGGGTGTCTCTTATCTATTCTTAATTTTTGTTTGTGCTAGTCCAACTACTTAGGATCGTACCTGGTAATTTTGGTAGCAAATGATAAGGTCATTACTTTCTTTTAAAATATCACTTGTTTGAAATTTGTTCTTAATGATTTAAATTTCTCGAAACCTTTGAACCGTTGAACTTTTGATGACTCTGAACAATAAAGTGGCCATTGTACTTCCTTACTGTGACTTGTGGAAATACTTATTTACTGTATAAACACCACCAATAAATATTATTATTATCAGGTGATCCAAAATGACTGCGGACTGTTTGAATTTCCCGCAAAACCAAACATTTATCAAGTTGGTAAATGTCATTTATTTAAAAGCAGTGGTGGACCAATTTAATAGATAATTAAATAATAATGTTAATTAATAAAAATTATTAACAAACAAGGCTACACTCGCCTTGCTAATTAAACGATACCGTAAAGCTATGTTCAGTTGCCCATGTGCGATAGTTTTGACTATCAATAGAGAAACTGTTAAATCAATGACATAGGTATCCGCTTTGAGTTTATAACTCAATTCAACATCCTTTTGGAGGGCGTTCAAAACTAACTACAAGTGTAAAATTTTGTAAACGAAGTTTGCATTAATTATTGGAAAAATTAGTCACACCGGAGTCCATAATTCAAACACCTGGAAGTACCAGATTACCGGTTTGTGAATGCCCAGCCGGTCAATTATTCGTCATCATTTTTCATCACAGTGCGCTTTGTTCAGGGACTTCTTTTCTTTCGTTCTGTTCTGCTACTCTTGTTCCACTTTTGGCAGCTCACTTTCTTGTGACCCGTTTTTTTACAAAAACAACATTTATACTTCCTTTTTTCCCTTTACGACATCCTGGGTCAAAATTGGATCCTGCCGCGCCTCGGCGTCGATTCCCGAAGATGTGCTTTGTTCACATCGACTGACCTTGATGTGAACGTGAATGTCACTGCATTCTCGAACCTACCACATCGAGCGAAAAGTTGATCGAACGCAACGACTGGTCTAGACCACTCGTTGCGTGAAAGTCATGCGCAGTTGCAGCTACAGGACGAATCTTGCAGCTGTTTTGCTATAGAGGTTATTCAGTGCCCTAACCTATAAATTCACATATTTTCTGTGAAATAAAACATGGAATTGTTCGAAGATTTTCTGGTTATTAATAGCAGTATCCTTAATGTAAAAACAAAACAAAATACAAAACTGACAAATGACAGTTCAATTCTTGTCTGTGATTGGTTAGCGCATAAAGTTTGTCCACGATTCGGGAATGCAGCTAAACTTGAACTTATCCCTATCGTATACGATCATGACGTCATGGCAGCCGGTCACATCACATGCACATCACGGAGCATATCGACTAACTTCGGGAATCGATACCATTGACCAGAGTTCACTCCTGTGGGAGGCTGCTAAACAAAATCGCCACCAACCATCACCGGTTACCAGAACTAACTTTTTTTTGCTTTCCGTCAAGTACCTTAATATATAGGTATTAATATACGAAACTGATTGAAAACCGGTCAGAAATTACAGCGCCACGACGTTGCGGTAGGAAGTGTCAACAGTAAGCTGTCATACTTTGTTTAAACTTTATTGATGGTTTTACGTGCTTTGTGATAGTTGATAAATTGATAATATTGAGGTATTTATGTATGATTAATTTGCTCCTTAATTTTTTGTCATTCCACACCGGGCCGTGTAGATGGCGCTCTTCCGTGTTTCGTGTTAGGCAAATGCAAATAGTAGCGAGCCTCCTATATTAATATATTAAGGTATTTGATTCCGTTCAACCTTTTCCACCAGGTCCATCAGCGTCGCGATGTGAGATTATACCAGCCACAAAAATCTTCGAAAGGTTAGTGTGCTGGGCCCATAACCTTTCAGAGCAGACCGACGGACACGACAACGTAGTGGAATCACAAAAACGGAGTCGGGAAAACAAAAACTTACGAGAAAATATTAAATAGGTTGAGAGGTTCCACCCTGTATATATACAACTTACGACGATACAAAAATTTTTGCTGGCAACACGCAATTTTTAGGAAGAAGGGAAAGGTGTCTGCGCCATCTGGAGAGTACGAACGTTGGTTACATTTGGCATCTTGTTTTTAATGGCGATCATGAAAGCATCGCTCCGACAATTTTGGCGTTATTTAACAGGTAGTAATCTTTGCATTTGTTTATAATGTATTATTTATGGTTTGTATGCAGCATTTTATATTCTTTGTGAGTTTCAATCTTTGATTTTGAAGTTGACTGGATGTAACACATAATGCAGATTCATGCGTTAACCTTTTGTTTGAAATCCCGTTCATTGTTGGTTTGGCTAAATATTTGTTTATGCGTCAAGTAAGTACATGGTCTTGGCAGATTTATATTATTGATAATTTTTTTAAACATGTGGAAATTATCGAATGGTTTGGTGTGTGTACTTGTTCTTATAAACTAACAATCAACTATAGGCTCAAAACCCCGAACGAGGGGCGAGTTATCTATCTCGAGGGGTGATTTTGCTAATAAAAACTCTTAGGTTTAGAATCTGTGTGTTATGTACGAGTTGCGATTCACCGTCCACATTTTTTGTTGTAATATTGAATTTGTCCTACAAGGCCATGCAGTTTTCCATTTTGTTCTTAACAGAAGGATTCACATCCTGTATTTTACTTTTTCTCAGAATTTTGGTACCTGATGCTTACCTCACCCTATCCATCCCTTAACCTGTCACTTCTTCAAACCTAGACGCCACATATTTTGTTAATATATTGTTATTGTTGTTATAATTGCCGGTTCTTTTCCTTTTGTTCCAGCCTATTTTTATTTTCACTTCCTGAACTACCATTTTCAAAGTTTATTCTTGTAATGTAATTTATTTCTGAACATTCACAATCTTCATAATATGTATGAGCAATAATTATCAAACGAACTGTTCACATTTCAGTGTTTTATTTTACGTTCCTTCCCTACTGTACTTCAGGTCATAGTTTTACAACTAATGTAAGGGGGCTCTGTTAAAGCTGAAATCAAGTATAATAGAAAAGAAGTGAAATTTTGAGTTTGTCAGCGTGTATCAGTTGTAAGTGCGCCAGAATATCGCAGTTAACGGCAAGGAATTAAGATTTTCTTCATTTAATTGTCTGTTTGACCGCCTGCGTGCGTGGTATGTGTAAAAAACTTTTTTCCAAATGATCGACCTGTGGCTTCCCAATTTCCGCAAGCGGAACCGATCGTCCTTGGTCAGGAGCAAGGTGTCAGCGTCTCCTGGTGGCGCTCGAGGTACCTACAAGGACAACCGAAGGTTCAAATGAATAATATACGATTAATTTAACACAATTTGGCAAATTAAATCTTAATTCCTCTGTTTAATTTTCAAAGCCACCGATTTGCGCGGACGACTCAAGAGTTCGTTTCTACGATTATGTGGTTCAGGCGGTCTTTTTCACCTGTGGCACCCTCAATACCCCGGGTTAAGTAAAAAAATAATACACCGGATAAGCAAGTACGATAATATCTATTGAAAGTAACAAAAATGTAATACAATAAATATTAAAGCTATGTATAATAAAATGAACCTAAACGAACGCCAGCATTATTCCTGTATCATTAATTGAAGTGAATTGATTGCGTTGCGTACACGCTCTAATTCTACAGCAACTTGCGACAACTTCTCGCTATTCCCTTGTTGAACTTCTAACGGCACTTTGGTCGCGTAATCGGGAATGCTCACAGACTGAGTTAGCTTCGTTCCAGTGCTCTCCAAGAAGCCCAGTTTCTTTTGCAACTTGGTTATTTCCTTACTGGGATCAATTAAACCTTTAAGTAGTAAGTGTACTTCGCATTTGTCCGACACCGTAATTATTGTACATCCTGTGGGAATGGTCGTATTTACGTCCACCTTGGAACAGTATGCTAGCGTCTGTAAAACTGGTACGAAGCTTTGGACCATATCCGTGTAAATCTTATCGCTGCATTGTATGTATGCTACAACATGGAGAACGTCATAGTTTTACACAAAACCATGTTTTTTTGGTGCCTACCTTCCGTTTTGGTTTTGTTGGGCAGATTAAAACCATGTTTTTTTGGTGCCTACCGAATTCCGTTTTGGTTTTGTTGGGCAGATTAAATCGCTTCTGGTCGACCGAATCGCCTTCGCAATTTTTTGAACGAACTCCACCTGGTTTTCCAAATTTTCATCCCTCCAATCGCAATCTTTCACCTCCGGATACGACGCCACGCAAATGCTAGGGATTTTGATGAGGTCATCTTGCTGTCTCGGTAAACGTTGATACAGTTCTTCGGTAATGAATGGCATGAACGGGGAAAGCAAGCGTAGGCCAATATTCAACGCTCTGAACAAGGTAGCCTGAGCAGCTCTTATCGCCTGTTTATCGGTGGACGCGAACACGGATTTCAGATGTTCCTGTAAAGGACGCAAAGTGATCAAGATGGCAACTACTAGTTGAGACTACAGTGACTTTATAGACAGTGGCGACAACAGGGTCTCTATTTTCTCGTTTTTGATTGGTCGTTGGTTCTGGTCGCCATATTGGAGCTAAATTCCAAACTGGCCAATAGAAAGCCTCCAAAACGACGCGATACACTCCGTGCTATAATTATTAATTATACTGTTTTGACAGTGTCACCTGTAATTGTCACGGCTTCACATTACTAGTGTCTTTAAAAAAAAACTGCATTCATTATAAGACGGTTTTTTAGCTCCAATATGGCGGATTATGACAAGTTTTGGCCACTGTCCTTATAAAGTCACTGTAGTTGAGACTAACCAAGTATACGTCGCAGAGATCGTAAAGCCACAAGTTGTAAATTGCTGTTGTGGTTATGGTGAATTCGTAACTTTCGAAGCCCCTATTCGAATCGGCGACAGTTAATGCGATCCTGCTCAACATCCATTTGTCTATGAGACTTTCGCCGCCTACGTATTTACTACCATTGGGAATGACAAAATCGCCATTAGGATAATTTAGCGCAAACTTCGTGGCGTTCCATATCTTATTGCAGAAAAATCGGTAGCCCTGCACTCTTAAAATGTCCAAATTGATATCGCGACCTTGACACATGGCGCATAAGGCAAAGCGTAACGCGTCAGTTCCGCATTCGGGTATTCCTTCGGGATAGTCTTGCTTCTGTCCCAGTTTCGCCTTGTCAATCTCCTTGCGATCCAGGTTGCTGTCGAGTAATTGTTTGTGTAACTCTTCAAGGGATATACCGTGGATTACATCCATTGGATCTATGACGTTGCCAAGCGATTTACTCATTTTTCTTCCGTGGGCGTCTCGTACAATAGGATGAAGGTATACTTCTCTACAATTACATCCCGTCTGTTAAAACCTTGGCGAGCTTCCAAGTTTTGATAATTAACATTTTGATACACAAATGATAGTCATTTATCACACCGGGGCGAAACAGAAAGTCAATTGTATCATCAAAACATATTATAATCCTATTACAACAATTATGATCAACAGTCATTTTTATGAATTTTAATATTCCTGAAGGAATCGACCCGCGAGAAGTACTAGCATGAAAGATTTTGTACTGTATTTAATTGCATTTAATTTCCATGATACCCTCCTTTTGGCGAGTGCTGTAGGGGTTCAATTTTATTTTATGCAAGTGTTTTCAACCCTTGTAAATGTAACTAAGCCGTTACAAGGTGCTCATGTTCTAAATCCTAATGTCCATGGAATCCGAAAAAGAAATATTTGGAAGGAGGTTGGTGGTCAACAGGTCCAAGAGCTTTGTCAGATCTCATTGGAAGGCAGATTATTTTCTTACTCAGTTCCTTACGGGGCATAGGAAGATGCGATGTTACTTCGTGGGGTTTGAAGAGGGACGCGTTGGGATAGGATTTAGGGGTTAAGCTTAGGCCATCCGATATTGGGATGATTAAAAAGCGCGCCCTACTCTTACCTAAATGGTAACTTCCCCAATAACTTCTGTCCAAAAAATACCATTCTCGCCACCCAAAAGAATAAAATATCATGGCCAGTTTCAAGCAAACTACCCGGATAGAAAGCCTTCAGATCGTCAGTTTGATCAGGCCATCCAAATATGGAAAACGGAAATAGTCCAGACGAGAACCACGTATCTAAAACATCCTCGTCCTGTTCCAGACGTATTTTCGACGCAGGCACCTTAAATTTGGCAATCGCCTTCTCCAGCGCTTCCCGCTCTGTACGTCCCGATACCCAATATTCGTTATCCGACTTCTAAAACATCAAAATCAGACAAGGAAATTGCGCCACCCAATTACCTCGCCCGGTTTAATAGACGAATCGTCGATCGAAACGAAATACGCGGGTATGCGGTGTCCCCACCAAAGCTGCCGCGAGATGCACCAATCCCTAATTCCGTCGAGCCAATGAAACCAGGTCTTATTGTGCATTTCAGGTATCAACTTTAATTCGCCCGACCGGACCGCGTCCGCCGCATTTTTCGCCATGTCCGAGCAGTTCACGTACCATTGAGGTTTGAGCATTGGTTCTACCACGTCTTTACTTCTACTGCAGATGGGCACCACCATTGGGTTATTTTTGGTTTCGATGTACAGTCCTCGTTCTTTTAAATCTAATAATACTTCTCGTCTAGCATCGAAACGTTTCATTCCCTAAAATGAATAGGACAATTATCAACTATTCCCACAGTTGCGGCATATGTGTAAATAATTGCCTTGTGGTCTTTTAAAGTTTATCTCCGGTCATTGCGATAAGTTTTTTTTCGCTACGTAGCTTAACTTCGTTCGACGACGCACGAATTTTGATAAAGTAGAGGAGGAAGGTGTAGAAGGGAAGAGTCGTTAAATAGAAGAGAAGAGATGGACGTGAAACGAGGCTTTTTCAGTGGGGGACGTTAATCGTTGCGTTTTGTTTGATGGACGCTTTTAGTGTCAATTTTGTTTAATTGAAAAGTTGCAAAAGAAGAAAACTGGATAGTGCGACCTGAAGCATTTGTCTACGATTATGAGAAAGTTAGTCGGAGTATTATGTCTACCGTGCGTTATCGCTTATTCGATTCTTTAATGTCTTCAAGTTATCCGTTAAAGAGGGTTTTTTCCACCATCAAAGAGCCAATATTACATTACAACGAACCCAGCGTCTTCCAAATCGAGATTCAAGTGCAATCGTGAAATCGGGCGTAAAAGAGAGTATGGTTTGGCATTCAGCTCAACACTCACCGTAAATCGTCCACAATCTCCTTGAATATACCCGGAATCATCAAGAATTGTAATAAAAGGCAAGTTATGCCTTAATCCGACTTCGTAGTCATTCGGATCATGAGCTGGCGTAATTTTTACGGCACCAGTACCAAATGCCTGATCCACAAATTCGTCGGCAACTATTGGAAGTTTACGATTACAAAATGGATGCGTCACAAACTTTCCGTGCAGATGTTTGTATCGCGCATCATCCGGATGCACTGCAACGGCCGTATCTCCCAGCATGGTCTCGACGCGTGTCGTCGCCACAATAATCCTCTCGTCCGAATCCACCACCTTGTACGCGAACGACACGAGAACACCAAATTCGACTTTGTCACCGTAACCGGGGATGGTCAGAAAGGTGCGGCCGGTTAATTCGACTTTGTCGACTTCGATATCGGAAATGGCCGACTTCAAGGTGCACGACCAGTTAACCAATCGATTCGAACGATAAATAATGCCCTCATTATGCAGACGGACGAACGCCTCAGTAACCGCCCGAGATAACTTCGGATCCATAGTGAAAGCTGCTCGATCCCAATCAAACGATGATCCCAGCTTGCGGAGCTGATGATAAATCCGATCGCCCTTTCTGAAAATATTCAAAAAGTTAGGGCAAGTTGACATGTGCCGCCGCCAACGTTCGCAAAAACAAGTAAAAAGGTTTAGTAACTTCAGCGCATTTTCCATGAATGATCAGTACTTAATAATATTTATTTTAATAATATTTCTTTGCCATTATGCGCATATCTGATTTTTACTATATGCTATATGTTTGCCTTCACCAGAAATATCTGTGGTTAAAATTTCAACAAAATATATTAATAAATAAAAAAAGTTGACATTTGCGCATGCGCACATTAATCTGATGTTTACAATATGCGATACGTTTGGTTACACTAGCAGCATCTTTGGGTAACATTTCAAAGAGATACCTCCATAAATAAGAAAGTTGCTAATGAATGCGCAGTCTGTGCATGGGCACAACTAATTTTTACTAAGTATGCTATATATTTGCCTTCACCAGAAGTATCCACGGTTAAAATTTCAACAAAATAGATTAATAAATAAGGAAGTTGACATTGCGGGGTCTGCGCTTGCGCAGTTTAATTGTCAAGATTTTCCTTGGTTCAGGTGCTAGACCTAGAGCTATATGCTACCGAATGCAAAAAGAACGAATTTAATATCTTGAAAACTGTAGGAGTAGTTAAGGCCTCGGACAGACGGACGGACAGAGAAAGTGGCTGCAATAGCGCACCCACGAACTTAAACTTAAGATGGACTGCTAATGCTGAATTGACAAATGAGACCTACATGGGGGCAGCCATGATATGCACTCACTTGGCGCGAAATTCAAATCAACTAATAATCAAGCATTGGTTTTCTAAATAAAGTGTGATACGTCATTTTCCAAGGCTGCAATAGTCTCAAAACTAGTAAAATTCCTAAAAGGAAATAACTAAAACGTGCACATCATGGCGGCGCCCATGCTAGGGCCATTTCTACCTCTATGTAACTGTTTGATCAGCAGTCTATCTTAATTTGTAAGTTCGTGAGCGTACCCAACTTCGTTGGAAAATGCGCTAAAAACGAATTAAGTAAATGGTATGTTGGTTGCCTATATGACAGGTATGAGGTAGAAGCAAACGTGGTGTAAAAAGTAAGTGATTAACCCGTCGACTCTACTAATAATGACATACTCATTCTTCCACTCCCACACCTTCTTGACGAACTGCTCGCGTCCCACATCGTGACGAGTCTTCCGTTCCTCCCTCCAGATTCTTTTCTCGACCACAACCTGAGTTGCAATACCGGCATGATCGCAACCAGGATTCCACAAGGTGGTTTTACCTCTCATTCGGTTCCAACGTATCAACGAATCCTGAATTGCATTTGTCAGTGCGTGGCCCAAGTGCAGACTGCCGGTGACATTCGGAGGTGGTATTATTATGACGTAAGTCCCCTTTTCGTTTTTCTCAAGCACGGACGTGCGCTAAAGTTGCGAGTTTCAATGGTAATGTACACGACGATTATTTCTTACCCCAAATTCCGGTTTGAAAAATCCCTCTTTTTCCCACCAGTTGTACCAAGCTGCCTCCACGTATTTGGGGCTGTATGCGTCGGGTAACGGAAGTGTCACGTCCTTCTTTTCTCCCGGTTGAGTTGCAATGTCATAAACCGCAGACTCTTTAACATCCTTCTTCTTCTCTTTCTAAATATTTTTGAGTTATGAAAAATAAGCATATGGATTAACTCACTTCGACAGGCTCCTTTTTCACTGTGTTACTTTGCTTCTCTAATTTTTGCTTCAACTTATCTAATTTGGCCTGCTTTTTCGCTTCCTTTTCAAGTTGTTTCGCAGTTTTCGGAGGTGCATTTTCGCAATCCATCTTCGGTGTTTCATCAGCCATGACTAAAAGTAAAAGAGGAAAAGATTTTGCAATTTTTGAGGTTATCTCATGCACGGACAGCTGATTTGGCAACCGTTCAGGTGATAAGACCTACTTGTAGTCAGAACGAAATCATTAAGTAGTTACAATGAATGCGAATTTTGAATTTGAACTAATTTCAAACGCATCTTTTATGGATGATAACAGACACTGTTGCTGAAATTATGAACCCCTTTTATTTATTATTATATTACTAGGGGTGGTCCCAGTCGGTTCCTGCACTGTGACCTTTTGGTCTATAGTCGACCCTTCAAGAATACCTGAGTGTCTTTCGGTCTAAGATGTTTCTTAAGTAACTAATTCGTAAGTACATAACATGAATTTATCAATATACATATAATAATATATAATTATGTGTATAATAACAATTACAAGTCAACACTCACATTCAAGTTCGTTCAAATTTATTTGTTTCAAGTAAGCTGCTGTAGAGAATAATAATAATTTTATTATTCACCAGATTTGTCCATTTATAGAATAAACTTACTATAAGTACATGGGCGTAACATAATTATGTTAATTAATTTTTAAAAAATGTATAACAATAAAAAAAAATTATTCAAATTAAATTTAACACTTCTGACAGTGAGGCTGTTGATATCATTACCTACAATATTACAGTATTTCTAACATATACCTAGTAGTGTAAGTACAATCAATTATTTATCTCATAATCCCAATTAATACCTACAATTCAAAACTTACTCTTTTATGCCTTAAAAGATGCGGTTTAACATTATAGGTTTTACTTTTTGTCGCAAAATCACAATTAGCACATTTATAATCCTTACAAACATCATGTTTCAAAAAATGTTGTTTGTAGCAGTAACTTTATGTGTTAAAATGTGCTTATAAAGGTTAAATTTCTTGTTTGTCTCATAATCACAATGAGCACATTTGAAATCCTTAGAAACTTTGTGTTACAAGGTGTTTATTAAAGTTTGATTTATTGTTTGTCTCATAATCACAATCGAACATTTAAAATCCGTAGAAACTTTATGTGTTAAAAGGTGTTTATTAAAGTTTGGTTTAATGTTTGTCTCATAATCACAATCAGCACATTTATAATCCTTACAAACTACATGTGTCAAAAGATGTTGTTTGTAGCTGTATTTAAAATTTGTGCCATAATCACAATCGGCACATTTAAAATCCTTAGAAACTTTATGTCTTAAAAAATGTTGTTTGAAGAGGTGTTTATTATTCGTTCCATAATCGCAATCAGCACATTTAAAATCCGTAGAAACTTTATGTGTTAAAAGGTGTTTATTAAAGTTTGGTTTAATGTTTGTCTCATAATCACAATCAGCACATTTATAATCCTTACAAACTACATGTGTCAAAAGATGTTGTTTGTAGCTGTATTTAAAATTTGTGCCATAATCACAATCGGCACATTTAAAATCCTTAGAAACTTTATGTCTTAAAAAATGTTGTTTGAAGAGGTGTTTATTATTCGTTCCATAATCGCAATCAGCACATTTAAAATCCTTAGAAACTTTATGTGTTAAAAGGTGTTCATTAAAATTTGATTTAAAATTTGTGCCATAATCACAATCTGCGCATTTAAAATCCTTAGAAACTTTATGTCTTAAAAGATGTTGTTTGAAAAGGGGTTTATTATTTGTGCCATAATCACAATCAGCACATTTAAAATCCTTAGAAACTTTATGTGATAAAAGGTGTTTATTAAAGTTTGATTTATTGTTTGTCTCATACTCACAATCAGCACATTTAATATCCTTAGAAACTGTATGTGTTAAAAGGTGTTTATTAAAATTTGATTTATGGTTTGTCTCATAATCACAATCAGCACATTTCAAATCCTTAGAAACTTTATGTGTTAAAAGGTGTTTATTAAAGTTTGATTTAACATTTGTCTCATAGTCACAATCAGCACATTTAAAATCCTTAGAAACTTTATGTTTTAAAAGATGTTGTTTGAAGAGGTGTTTATTATTCGTCCCATAATCACAATCAGCACATTTAAAATCCTTAGAAACTTTATGGGTTAAAAGGTGTTCATTAAAGTTTGATTTATTGTTAGTCTCATAATCACAATCAGCACATTTAAAATCCTTGGAAACTTTATGTTTTAAAATATGTCGTGTGTAGTAGTATTTAACATTTGTGCCATATTCACAATCAGCACATTTGAAATCTTTAGAAACTTTATGATTCAGAAGATGTCGTTTGTAGTCATATTTAATATTTGTGCCATAATCACAATCAGCACATTTAAAATCTTTAGAGACTTTATGTTTTAAAAGATGCCGTTTGAAGTGGTGTTTACCATTTGTCTCATAATCACATGTAACACATTTAAAATCCTTAGAAACTGTCTGTGTTAAAAGGTGTTGGCTAAGTTCCTTGTTTGTCTCATAATGACAATCAGCACATTTAAACTCCTCAGAAATATCTGTATGATTTAAAAGGTGTTGTTTAAGACAGGCTTTAGTATTTGTCTCATAATCACGAGCACATTTAAACTCTTTAGACACTGTATTACCTTGAGTTAAAAGCTGAAGTTGAAAGTGTTGCTGTACTTCATTATGAAGTGGTTTAGAACATGGTGTACTAATGGTAACTTCATCTTTTATTGCCACCCAAACCTCGTTGCTTACTGAAGTGTGTCCCTGAAGAAAGGAATTGATTTCTTCCTCTTGTTTTGGTTCGATTTTAATGAGTATTGTGTCATTATCTCTATTCATACCTAACAATAATGTGATAAATAAATGTCTTTTTTCATTTATGAAAAATCTATTTGCTTACTTACTTAACGGAATTTGTTGAATAAGGACCTTAAAAATGGTCTGTGAACTGAAGCAAACATGTATTTTGGCGGGGGTCTGAAGGTGGATGGGAGCTTAGAATGCAATGGAGGAATGACATCTACCTCCTACCTCCTGTTACAAAAAACAAAGATAAATTCAGTGTTGCCAACTTAGCGATTTTGCCGCCAAATCTAGCGTTTTCAAAGAGCAAATTGCGGGAAATTTTTGCGTTTAGCAGTTCGCGTGGTAACGTTTTCTCAAATACCTATATAAATACGAAAAAGGAACGATTCGCATTGTGATTGGGTAAACGCGAATTGAAATTTCAAATAGCCGAAGATAATTTTGCGGCCATCAGACCAAGTTCTGATAGGAAATTAAATTACTTAATTACTGCAAATGTGTACCTACTCCCTAAACTTCTTTTGTAAAACGTAATCGTAAGAATCACGATCTTAAAAACATGATCGCGAAATAGCCGAAAGAAAGCGCTAAATATATCAAAAAAGTTTTTTTTTAATAAAAAGGAGTCAAATAAATAGTGAAACTATGCGACGGAAGTCGGCTATTGTGGCTCTTATGCGTGGGTAGTCTACTTACAATAGTATATTCCTTTGGAACCACTCATTTACTCCATTTGCAGGATCAATGAAGGTATTAAGAGTTGCTGTAAAATGCCGTTTTTCGAAAGTTGTTTCACATCGGGCATTTAGTGACTAAAAAAAACTGTTGCTACAGGATTTAGAATTATTTTGTAAAGTGACTGTTTTGTTAACAAAAAACCGTTTTTAAAAATATAGTTTGGAAATAGGTTTTTAATTGAATCGTTTTGAATTCGTGTGACAAAGTTATCTGAAAGTAGCAAGGAATTTGTCCCTTTTGATGTATTTATTGATTTTTGAATCACTTTGTATAACAAACTTTTTGGCATCCTTGAAAGTGTCGATAAAGTAGGTAGCTGAAAATGGTATCACATGACTTTTCGAACTTGTCTGTTTGACTGACAGTCAGTGTCATTAGAATTGTCAAAACAATTCGCAGAAGAAGTGAATATGTGTCTCATAACATAATGTCTCTAATTAATTTAATCAACAGTATACCTAACAATAAGTGAATAAAATCATTAAAGATAATGGGATCGCGTATACGGTACGTACTTTTTTCTTACAATTCCACCCCCTCATTTTTTCACACAAAGGGTTAATTAATAAACCAAATGGTGCATTTATTTAGGGAAAATGTTAAGCACTTCTTCGAATGTTTTTGTGAAGTGGTGCCACCGACCGCCGACAAGGAAGCCTGGATCATTCAACAATATCCCGACACGTATAACGACGAGGAAGTTCTCAAATCGGTACCTAAATTTGCATATCCTTACAAATTCGAAAAGTCTGTATCGAAGTCGTCGCAAATACTCCCTTTTTCAATGCGCTCCTTTTTAGTACGATCATTCAGCATTACTCGTTCGTGCTTACCGATATCGAATCGAAGTGGACGTTCGGATTTTGTAGGCACGATCCCAAATCGGAAACCGCATTGGTCGTCTTAACTTACCTTCCATGGCATCAGGCATTTTACAAGTACGTTCTCTTTATTAATTAAATTACTTCAAATGCATTGTACTGACTTGATTATAAAGCAAGAATGCAGTTAAGTCAGTTAGTTTATAATCGACCATATGCTTTACAAATGAAAAGCAGTTAGCTTTTTCTTTCATTGCAGCTATTATCTTACTGACCTGTAAAATTGTTATAAAACGCATTGTTTAATTGGATGAAATGATTGGTTTTGGTCAATTTCCTGTCTGTTATGATCCAAATAGAAATCTCATGCAGCATTTCTATCTATTAGATATTACGTTTATCATTACTTACTTCCTAGTAATAAAGTATTCTCTTGGTGTATCAAAGTTGAGTCATAGCTTGCATTGTTTACCTTGTATTAGAGTGCTGTTCCACAGGGATACATAGTTATTATATCTCCTTTATTATTCACCAATCACATTACCATGGTATAAAATAGATAGAGGCATATGAACTGCTCTTGCAATTGTGAGTCCGTATGTGTAGGAAAGAGACAGCAAAAGTAGGCCTAGTCTATTACACATATGCAAAGAAAAGTATAGAAGATAAATTGTAAAGGATTAAACTTCCTACAAAAAATATACATGTTTTTTCATAAGTTTGGGGGGATATCAGGTCGGTAGAAATGAATGTGGAAAATGGGACAGTCACAATTTTGAGGCGGATTAGTTCATCACACACTACTACTATGCGATCAAAAATGAGTTGCTGTCGAGTTACCTTTGGAATTTTTGTTTACATGGGAAATCGTACTTAACTTGAACTTCCAAAGGCGACTCGACAGCAACTCATTTTTGATCGCCCGTTATTACCTAAGTGTACAATGGCTTCCTAGTAATATACAGTGGTTCAAGATAAGAGAGTCACCTCAATATCTCATTTATTTGGCGAGATACAAAAAAACAAATATCTTTTATATGTGAGATACTTGGACCTAATTAAATTTTCATTTTTTTTGTACACATTCAATGTCTTAATGTTTTTTAATTGTTCTTTAAAATATACAAGGTATAACGGGTAAGTATCTGAAAGAATAATAGAAGAGACCAGAATAAACAAATAAATCAAGGGTCCAAGGAAGGAAATTTGGTATAATTTAGTCCTGGTACCTTCTGCCAGTGATGGATCCTATTCATCTCCTCCCACTGATCTAGGACTTTTGTGCAGTCCATAGAAGGTTTCCGACCCTATTGGTTTTCGCCTGGCTCCTTGTTCATCTTGAAAGTGATTCCGAGATTCGGCAGTTTCATCCAACCTAATCAATTCAATCAGATCCTTTGAACGCGTGATTTACTGTTTATTCTGCAAATTTCACACGACACAGATAAGGACGACTGTAAAACAAAAATATTTTCCAGTAACCTGAGACATCACCTCGTATCCCACGACTCACTGGCGCCGTAAGTTTTCAAACGTAGCTAAAAAGTCAGGACCGTATTTAAAAACACGTGACAACCAAACAAAATTTGGAAAATCCTGTGAAATAATAGTTACAGGAGTTTGTTTTAATTTCCAAAACCCAATTTATTTTCCTGCGAAATTTCGACGAGATAAAGTTATTTCCAGAAGCTGTAATATAACAAGCTAGGTGGCAACATTATGGGGGCGGCAAATGAAGAAATGTCTCTCGCATGACCTTATATTTGTCTAGTAGTTACAAGAGATACATACAAATATTTTATACAAAACATTCTTTATAATGTTGGCTAAATGATTTGCCGTTTTCAAAATAAGTAAAATTTTTTATCAATTGAGTTTTTAAAAATATTCATGGTGGTATTTTTGGAAACAGAATTTCAAAAGCATTATTTTTAGATTAAATCTTAATTTTTCCTGAATAATCTGCCATTTTCAAAATAAGTATAGGAGGTCAGGTAAAAAAGTTATCGGACCTAACCTGATTTTTTTAAATGGAACACCCTGTATATTTTAATTTCTCTTTTCAAAACATAACTAAAAAATTGAATATTGGTTCTAAATCTTCGCAAAAGGTTTTGAAAAAATTCAAGTCTGTCCATTTTTGTTGTATTTTTGGCAGAGTTTGAAAAAAACCTGGTTTTTTTTAAAACCCCCAACCCAAAGGGCCCAAGTGGGTTTTTTCGGGTTTTCTCGGGTAAAAGTGGGTAATAGTACTTTTTCGAGTTCAACAATAAAAAAAAGTTTTGAACTGTTTTGAATTGTTAACTAATACTAAACGAACTCAAATGGAAGTATCTATGTTTTATTTTTGTATTGTAAAAATCAAAAGTGATTCCTGTATAATTTGAAACATACTTTTGCCATATAAATTTATTTCAAACCAGTCCAAGTCAAAAAACTTCAAAATGAAAAAACCCACTAATGAAAAACCCAAGTGGGTCCAACCCGAAAAAACTCAGTGGGTTTTTTCGGGTTGGGCGAACCCTGATTTTTTAATCATTTGAACTTTTTTTAAAAAATGTTTGAATCTTGAACCTGAATTTTGTTGAATTAATTGAGTGTTTTTAAATATCATCTATGGTTATATTATTGCAAAATCAGTATAAGGAATCAGGTAGAAAAGTTATTGGACCTAACCTCATTTTTCTAAATGGAACACCCATTTTATTTTAATCTAAAAAGATAGCATATTAAATTATATTTTTTAAAATAAACACTAAAAAATAATGTTTTTGAATCTTGAATCTATTTTTTTATGCAATTGAAATGTGTGTGTATTTTTCGAAAAAGAATTTAATATGTAGATATTATTTTTAAAATAAATCTTGATAATGTTTGTTGAATAATCTGCCTTTTTCAAAATAAGTATACGGGGGATCAGTCAAAAAACTTATCGCACTTAGCCTTATTTTTTAAATGAAACACTTTGTATATTTCAATTTAAAAAGATGGCATATTGATTCTCTTTTCAAAAATGTAACACTAAAAAAATTCAATATTGAACAAAAAAATTTAGAAATGGTTTTGATTTTTTTTTATATTTTTTGAATCATTTGAACTTGTTAATCTTTTTAAATCTTAAATCTGATTTTTTTAATTAATTGAGTTGTTTTAATACCATCCATGGATGGTATATTTAAAAAAAATATGCTATAGTTTTAGATTAAATCTTTATCATGTTTGCCGTTTCAAAATAGGTATACGAGGACATTTAAAAACGTTATCGGACCTAACTTCTAACCTGTATATTTTAATTTAAAACATACCATATTTAATTCTCTTCAAAAATATAACAATAACAAATTTAATATTGATTCTAAAGGTTCGAAAAGATTTTTAAAAAATTCAAAAATGTTTTTGAATTTTTTTTTTTTTTTACTTTTGAAATCTTTGAATCTTGAATATGAATTTTTTTGGATCCTTTGAATTTTTTAATGGTGTTATTTTTTTGAACAAAGAATTTAATATGCTATCCTTTTAGAATAAAATGTACAGGGTGTTCTATTTAAAAAATTAGGATAGGTCCGATAACTTTTTTATTTGACCCCGTATACTTATTTTGAAAACGACCGTATATTCAGCAACCATTATAAAGAACCTTTTGTAATAATCATTTTTCTGTAGGTATCTATTTAATATGGCATCATTCTAAAATTGACAATTTTTTATTCCCCCCTCCCTCCTATCCTCTTGAATCTTCAAATTTTGATTTTACCATTTTAAGTTTAATCCAAAAATAGCACATGACGGCTATATTACTTTTTTATAGCACTAACAATTACGGAGATTTATTTATTTATTTATTATTTATTATCCCTCTCTTGTTCTGGGCCCTCAACAGGCTTGCGCTCAATTACAAAGTGACCCGCATAACGCTGCCTCTGCAGAAGGTCTTAAGCTGTTCTATACTACTCCGGTACTTACGAATCAGGAAAACTGCAGGAAAACCTAATTCGGAGTAATAATAATAATATATATTATATAGCCGACAGAATGCTAGAAACTGGTCTAAGGTAATTCCCATTTCTGCCACAGATGAAAAATTCACCTTAACCCAGGTTCGAACACCCGACCTCCGGATTTATAGTTCAACGCTCTACCACTGAACCATAAAGCCGGAGATAACTTACAAAAGTGTCGAAAGTGGAACACCCTGTACAATATTCGCACTTCAGTTTTCAAGATATTTAGTTCGTTCTTTTTGCATTCGGTAGCTTATAGCTCTGGCACCTGAGTCAAGAAAAATCTTGACGATTAATGTACGCATGCGCAGGCTGCGCAATACTTTCTTATTTATTAATATATTATTTTGAAATTTTAGCTACAGATGTTCTAGTTAAGGCAAACATCTCGCATTTTATAAAAATTAGATATGCGCAGACGGCGCAATGCAATTGCATAGAGATTTCTTTGAAATGGCGTTTTGAGAAATACTGATCAATACCTGAAAAATGTGCTAAAGAAGTAACTGAATAAGATAGCGTATGAATTAACTGTGTGAGAAAAGGCTAACCTGTTTTGGATCATTTTTGTTTTATTCGATCGCTCGCCCGAATATTAAAATGAATTCAAAAGATTTTTAGATAACATAGCCGTATTAACGCAGAGCCCGAGATCGGAAGATCTTGGCGAGTTCTTGCGAGATGTCCACAATAGAAAATTACCGGACCCCGGAAAGATGTTCGAAGTTACGTTTAATAAAGGGGAAAGTGTATGTTCCCGTGATTCTTCCCCGTGTGCCTAATTCTTTGTCCGTAGATGTTTGCAGTTGAGCGCCCGAAACAATTTCAATTGCCCAGTATACCCGAAAATGTAAGTAGGGGTGTCAAGGGGGATGGTGTAAGTTAATAAGTTGTAATTCCAGAGGAATCTTACCGAATATTATAATGCAGTGGATGCGAATAACATGATGTTGATATTCGCATCGATGCTGTACGAGAGGAGGATAATCTTCACGTCGAAAAAACTGACCAGGCTTAGCGCGAGCGTGCAATCCGCCAATGATATTATCTACCCGATGTTATGGCAGCACATATTCATCCCAGTCCTGCCGATGGCCTTAATTGACTACTTGTTAGCGCCAATGCCTTTCCTTATCGGCGTTCCTGACGAGGTGTTAAAGGTAAGGTATGCGCATTCTTTTCATTGTATTTCTGTCATCACGTCCGTCGAATAGGCGGAAATGGAATTGTGTTATATCACACAATTACTAACTTATACCATACAAAAATAATGGAAACAAGGTCGTGGCTTCAATTTTAACATTCCAATATATGATTAAATGGTAACGACCTTTTGTATAATAAAATCTTTCATGGTTGTTGATTTTTATTATAATACTTGAAATGTTTGTGTGAAAACGAAAATTCACATGAAGATGATATTCTTTACTTGTACGTGGCACGTTCACCTCTTGGAACAATCAATTTGGAAAGCAAACATTCTATGCAAAGTCTTGTGTCGGTCAAGTTCCAAATTTAGTAATTGAAAAATCGTGCCTGTCTGTTCGCCAGGTAGGTTTTTAACAATTTCCATTATCACAATTTCACCTTAAAAGTTACATTCTCTAAATATAATTTGTTTTTGTATTGATTATTCGGAAGATCAATATCTAAATTTGGATTCTCAGCTTATAATAAATATACATGTGGGTATCTAATTTGAGCATTAAAATGTAAGTGGTGACGTTTATTGCTACCTGTGGTTTTGTCATAGAAAAAGATGATCACGCTCGTATAATTGCTGAATTTAAAATTGTGCCGCTTTAAATGATAGCATTTTATCATTATGAGTTCTCGGTAATTCCAAATTACATATGTACTTTGTAATTCAATTTCAAGGTCATTCTCGCCTAATCAAATAAACTGTTCGAAAAAGTCAAAGCTAAATGCAAATAATCCAACCTGCTAGGTAGTGCTTCGCTGGGTGTATGTCAGCTTCACTGTTTCAGCACCAGTGGCCTATGAAAAAGTGTGTCTGTATATCTAAACAAATTGTTTTTGAAGATCTTTGAAAATTTTGGGCTATTAGAACATTTCAGATTATACAATGTGATCAAATGAAAAACTAGAGGGGGTTGCTAGTAGGTATCCAGTTTTCTAACTACACAACAAACAACTCGAATTGAACTTAGATCTCATTTGCGGAGAGACGACGTCACGCCAATTGTTTTTCGCGGGGGGCGACTTTGTAAATTCCATAACCTTTTTGTATTTTGCGTATATTCATGTTTTAATGAATAAGAAATATAATTGAACCTGTTTCTTCGTCACTTGTCACATGTGAAATACGAATAAACATCATGTTAAGGTTTAATAGGCTTCCTCCTCCCTCTAACCCGATTGTCCAGATTGTGTATCCACTCACCCGATTTGACTCGTATGCGCTATTACCTATCAAAACCAAAGTGGAGTGGCCCATCTCCGTAATTGTTTTCTGAATTTCTGATGGGAGGGTGGACTAAGTCCACACGTACTTATGCCTCACATTTGAGCCCTTTGCTCTATTTCCCTGACTACAGTTGTCCGACCCCGCAATGTCACTCCAGGCATTTGACACATGAGATGAACCTAAGGATGCTGGAAGGAGAAGTGGCTCTTATTGTAACCATGTCCGACCAGGACACCACCAACATGAATTACCTCAGTTGGACTAGAGCGGGACATTCACAAAGACCTTCTCCTCGTCTGTGTAACATCCTCGACAAGATGGTGATACTTCCAAATCCATGCGGTGCGTGTGCTTGTTTAGAGGCAGATAAAAATTGCCTTTTTTTTTGCATAGCCACCTCGTTATTATGTTAACCAGGAAAACCAATATATTTCGAAAACTATCAGAGATAGGTATAGGACATTATTATCAAAAGTTGAAGGTTTTTGAAAGAGTTAAAAGATGACAGAAAATATACAGGGTGTTCCATTTAAAAAAAGTGAGATTTTTAATATGAAGTTTTGCAACTTTGGACCTACCAAAAAAAACACCCTGTAAGCTATTTTTTTAATGTTTCATAGTAGATGTATTTATTTGACTTTTACTTAACCCAGGATAAGATATAAAACCTAGAATCAAAATTTAAGTAATAATTTTGACAATATACTGACGCTTGCAAATGCCCAATTTTTCTTAAAAATCGAATTATCTTTAAAACTACTAGCCTTTCGGATATTAACCATATAATAAAAAAGACGTACAATTACACGTAGAATTCAAAAATGCATTCTATTTCTATTCTATTTATTTTATTCTATTTAAAAAAATGTACCATTTTGGCGCCCTACTTTGTAGGCGCACCCTGTATAATTCCAAATATTTTTAAAATGTGGAGAATATTCAACCAGATCATAATACAAAAGCACTCTTATCGAAAAATCTTATCTTCAAGGCATTAAGTTACTCCGCGCAATCGTTGACTCACCCTGTACAACGTGAAGTATAACCGTACCGGCGTATACGCAATAACCTCCATGCACCAGGCCGCGGTCGGACATCGTTTCGCTTAAGTTGTATGATGATTTGTTTCTTGAATAAATTGAAAATTTTTATAAATGTTCGAAGAAGGGATCAAGGACCCCCCCCCCTCCCCCCAATATCAGTGTACTTCAACGTCCTCTTTTTAGTTGAGAGGTAACCCTACCAAAAATGAACTTCAGGTTCTTTCTTGATATCCCCGTGCAAAAACGCGCCAAGTTACGCCATGATCATCTGAAGGCCTCCCTTGGATGGCGACGATCTAACATCGAGTTCCACCTAACCTTGTGCTGGCCGGGATTGAACTAGCTGCACTATCCCGGATCCCGGTTTTTCATATATAAATCCCGGACAAAAAATAACGGAACGTCTTGAATAAAAATTTACACTTGCCCAAACCCAAATACCTAGTGGCGACACTGTATGAACCAAAAGAAATAGCCACAAACCTCGATCGTGTGATTGTGACATCCTGTGTGTGTTGTCTGAGGTTATAGTGAAGTAATTCAACCAATCACGCCGCGCTCTCTAGTTCGTTGTTTAATATTTTGGTTTTTGTTCCAGAAAAACATGCTTTTGTTAAATTTGATTGTCACATGTTTAACATTTTATTTTATTTTGTTTTTTATTAAAATATTTTTTCTGTTGGTTCTTTTTATTTTGTGCGTTAAAAACATGTAATTGGAGTAGTATGTATGACAAATTTAATATAACAACAATAAAAAAAACTAGAAACAAAAAAGCAATTTTTTGACCAAAAAAATGAAAATGACAATCGAGGTAGTACCTACCCATTAAATTTTTAAATGTGGTATATTTTTACCAGGTCATAATGTTGGTTCACATAGGGATGGTGCCCCGGAATTCAACGCAATCAATGCGGCAACCCTACCCCTTCCAGTGAGGTGCCTATAGATTATAGTCTAACAACCACCTATCAAACGCCGTCAGTCTCGGACCACGAACTTATAAATTAAGATGGACTGCTAATGCTGAATTGACAAATGACACCTACATGGGGGCAGCCATGATGTGCACTCACTTGGCGCGAAATTCAAATCAACTAATAAACAAGCATTAACCTCACATTTCATAAATAAATTACTGTGACACATGTCATTTTCCAAGACTGCAATAGTCTCAACACTTGAGCACTAGGAAAATTCCCCTAGAAAATAAGTAAAAAGTGCACATCATGGCCGCGCCCATGCTAGGGTCATTTCTATCTCTATGCAATTGTTTGATCAGCAGTCCATCTTAATTTGTAAGTTCGTGGTCTGGACCCCTTATAACGCCTCCTGCCCCTTGGGAATAAAAACCACTCGACTCACAAAACTTTCCCTCTTCCAACCATACCACACACGGTATTCAACTTCTTGGTCGCGCATCTAAATATCAATAGCCCGAGTTCGTGTAAAATACGTTGGGACACAGTCAACTCGCCAAGGGCGACTCGCCACCGGACCACTCGCCACCGACCGACTAGCCAATGGGACAACTCGCCAACGCGACAACTCGCCAACGCGACAACTCGCCAACGGACGACTCGCCACTGCGACAACTCGCCAACGAAATATTTTTCCCTGTTTAATGTGTCATACAAATGCATCCCACAAATGCAATAGTCAATTTCCCTAATTTTGTAAAAAAAAGTTTATCGAAAAATTGTAGTCAATATTTGAATGAAGACCCAACCGCCTATACCTGTTTCTATTACTGCATTTTGATATAACGACATCTTCTGCGAATTATTATTTGAACAGAAAATTTGACAATCACATCGTTATTTGAACGACACATTAAACAGGGAAAAATATTTCGTTGGCGAGTTGTCGCAGTGGCGAGTCGTCGCGTTGGCGAGTTGTCCTGTTGGCGAGTTGTTCCGTTGGCGAGTCAGTCGGTGGCGAGTCGCCCTTGGCGAGTTGACGCGTACCGAATACGTTCATCGCGCGTGCATCCAAGCCGTAGCCTATCAAGAGATAGGTCAAGACAAAAATGACAGACCCCATATTTCCTTAGTTTCCAGGTAAAAAGAGTTGTTAGATTCAACCTCATTTTTAGCGCATTTTTCAAGAATTGAAAAAGTGCTATTACTTGCGATTTGTCCCACTTCTGCTGTCTTGAACTACTTTTAGGGGAATTGTTCTAGGGGCCTGGAATTTTTCAGAGGTAACCTATACCTTGAAGGTGTACCACAAATTTTATTATTTTAAGGGAACCCACTCCCATTTATTATTTCCGGAGATGCTGTTTTTGAAAGTAAACATGCATAATTTATACATCCATGGGACAACCAGATTTTGTATACGCATGTCTTTAGTGGTGGCAAATAAAACTTTTGAAAATTGGAGGGAGGGGGGTGAATTGAAAGGAATTGGTTGTTACAAAATAGAAATGTCTTTCACGATTCCTTTTCGTGATCGCGGGGTGGGGGGGCATTTTATTTTTCATGGCATTCTGATTAAAGGTGTCAGTAAAAGGAACTGTTTTCTACCGCCCTTACCTTGGTCTCTTTCCTCATCAAAATTGAGGGGGGGGGGGGCACTGGCTTAGTGCTTGTGTTCTAATGAAAGGTCTCAACGAAAGAAATTGATTTCTACCAACTATCGATTTTCTTCACGACCTATTATCGGGATGGATTATAATTCCTTACATTTTTGCAATTGGAGGAGGGGGGTTAAAACTGGTAGTCTAATGAAAAGTCCCACCAGCTGGAATTAATTTCTGCTATCCTCTTCAAGATCTTTTCGAGAGTTATTATTGCTTATATCTTGAGAACAGAGTGTTGGACGAGAGGACACACAAAGGCAAAAAGTGTCTGAAGAGGGTACTCACATGGGAAAATGAAACGTCTGGAAGAAACATATTTGCTGGATAGGTTATCAGTTTAAGTGCGAATATCTAGAGAATGGGGTGTCGGGAAAGGATACTCACAGATGCAAAATGGAACATCTGGACGAGACATATCTATTGGTGGAGTCAAAGCTTTAAGTCCGAATATATCGATAACAGAAGGAAAATTGATATGAATGGAAGTGTGGTTAATTCAGATGACGTTAATAATGTACAGGGTGGCCAACTAAGAATGCGAGGTACTGTATCTGAGAATCTATCCATCGTAGAGGCTTGCGGTAAAAAAAATGTATTACTAAAACGGCCAGGAGCAAAACCTGGAAAATATTTTTAAGTTTCTGAAATGACCGCTAGGGGGCGTAACTGCAATCTGGAATCTAAAAAAGTGGTGTTTCTGTGAATTCCGCTATATTAACCTAACAAAAAAATGTCCAGTCTTTGAAGTTGACGATAATCTGAACAATTTTTGTTTGACAATTTTTCCTGTATCTCTAAAAATGAAGTGGTGGGGGGTATTCAAAGGTTTCCGTAAAGAACACCCTTTATCTTCGAAACGGCTGAGCCGATTTAAACAAACTCAGGTTAGTTCAAAAGAGCTATTCTTCAGCTACAAATATTATACTATTTGAAGTTTTGTTAGTTTCACATATCACCGCTTGAGGGCTTTTTTCGACATTCCGACAGAAATGGTTAATTTTCTCAAAAAAATTAAATGCATTGATTTTTTTTTATGAAAAAGTAGCTAAATGATGCCTAAACAAGTTCGCGAAAACAGCATCGCGATATCTTGAGAGAGATATATATATATTTTTTTATATCGTGATGGCCAGCATTTGGAGCATTTACGGCGGCATTAAAAGTTTCGTTTTTTAAATCTATCCACCTTAGGGGCACAAATTATATAATAAAAATAATTTCGGAAAAATAAGCTTAAAAAAATAAAATTTTGAGGTTATAAAATTTTCTTTGGCCTAAATTTTAGGTTAGGAACAAGATATCGAGATGCGGTTTTCGCGAGCTTGTTTATTCATCATTTAGCTACTTTTTCATGAAAAAAAATCAAACCAACGCATTTAATTTTTTTGAGAAAATTAACCATTTCTGTCGGAATGTCGAAAAAGGCCATCAAGCGGTGATATGTGAAACTAACAAAAACTTCAAATGGTATATTTGTAGCTGAAGAATAGCTCTTTTCAATTAACCCGAGTTTGTTAAAATCGGCTCAGTCGTTTCAAAGATACAGGGTGTTCTTTACGGAAACATTTGAATACCCCCCACCACTTCATTTTTAGAGATACAGGAAAAATTGTCAAACAAAAAAGGTTCAGATTATTGTCAACTTCAAAGACTGGACATTTTTTTGTTAGGTTAATACGGAATTCACAGAAAAATCATTTTTTTAGATTCCAGATTGCAGTTACGCCCCCTAGCGGCCATTGCAGAAACTTACAAATATTTTCCAGGCTTTTCTCGTGGCCGTTTTAGTAATAAATTTTTTTACCGCAAGCCTCTACGATGGACAGGTTCCCAGATACAGTATCTCGCATTCTTATTTGGTCACCCTGTACAAAGTTGAATAGAATTTTTTTTGTTTCAACCTCCTGATTTTATTAATGAATCAATTTTACTTAAACAAATTAAAAATTCATAATAAATTTCTTCCATTCGTGGCTGATCACTGGGGTACCGGTGAGAGATGCAGTGTAGGTCAAATGGGGGCAAGGTTGCCCTTTTTTGTAACTAAAAAACGCATTTTAAATTTGTTAAAAATCTTTGAAAAGGACTGAGATATCACCGAAAAAAAACTGACAATGTCAAATTTTTTTTTCCCCAGTTTAAAGGGTTGGAAATGGACGGTTTCCTTCTATGGGCACTTTTTTTTCGTTTCCTAGAGGGAAACAACTTGCTTCTTCAAGTACGGTTACGGCGTAATGCGTGGCACAAAGTTCTTTCAGTTGCCACCCCCTCCCAATCCTGAAGACACTTGACATTTATCAAGAAGTTCATTGACCTTCATCCTGTCTTGGGTTACTCGTCTTAATCAGATGATTAAGACATGCAGTATCTAGTGTTCCTAGAACACAAACTGAAATCGTTTCGGCAAGTTGTCGCAAAAACATCACTGGTTGTGAGGTAGATTCAGAATCACTATGGCGCCTCTAACAAAATTAACACCCAACAGTTTCCTCTCAAGATTTTCATGAAGTAAAACGTCGAATGTGGTATGGAATAATCTTCCTTTTAACTGAACTCGTACCGTACCTTCCAGAACCTTTCGCTCTTGAAACACCCTTAGCAAACATCAATTTGAGTGTTTTTTTTTTCAGAAACTTGTATCCCATTTTTGATAACAAATGATAAAGTTCTGTTCCAGCTGTACTATCTTGTTGTTGTTGTTTCGTTACCTGGATTGTTACCCGCGTTGTGTATGTTTATTAACGGATTAACTAAGATAAAACTGTAGTACATCAAACTTTATTCAGCACAGAATACATGGAGGTGTAGTCCATACGCCATGTTCATTGTCACTCCTTGGACTGCCAACTTCTAACAACCAGAATATACTACACCAGCGATGTTATATGAAGCGCCGGAATCCGCTCATCCTACACCATTGCATCCACAAGTCGTAATTGGTAAATAGGACGGGAAGTCAACGATCGTTGTGGAAAAAAAACTGCGAGGGAATTCTGTTCCGCTGTACCCGATGGTCTGGGTCATTTTGGACATTTGCACAGGCCTACGCCTGGCGAGCCACACCCATAGCACACAATTTTGGGAGTTCCTTCCGAGGCAGGGTCCACTGTCGCCTTTACTTCTTTCTGTTGAAGCTTCTTACACTCGGAATTTTATTTCTCTTTTTTGTCTTCTATATCATTCCGTAAAAATCCAGTATGGCGTCCATAAGAAATAAGAAAGCCTGCAGCTTGTACATCTAATGTATGAAAGTTCTGATAACAGCGTGAGATTCTCCGAAAAAGTGCCCATAGAAGGTTCAGCCGTTTAAGCTAGGAAAAATGAAAACTACATTTTAGTTTCTCAATGATCTTTGGATTATTTTCGAAGATTTTTCAAAAAATTCACATGCGGCAACATTTAAACCACACAGTATAACTCATTGTGATGAATCACAATGGTAAGCAACGAATTTTTACCACCCCATACATTTCTCTCTTAGAAACAATTCATTTTTACGATAAAAACGTTGAAATTCAAAACTGTGGATGGCGGTAACTAAACAGTAACTGTCCTTAATTATGGAGGAAATGATAACAATGACAGAAGTTTAATTACAGTTGTATAAGAGAAACAATTCAACCGTAGATAATAGATTTCTCTTGAAAATAGAATAACCGTCCATCTAAAAGGATTATAATTATAGTAGACGGTTGCATATACATTTTCCAGCATGATATAGGTCAAAATAAAAAAGAGACATAACAGTCGCGCACAAATAAATATGAAAAAGTGCAAAGATATTTTAGAGAATTCGTTTAAATCGAGGGTAGGTATTGTTTTATTTAATTCATTACTGAAAGGGAAGTCCCTTGTTTTCAGAAACGATTGTTTTGTACTAAAATTATTTTCCTTTGTTATAAAAATCCTATACCTTCAGTTGAAATAAGCGTTATCGAGGTTTTGCAGTTTGAAGAATGCAAATTAGTTGGTGTTGGGACCTTGCGAGACCAACTGCACGTCGTAATGTGAGCGTGTAAGTTTAAGTTGGTGTTAGCCTTTTGGCAGTAACCTACGCCTCCGAACTGAAAAATATAGAATGGTGTAAATTTAAATGAAATTAAACACGTTAAAGCCGTGTTACAAGTGTGATTAAAATGAGGTTAGATATTTAATTTATTTTGTGTTAAACCTGCATGCTGCATTTTCGTCCTTTTTGGCTCCTTCACATTTGAATAATTTTGCTGCAGAATCGACGTCGTTGCTCTGAAATGTAAATACTGTTGTACATACACATTCTATTAATCAAAAAATCGAAATCTTCTCTCGGTACATTTTAGGCATGTCACCCTAATACATTTGGAAACAGAGATCAGTATTTACGATGTACATGAAATGCAATTAGCCTAATAAAAACGCAATAATTTCCGTCTATTACGATTTATAATGTTAAATGTCAGTGAGAATATTTTAAAATTAGTTGAACAAAAAGTTAAATTGGTATTTGACACGCAATCTAATTAATTTAGAGCAATCTTTAAGGGTTTGTCTATTTATATCTAATTGTATTGTAGATAAAACGGAAGTTGTTAACTAATTTCATTAATTAAAACTGTTGCGAGTTGAATATCCTTTCATCAAAAGCGACCTAGTCTTGATAGTGTTTCAAAATCGATAGTCTCGCACCAATTTCGCTGTTTTGTTATTTTAGAAGGTCCACAGGCACGAAATTGGTGATGTAGTGATATTAGATGCCGATGCGAATACTGTAGAAACTCCATTTGATGACCTCAACAGCTTACCACAGGAAGTAGTAAGTGTTTTATCACGTATTTAATGCTACTCTAAGTCCAACGGTGGTGGCGTAGATCAATTCGCTGAAGAAGCAGCTGAAGAACAGATCCGCCTTGCTCGGAGACGGCGTTTCGAGAGCTTTTTTACGTGCCTTGGTCCAGTTAATCGGCGGTTATAGGGAGGCGCTGCACTTTCAGCCCGGCGAAAAGGTCACTTTCGACAGGGACAAATTCATCGACTCGCGGCCGGTCACCTTGCAGCCTTTCCTCAAGCAAATGTTGCATCTGCAGATCTTCCAACAGGTGCGCGCGAGCTGTTTCCCGGCGAACGTTTGCGATAATAATATGTGTTAGTTTATAGAAGAGCGTCTAGAGATGCTCAATACGGGCCTGGGCTTTTCGGATGAGTTCGAAATCGAGGCTTGTCGATACTCGGAGAAAACCAGTTCGAAGCTGAAGCAGCAGTATAGGGAATGGACGTCGACCATGAGAAAGGAGGGTACGGCGTTCTTTAAGAGCGTTAAGGAGAAGGTTCGTTAATGATTGTCACGTTGTGTCGATGGATTAGTGTGTTTTCAGGCGAATCCGGCCATGAAATCTGCCGTAAAGACGGTAAGTGCGCTTTGATAGGGGGATGCGCGAATTATATCAAAAAAATGAATGTGGCGAATTTATTCGGTAGGTGAAAGATGGAGGCAAAGGTGTAAAAAGTGCGTACAAAGGCCTAAGGTCGAAATTAAGAGAGAACCAAAGTCCACAGCAGCTACAAAACGGTTTAGACAGCCCGAATGACAAACCCCGGTCTGCACCTAATTCGCCAACAGGTAAAAGGCGGTCGCTTGGTTTTTCCGTGCCTACAACCACCTACAGGAAGGATTCATTAAATTTTAAGTCATCCACTAGTGAACGGTAAAAAGTTAACACATGCGCAGTTCGTGTTGCACTCATCATTTACAGAGCTTACAGCCCTCTTACACCGATCTCACAACCTTTGTCCCCCGACACCAGTGATCGATCGAGAAGTGGTACACCCGGATTAGACATTCCTCGAATAGACTTAATGACAGAAATGCAAGATTTACTTCAGTTGCGGCTCGACACTCCTCCCGTGGATCGATCGGTATACCATTTCATTTGCGTTCATATTTGTCCGCTTGCTTATGTGGCTAACAATTCGCTTTCAGTTAAAACCGGTTAGAAGCTTAGAGAATTTTAAGCACACGTCTCCTCTGTCGAGCCCAGACCACTGGGCTTTCCCCTCGCGAAGTGGCGCTCCTATCACTGTTCCTACCACGAAACTATTTCTTCCAAATCAAAAATCTCAAGACACACAGAATCTCCTACAATCACCCGACGACATTTTCTCCTCGCCTCCCGTACCTCCACGCGCTTCGTCGGTTGAGAACGAATTCTTCGGCACCGCCTCCTTTGTGGTCGGTGGAGGTCGAAGTGAGAATGGGGACCCTGTTTTCCTTGTTGCTAATCGTCATACTGTCGATGTTGTTAAATTGTCACCTCCTACAATTTCGCCTCGGCGAAAGGTAGCTGTCGCTACTAGCAATAACCGACACCATAATCACCGCATTGTAATTACAGAAGGATAACGTTGTAGAAGATTTAATACGACTGGATTCGACATCGGACACCGATGACTTTGACCCCCTGAAAAGCAGCAATGGTAAAAGTTCGTATTTAAAAAACAGCTTAGATTTTTCGGCGGACAATCACATTCCACTTTGTCTGTCGAATCCCCTCTATAACTATCACGAACCTCGAAGTATTCAGCAGAATGGCAGCACAACTTTAAGTAAAGAGAACAGAAACGACCAAGACTTACTACAGGAGTACGGGCTAGATTTTAATCATTTCAATGCAAACTTTAACTTCGACACATTTCAACCGGCTAATAATACGGCTAAGGTGAGTTCGCAAAGTCAGTGGACCACATTCGAATGAAAAAAAAAAAATTATCTCGTCTGGCGATCACGTATCAATTGACACATCAAATTAAATGTTACAAATTACTATTTGTATAGCGTGTTACTGAGAAATAATACTATGTATACTTTATTAATTTTTGAGAACGATAATTGTGAACTGATTGGAACAATTATAGAATTAGCTGTGATATATAAAATTATTATTGTAATCATATTTGGCATCGTAACTAAATTACGTACCTTTATGTTAACTTTTTTGTAATTGCGATCAAATATTAAAGTTTGTGATTTTATATTGTTTTTGTAAAATTTTGAAAAAATTATTAAATACATTATCATTATACAAATTGGTGTTTACGTTCTCCTCAAACTGGGACATTCTACTAACATTTCTTTGTATTGAATTTTGCGACTTGAAAAAGGTGCATATCCACTCTCTTACATTTCTGCAGTTTGGGATCTTTTGCGGGCAAGACATGTTGGCTTGTCGTAAATCGTCTCTTGCACGAATATGTTTCGTAAATATCTGTTTCTCCTTATATTGAGACATTTTACTAACTGCTGATCTAAAAGATCAAAGCTTTCTCTGTATTGAATGTTGCGACTTGAAAAAGATGCATATCCACTCACTTACATTTCTGCAGTTTAGGATCTTTGGCTTGTCGTCAATCGTCTCTTACACGAAAATGTTTCGTAAATATTTGTTTCTCTTGATATTGGAACATTTTACTAACTGCTGATTTAAATGATCAAGACTCTCTCAGTGGCGTAGCGTTTCAAAATAATAGGAGGGGCGGACCGAAGTCACTTGGCCCCCCCCCCCCCATCTCAATTTTTCTTTCGCGGTGTCGATTGGTCATGGTATCACAGAAAAGAACAAAAATAAACGACAAACAAAATGTAATTATGTATTTTTTTAAACCAAATTCTCAAATCTTAAATTGTTTTCGTCTTTTAAGTGATGCTAATTGCAGACTCACTGACACAGAGAGAATGTGAATTGAATCGGTTGCTGTGAGGAGCGGGGAGCAGGTTCTTCGCAGTTCTTGACAATTTCTACGACTACAGGCAAGGCAATAACAGTAGCGCTAGCGCTGTTGTTGTAGTGTGTAGGGGTATTGACCGTATCAGACGTTCACCGTTCACGAAAACTTGTCAAAACCATACTTACCTAGGTATAGGCTTGAATCATGAAATTCAATTCATTTTTTTTTATTTTTTATTACCTATTATACATTTACTACTTACATAGTAGGGGCGGATTGGGCCCCCTCGCCCCCCCCCCTCGCTACGCCACTGCTTTCTCTGTTTTGAATTTTGCGGCTTGAAAAAGATGCATATCCACTCTCTTACATTTCTGCAGTTTAGGATCTTTGGCGGGCAAGACCTGTTGGCTTGTCGTCAATCGTCTCTTACACGAAAATGTTTCGTAAATATCTGTTTCTCCTGATATTGGAACATTTTACTAACTGCTGATTTAAATGATCAAGACTGTGTTTTGAATTTTGCGACTTGAAAAAGGTGCATATCCACTCTCTTACATTTCTGCAGTCTGGGATGTTTCGGGGACAAGACATGTTGGCTTGTCGTAAATCGTCTCTTGCACCAAAATGTTTCGTAAATATCTGTTTCTCCTCATATTGGGACATTTTACTAACTACTGATTTAAATGGTTATGACTTTCTCTATTGAATTTTGCTACTAGAAAAAGATGCATATCCACTCTCTTACATTTCTGCAGTTTAGGATCTTTCACGGGCAAGACATGTTGGCATGTCATCAATCATCTCTTACCCGGAAATGTTTCGTAAATATCTGTTTCTCCTGATATTGGGACATTTTACTAACTACTTCTCTGTATTGAATTTTGCGACTTGAAAATGGTGCATATCTACTCGCTTACATTTCTGCAGTTTGGGATTTTTCGTGGACAAGACATGTTGGCTTGTCGTAAATCGTCTCTTACAAGAAAATATTTCGTAACTACATCTGTTTTCTGTTTGGCAATTAATCTTGTAGCTGTGTACGGATTCATCGGATGTTGTTTGTTATGTGCCTTTTTAATAATAATAATGGTATATTTTGTTAGTGTACATGAGTACTTACAATTGTCAAATTAATGATAAAACCATTTTCAGATCTGTTAACATGTCATGTAAATAAATATTTATGTGTCTGTAAATAACTAATCTTTAAAATAAACAGAACAAACAGAAAAAACATATAAAACAAACATCACAAAAAATTGTTTAGCCCACCAACAGCAGTTACAAATTCATCGTGACTATATACCGCCGCGTCTGTTAAAAACGACTTGATTGTAGTCCTGAAATTCTTCGGGGGTAATGCTCGAATTGTCGTTGGAAGTTTGTTGTACAAGAGTGGGGACTGATATTTTTGCCCATTTTGTGATTTTTTCAATCTGCAAAAATTGATTCTAACATCTTCCTTGTATCTTGTATTATGAGTATGGTAGTCGGATTGATGTTGGTATTCTTGTATGTGCTTTTTTGCGAAGCAAACGCTTTCAAGGATATACATTCCAGGAAAGGTTAATATATGCAGAGCCTTGAAGGCATCTCGACAGTCGTCCCGGTACCCTAGTCCGGCAATCACTCGAACAGCACGACGCTGCATCTTGAATACGTGTGACCAAGATGATGAGTGACCCCAAATTAAAATCCCGTACATCATAATGCTGTGGATTAAGGCGTAATAAGCATTCATGAGCACAATTTTTGAGGTGTTTTGCACTAAGCGCCGGAGGAGAAAAATCGATCGATTCATTCGGCCTATGATCCAGTTACAGTGCGGTTTATATGTCAATTGACTATCTAATATGCAGCCAAGAAACTTTACTTGCTTTAAGGAAGACCCAGTGTTTAGAGGTTTTAAGGAAAATATTACGTTTTCCGTTTTTTGTTCGTTCAAGAGTAGTTCATTTGACGTACACCACTCCTTTATGGCACTGACTGCGGTTTGTGCTTGATTGATGGCAACGCTTAAGTCTCGATTTGAGCAAAATACTGTAGTGTCGTCAGCATATAGAACATAGCCCATATCGAGGTGAAGATTTTTCGGTAGATCATTTGCGTATATAAGAAATAACAGAGGTCCGAGTATAGAACCCTGCGGTACACCATTTCGTATTGGAAGTCGATCAGATATGCTGTTGTTGAAGGAAACATGCTGCATTCTGTTTTTGAGATATGATCGAATGAGTGCAATGCTGGAGTCATTGAAGTTGTAAGTATTCTTCAACTTCTTCAACAAGATGTCGTGAGACACTCGATCAAAGGCTTTTGATAAGTCTAAGAAAGTGGCCACGGAATGTTCTCCCTTTTCAAAGGATTCTAATGCACGATCTATAAAATAGTTCAACGTATCCGCTGTGCTTCTGTTTTTCCTAAATCCAAATTGTAAATTGCAAAATAAGGTATTTGTTTCGAAATGTTTACTTATTTGAAGATAAATAACTTTTTCAATTATTTTAGAAATTACTGGTAGGATAGATATGGGTCTATATTTTTGTACCTCGTTGATGTCTCCACTTTTATGCACCGGTATAACCAAAGCCACTTTTAACATGTCTGGAAAAATTCCCGAATTAATTATGATGTTTATCATAGTTGTTAGGGGACCCACAAGTGTATTTATATTGGTTTTTAATAGTTTAGATGACATGCCATAGACATCTCTAGATGAACTATTTTTGAGGGAAGCAATCAAATCTCGAACTAAAATTTGGGATACCGCCTCTAGTTTGAAGTTGTGTATAGGAGCCACTTCTTGACCCTGCTGGGCGTCCAATACAACCGTAGTTTGGCTGGTGTGTTTCGTAATGTTTGTGAAGTATATATTAAAATCGTTGGCTGATAAGTTTGTACTGACGTTTGGGTTCTTAGTTTGTCGGTGTACATTTATAACGTTCCAAATAGCTCTAGTTTTGTTTGTAGAGTTATTTATAACGTTATCATTTGCACGTATCTTAGTAGATTTTATCTCATTTTTGTAAATTGTTTTTTGTTTCTTGTACAGGTTGAGTATTTCTGGTATGTCGTATTGCATATGTAATTGCTTTAAGAATTGTACCACTTCACGTTGATTTTTGAGGTCCTCATTAAACCACTTGGTGCCGTTGTCCCGGAATCTTTCCCATCACTTCATAATAAACGGTGGAAGCCGTCTCGAGAATGTACGCGTCGTACGTTCGGGCCATCTTGTTTGAAGCCATCGTTTAGTGTACGTTTGTTATTATATTTCTGTTATAGTAATCTTTGAATTTTTTTATAACTTGTTTATGTTTTATATGCAACATTTCGTTTTCAATCTTTGTTTTTGAACCTGCCATGATTTTAGCCTCAATGCATTTCTGTATAGAAAATGCCGTTAACTGTTATTGTTTTTATCTTTTTTGATAATAGAATTTATTGTCTAACACTCTAACATTACAGGACAATCTATAATGTGAATAAATCGATATCCTTTGTAGAAAGCTACGCAGAATTTTGGATTTCTCAGTATTGCACAACAAGGAAGTTTCATTAGAACATTTCCATCGCCATGTTACATAAAACCAAACACATTTTTTAAGAGTCTTCTTTACCTAAGCGTAACTTTTTTACATTATGGTGTACCTATAGGTGATTATAGTTGCAAGAAACAAGATGATATTCTTGCTTTGTCAACTCCTGTTTTGGTCCTTAGTTAGTTCCCACCGATACTGTGCAGCGCGCACTTGCTACACTCAAATTGTTGATTTACCGCCCGCCAAGATACAGACCTTACTTACAAAAAATATGATTTCATTTTTTGGGGTAATGTTTACAAGTAACTTATCTAGAAAACTGTCGGTTTACTTTTTCCATAAACCGTTTTGTTCCAGAGTAAAAAAATAAAACAGATTAGCGCAATAATCCATGCAAAACATCTAATCTTTAAACAATCGATATTCAGTTGCTATAAACTTTTATAAAAAAGTAGTCCGAACATTTTGTAGATAAAGGTCTAAATTTAGAAAATATTTCTTTAAAAACTTTTTTTTTTTTAAACAACTTGTTTTTATGGCGGGCGCTCTTATGGAAATTTACATTGGGTGCAGTGGGTACAGAAGACTCTTAAGCTTTAGCTTTGTTTATATGAATAAACAAAGGTATCTTAAAAGTATGCGCTGTGTCCAACATAAGGATGTCTATCATGGGGATCTCCGAAATCATAGAAAATAACGAAGATAGTCAAATGAGGGAAAAGTTTCGCAAGTTATTATCATATTTTAAAGACCAGAAAATTCCGATTACTTCGGAAGGTATGCCAGAAAAGCGAAATTTGCCCATTTTGTTTTTATTTTTTTCTGACGTTATTTGGACAGATACAAAAAATTAAAACATTGTCTTTTTGCCACTATTTCAACCCTACAAGACAGCGTTGAGAAATTATCACGTTTCGTTTCGGAGAAATCAATGTAATTTTTTATATGGCCCGCAAGAAAAGTACATACTGTATTGATGAGTACTTAGCATTTTTTATTACGAATACAAAGATATACGGCACACAAAAATTTGGAAATTGTTGATTTCAACAGGATGGGGCATCTGCGCACAACGACCTATATAAAGTACACCTTTCCGTCTCAGGGTGTACAAGGCGGTTGACACAGCTAATCTACACCTTGCACTTGTAAATAAAATCATACAACCGTAGTAAATAATATAAACAAATAGGAAATCTTACAATGAAATAATCAACATCAATGGCGGTCAGAAATATCAACACATTCCCCCAAATGACGCTTTGTATTTCTCGAAAATGACCGATTCAATTATGGGTGTCCCTGCAATGGGCTGCATATGTTAAACTATATGATAACAGGAGAAAATGAGATGCTTAACCACATAATTGGTCTGATGCAGTAAATTGTTTTGCGACAACCTTAGTTGCAATTCCATCAGGTATCCATAAGTCAACGTTTGCCTTGTGTTTGTTGGGATGCCCCTTCCCCTCTCGAGTGTACAAGGCGGACGATGCGAAAAAGGCAGCCCATGGAAGATGCGCCCCTTCCCCTCGCGGGTGTACAAAGCGGTCGATACGGAAAATGCGATCGTTACGAAATAGGCGGCCCATGGAAAATGCAAGAAGTGCCCATTTCCCTCTCGCGGGTTAATAAGGTGGTTGATACGGCATCTCTATGACGTGATTCTTCTCTAACGCGTTTAAGTGTAGACTATGTGCGCTTTCAAAAGTGGTTTTATTAAAGTATATCCACAATGGAACTATATGTCGAAACTGTTATAATCTACACGTTAAACCCAGCGTATTTTAACTTACAACATCAAGAAGTTTTAAGCGGTCCTTTCTGAATTCGATTAGGTTTTTCAGTTTGCCAACTTAAGAATAATGAACCATTAGGAAAGAGCAAATATGAAGTACATAATCTCACATTCCGCGTTCAGTGATAGTATTTGTATTAAGATTATGCAAAATTTAGGGTTTCCTCCGCAATTTATTTTGTTGAAAACGTTTAACTAAGGTCCTCTTCAGCCATTTTTATTATCTACATGATCGTTAAACACGAACTTATAAATTAATAAGTTCGTGTCGTTAAAGCACAGCTTACTTAGTAAGCTGTGGTTACAGTCCTTGGACTGTATTGTTTATTATTATTGTTTTTTTGACAGGTTAACGTTTTGTCTGTCTGTCTCCGGTGTCTCTATTTACGCCAACGGTACTCGTAGCTTGAATTTGTTGTAGGACATCTCAATGTTGTTCTTTTAGAATAAGTGTGTTGGTCTTGTACAAATTATTATGGAATGAAATTGATTGTGTCACATTACACAATTATTTAAATTTCTCTGCGCCTAGTTCTTCGTCCAGGCATTTCCTAACTTTTAAATTACCCTATTGCAGAACAAATCTCTTACAAAATTCCCCAATTTATCGAATGTGTCATAATTATAACTCGGTATGCGATACTGTTGATATATTTAACACTAATTTAAAATTCCTTATAAGTATCTTAGTTCTATTCTTTACACTATGTAAGTATGATCCAATAATTTTTGTCTTTTTCTTTTTTGCTTTTGCCATTGCACTAATACAATTTCTCTTATTTACCAATATTGTATTTTGATTTATGACTTTATTTTGTTTATTGTATAACTCTGTTAACAATTTTCTTTCGCTTTAGTTATAAATCTATCATTATTTTTGTTACATTTTTGTTAATTTTTCTATATTTCTGTGCGGCTTTTATTGAACAATATTTAAGTTTGTCCTGTATTTAGACTAGATAGTCTGTTTGGACAATAAATTATTATTATTATTTACTTTGTATTCAAACTAAGTTTGAATGAAATATTAATGTTACACTTACTCCACCCCACTGCAAATGCTTAACAGGCATGCATTATTTAAATTTTGGTTGAATTTGAAATATATTTCTCAATTTTTCCCTTTCTTTCGTTTTGTTCGCTTTCTTGCTTCCTTTGCACCTCCTTCTTTATCAAGCTGAATTTTTCTACCTAAAAAATGGTAGTAACGTAGGATGAACAACTCACAATTAAACAAAAACTTAAAATATGCAAATTGTGTGTATTTAAGACACAATACAATTGCTTTTATAACTTTCTTTAGTTCTACTTCTGTCATTTCTGTTGCCTGATCCTATTGCACAAGAGTAATTTAATTAAACACATACACATTTGTAAATAAAATATATATTTAAAAAATTTGAAGAATGAATTGAAATAAATAATCCTCGATAAATATATAGAATTATTTACATAAAAATAAACAATGGCTTGCAAATAAAAATAAAAGAAATGTGTAGGTACATAAAATAAGTCCCAATTAAATTGTTTGAACTTTGCTCGTCCACGGACAAGGAATTTCGACTCCAACAAGTCCATTCTGAACATTATGCGTTTTTTCCCCAGCAGTACGCAACCGGCAACTTTGTAAGAAGACTGCTAAAGCGTGATAGTAACCCTTTACAGTCCACGTTTCGTTGTGCGTTCCCGTTTGAAATTGTACTAATTGCTTTCGCGCACTTCCGCAGCGATTATGCAAATCGACCATCATTCTGGGAGGAACCAAGGTGTCGGATAAACCGGATACGAAAAGTATCGGAACCCTAAGTTGTAAAACTTTAAATAGGGAAAGGAATTTATTTTTGTAAAACGCCAAGGGTAGGTACTGCAATAGTTTCCAACCCAGTAACACCTTCGCCATCTCCGGAATGCTAGTAAACGTATTTTCTACAAGTACACACCAAATTTTGTCTGCGTAATCTGCTCTACTCGCTAGGTCTATGGCTACGGCACCTCCTAAAACATAACTGTTATGACAGTCTATAAGTAAATGACTGATTACCTAGTGAACGTCCAAACACAATTATTTCGGAAAAATTAATATCGTTTCTAGTGTATAAATAATCGATGCTCGCACGTGCATCAGCATACAGTCCATCCTCCGAAGGGCTACCTTCCGAAAGTCCGTACCCTCGATACTCCACCAACAATATATTACAATGTAAGTTATGATACAATCCTACGGAATTTTGTAAACGATGGCCCATATTTCCGGCATTTCCATGCAAAAACACTATGGTCGGCGACTGATGCTTGCGTTCCTTCGGCTGACAAATAAAGAACATGTGTAACATGGTACCATCGGATGCACGCACGAATATGTTTTCGTAGGGCAGGCCATACATGGACGGTATCGGTACGAACACTCGAGAATGACTAGGTAACTCCGGGTAAAAGAGGAAATTGTCTTCGGCCTGATAAAGTATTCCTACAAGATTTTTGTGAGAGAAGGTTAGGACGCAGTTGAGGCGATTACCTGTAGTTGCAAAAATGAGAAGTATGAACGCGAAGACTCCCCCGTAGAAATAATACAGCAAAAAGCAGATGACCATCACAAGACCGGAGTAAGCCCATACTTTTAGTGTTATTGATATTAAAGTGCCTACAATTCGTGATATTCGAACATAGCCACCCATTCCCCTTTGATCTTCGTCTTCGCGAATATCCAGCTTATTTATTACGTTATTGTCATATTAAATTTTATAACAAATACTCATTGTTTAAAAGTGTCTACGTTTTTTAGCAAATAATTTAAATTATTTTTTGCTATATTGCAATTTGTGTAACATTGTTGCCCAATGGTCATCAACTGCAGTGTAGTTCTGAAGTTTGCTATCTCTTGCTGGCAACATTGCAAATATCCAGCGGCGTAGTTAATGGAAGGTGTGGAATTGAGTTCACAAATCGAAGATTGCTTTGAAAAGGGTGTAGATTGGAAAGAGAGGGTTTCGTCGTCATAATACTGCTTTCGCAATTCTCCTTTTCCGTAATTATTCGGAAACCAGAAGTGTTTACCGGCAATTTTTATTTGTGACGACATATTATTTATTAACCGTTTTCGGTCGGTTCAAGATAACGGTACGTGTTTACTTTCTATACGTTAGGTACTTAAAACTGAATTGCGTTTGCATTTCTCGGAACAACCGTTTATATCGTTTGCGCGTAAGACTTTGGGATGTTATATAGTTCAATTTCTTATCATTTGAATATTCGTTTAAATTGTGTATGAAAGTTAAGATAGATTTTCAGTTAGGGAAATTAAATTGCACCTACTATAACGTTTGAATCATAAATAAATAAAAAAAGGTGTTTAATGCATAGTGAAATACCAGCCGTTTTTCGTGTACTTGTAGGTATTGTCAACGCGCTTGTATTAATTTAGCTTCATTGAAGTCTGTAGAAGGTGGCTTATACACATAATGATAATTTTTTAATAATAATTTTATTTATTCCTGTTGAAACCCTTAAAAACCGAAAAAAAATTTGAACCGGAACCGAAAATTTCTGAAACCAGAGAACCGGAACCGGGAGAAAAATACCTAATCCTTCCTAAATAGTGCAGAACCGGAACTTATATTTCATATGGGTTCCAACCCGCTGGTTTAAACTCATTTAAATTGATCAATTATTTGTGTATGAATCCATTTTTCGTTCGATCACGACCTACACAGCTCTAGAAACGCGAATATATAACTCTCGCCAGGAAAGATTGCCGGTTACAGCACACCTTGTGTCGATTTACAATCTTTGTTTTTATTACGATGCGAGCGACTTTTGGAATAGGATCGTTAGGAACAAAAAGTCTTTTCGTTCAACATTGACAGGATAATATCCCGGAAGTGTTCTGTGACCGGCAGTCTTTCCTGGCGAGAGTTGTACATTAACTAAGATAATGTTATTTGTAAACATCAACTGCTTTTTTAGATCTTTCCGAAAATTGTGCGGACAACCCTTGCATGAAAAATAAGTGCACTGCACTGTGTATCACTATCGTGAATCATCTGGATTTGACATATGACGTCAGAGAATTGACAAAAGTCGAAAAAAAATAAGTTTGACAGGTGTCACTATACTATCGAGAATTTATCTTCACGAGTGCAGTAAATTAGTCATTTTAGCCAATTAAAAAATACAATAATGACGGAAAAGTAAAATGGTTAAATAGTAGGTTGCATCACGTGCAAACTGATAAGCTGTTATCAGTTTCTTAAGCACATCATCTGTAAAGCCATAAGATAACGTGTCCCAAACAATATGTTCAAATCAACAATAAATGTAGATTCTTGACGAATTTTGTTGTTACCTTTTTTGTTTATCTAATCATGTATCGTTTTTCTTCTTCCTTAATAAATCAATCTTTGCTCATTTTGTGTACGGCACTACTGTTTTGTAAGCGATGTTACTGCGAGGAGACCAAATTTATGTCGAGGGAGGAACGACTACAACTAAGGTAACGTACTTCTACCTCTTGTTAATGTTGTGTAATGCAATTTCGTATCCAGGGAGGAAGCGAGGGATATGTTTTATCACGCCTATCGAGCTTATATGGAAAATGCGTATCCCGCCGATGAGTTGATGCCTCTTAGTTGCGCGGGTCGTTACAAGGGACTCACGCCGAGTCGGGGAGATATCGATGACTCCTTGGGAAAGTAAGCAGTTTGAGGGTGTGCGATGGTATAGTTAACGGTTGCTTTCAGTTTTTCCTTGACCTTAATCGATAGTTTGGACACGTTGGTGGTGCTAGGCGATTTGGAGGAGTTTGAACACGCAATACGGCTCGTGATAAAAGATGTCTCCTTTGATAATGATGTTATTGTGTCAGTTTTCGAGACGAATATTCGCGTGCTAGGGTAAATTGATGTGTCATGCTTGAACATGCACTTGTGGAGCTATTTCCGTGGAGATGTGGAGATACAAGTGCTATTCAAGCTTAACAAATTTGATCCTCTAATGCCGATAACTTGTAGTGGTTTACTGTCTGCGCACGTTTTGGTGGAATACTTGCAACAACATGCTGATATTATGTTGTGGTATGGAGGAGAGCTTTTAACAATGGCAAAGGATTTAGGATATAGATTGTTACCTGCATTTAATACCACGACAGGGATACCTCATTCTCGGGTAAGAGTTTTAATGGAAAGTCAATTGGGAGGGGTATGTGAAACCATCATTATCTGTTTTATTACCTAATTCAGTAATTCTCCATAATAGACTATCCATTTAATAATAATAATAATAATAGCCTTTATTTCTTACACATCTTGTATATAAAATATGCCATGAAGAGAACAATACAAAAATTCCCAAAGATGCGGAGTAGCTCAATAAAATTAATAAAACAAAAATTTTATTATCTACTCCTTGGGATTTGACTTATCCTATATCTTTCTCATTGTTGAACTAGATAATCCATGAGGATTAAAATGATGTGTCAAACTTAATGATTTTGTAAGAAAATGTACAAAAATCAATTTTATCCTAGTTTTGTGACTGGGAACTACTCCATTAATAACATGTTTGTTCCAATCCCAAAGGCCATAGAACCCTGTAGGTAGAAGACATACATTAACTCAACAACAATACTGCAACCGAGACTGCAACATTGCAGGTGAAATTTTTCAAAACAACCATTTACAGCATCCATATGTCTGCAGACATTCACTGAAATTACTTATTCGGAGCACTGGGCTCCCCAACCTCAACAATTATGGACTTTGCATTTTGCAACTTGAGAATACCAAACACTCGACCTTTTAACTATCATTTTTTTAATACAGTAAATGCGCAATAAGAATACGGGGGTAATTATCGCCAAAACTCCATGTATTTCTTATGGAAAATTCTAAGGTCCATTTTGGTAATTTTTGGCCATGTGCGCATGCCCGTCCCGCCCCTTTGCCAACGGGTTTGCCAAGAAGTTCAACAGGTTTGTCAAATGTCAATAAGTCTAATATGACGCTGCGGAAGGGGGCGGGGCGCGCCTGCGCACATGTCCAGAGTGATCCAAAAACTAATAAAGTGAACTTTAAAATTTCCCATAAGAAATACATGATATCCTCTGATTGCGGTGGCAATCTCCCTCACAGTCCCACAATCGCGTTTGCAATCTCACAATCGCCTAAAACAATCCCGCAATCGTTGTCACTGACAATCACATTGGCAATCGAGCACGCCACCACCTGTTTTTAGGTACAATCACACGCCACGCGGGGTTAGGCAAAAAAGTTATTGGACCTAACCTTGTTTTTTTTTAATGGAACGCCCTGTATTATTTAATAATCTAAAAATATAGCATATTAACTTTTAAAAAATATAGTATACTAAGGAGGATATTCAAAAAGGGCTCAAAAAGATTTTTAAAAAAGGTCAAATAATTTGATAAATACGACCCAATTTGAAAAAAATTTTTGAATCTTTCGGTTTTTTAAATCTTTTGATTCTATTTGAATCAACATGGAATTTTTGTAATGTTATATTTTGGAAAAGAGCTTTTTAATATGACAGTTTTTGATTAAAATATTTCAATTTAAAAGGTACGTAGGAAAATCAAAAAAATGTCCATCTCAGAATGAACCTATCTTTATTAAAGAAGATATAGAAAGTACAAGTATACTTCTTTTCTTTATAATCACTGTTGTATAATCTACCGATTTAAAATAAGTGTCTAGGATCAGGTAAAAAAGTTATAGGACGTAAGCTCATTTTTTTTGTGGAACGCTCAGTATATTTTATTTGAAAAAGAGCATATTAAATTCATTTTTCATAAATATAACACTAAAAAAAAAATTAATACATTTCAAAATATTTTTTATATTTGAACCTTTCTTAAATTTTTTAATTTTTTTTTAAACATTTTCAATTTTTTTGAATCACTTGTATTTTCCCTATTTATAGCAATTGCGTTATATATTAAAAAAGAAACTTAATATGCTATCTTTTTAGATTAAAATATACAGGGTGTTCTATGTAAGAAATGAGGTTAAGTCCCGTAAGTTTTTTGCTGACATCGTATATGTACTTATTTTGAAAGCGGCAGATTACTGAGCAAGTAATTTTGTAATAAACATTTTTTCATGTCTCTTTTCATTTTGATATTGACAATTTTTGATTTTCCCTTGTATCTCTTTAGCGAGCGAATATTTTCAAATTTTTATTGTGCCATTTTTTAAGATTGGCCCAAAAAGATCACATGCCACTTATATTAGAAGCTTTTTTTGATAGCAGTAAAAATTACGAAATTCTTTCTTTATATCATTTTTGAGTCTTTCGGTATGTGTGATTTGAGAGTGCCACCTCTCTATTACATTTATGGGATTGTATAGATTTATAGAACTTCTTCCATTGCACATTTCCACAACAATAAAAAATACACTATTGTGGCCACTTTGTTCGTCCGTCTGTCCGTTCCTAGTTCTTCTACTTTTTTCGCTCTTTGGTTCGTTATGCTGTCAAGGGTTGCACCAAGGAAGAAATTTTTTCTGTACCGCTTACGAAAAAAGTAAAAAACCTATTTTTTTCATATATGCATATGTACCATAATTTAACACTTATGCCGTTTATTAACGATCCTTGAGATTTTATTGTATTGCTATCTGTCTGTCTGCCCGTCTGTCAGTGTATCCGTCTGTCTGTCTGTCCGTCCGTGTGCCTGTCTGTCCGTCCGTGTGCACGATAGCTTTTGTATTTGCGCAATCCATTTTTTTATTTGCTAAATACTTAAATGAAATTTTGTATGCAGGCTTTAGATGTAGATGTAGACCTCGAATAAACGTAAAATTAGTGAGAAAAAAATGAACATGATGTGGTATTAGGGGTTTATTCAAAACGAGATGATTGTGGCGGGCTCTGTGACGTAATAAGCTTGACCAATTAGCCGCTAGAACCATTCTGATGACTTCATGACTTGGCAATATTGCAGGAGAATGTCATTTGTAACCTGCGTCACCTGACACGGACACTTGTCACTTGTCGTTCACTTTCGCGTTAGATGCCTCTTAAAACGTCAGACCTTCGCAGAAGGTTGCCGGTTCACTTCTACGTGATTGGTTGTAGGTTTGTGACGTATTTAGACGTGTTTCAAATTCGGACTAAAAACACGGCTTTTCAATAATTTATTTTGGTTTTATTTTACTCGCAAATAAAAATTTAGGACACCCTCGTCTTTTTATTTTTTTTGTACTTTGTAGATCAGAAATAAAAAAAAAATAATAATGAATGGTCTTTATTGAACATGTTCTCTGGCGAAATCTATCACAATGCTACTTTATTTAACCAGAAAGCATGAAAATAAGTACACAAATTAAATATGCACAACACAAAATAATCAAATGATAATACAAAAAAAAACCACAGCATTATACATCTGCAAAACGAAGCCGGGATGCCCCTATTTTAACAGAAGTTGCTTGCATCTTACAATGTGGGACATAATAATCGTCTGCAATCATTCATAATCACATGCAATCCTCTAAAATCCGACGGATTTTAAAATTTGGTGGTTTATAGCTCTGGCACTAGAGCAGGGATTAAGCTGTGGTCGCAACGAAGGCGAGATTGCGACATTGTTGAGGCAGGTTATGGCATTTTTTGCGGCAAGGAAAAATCAATGAAATTTATGAGTTTTAGCTTATTACATATTGCTGGAGAAAAGCAACATACAAAGGCATGGAAATGAGTAATTTATACATTTAATAAATAAGTATCAAATGGCACAAATGCTATAGGAAAATTACTTTTGCTGCAGTTCTCTAAGAGCTAGCATTTTCTCTCAAAGTAATTTTTTCCCAGCTTAAACTCTGCACCAGAGCCAAGAAAAATTTTGACGATTAATATGCGCATTGCGCAGGCTGCGCAATATCAACTTTCTTATTTATTGATATATTTTGTTGAAACCGATACTTCTAGTAAAGGCAAATATGTCGCATATAGCAAAAATATAGATATGCGCAATCGTAGACTGTCCAATGTCAACTTTCTTATTTATTTAGATATTTCTTTGAAATTTTAACCATAGATGCCTCTCGTAAAGAAAAACATGGCGCACATAGGTGGAAAGTACTGATCAATTCATGGAAAATGCGGTTACTCAAAAGCTTTTTTTCATTTTCGATTTTTTTCTTCTCGCAAGTACTGGAGAAATAAACGGTCACCTACGGGCAGAGACACTAGGCAGGTATTTAAACTGGAGGTTCTCTCGTATTCGCTTATGCATTACGGGATCTGCCTTCCTGATCATTCAGCCCTTCAGCATAAGCTGTTTCACCTTGGGCTCAGGTTTTTTTTTAGTGAAGTAGTAAGTCCACGAGACATGACCACAGTCAACTTGGAGATGCATGGTTTCTCGTCTTGGCTGGCCCTGTACCAAGACGGCACTGTCCAATGCCATGCAGCCCTTACCCATTACCCGGCAACAGGGCAGAGTGGCTGGTCGACAAAGCAACGTTAGATGCTACCAACAGCTTTTTCAGAAGCTGCGAGCCCCCATTTTATTTGGTATGGAGTCTCAAAAATTATTATGGAAGCTTTCCTTCAAACTTCAAGAATGTACCTTTTGGTGCAATAGATTTTTGCTATTGCATCCTCATCAAAATCAACAAATCACGAGATGGTAGTCTCGATGGTAGCAAAAAAGGTGGTATGGTATAGTTTACTATCATAGTAATTTGTAACTCTTATTTAGGAGACTGAAATAAGCCTTTGGAGATCGCTCTGTTTCTTTTTTTTTAAATGCAGGGTTGTCATTACGAATAAATTCAATAAAAATGAAATGGAGGTGTGTTTGGAAATACGCTCGGACCCGTCGATTTTGTTTTTGGATTGCGCATATTTTGACACAACAAAAAAGCATGGCAAAAAATATTTCTTCCTGCAATATATACCTGTATATTGACTCTTTTTAATAACCAACCAAACTATTTCATTTACCATGTAAATAGGTAATAAGGGGCACACCCTTGTCGCTGAGAGACCTGTCATGGCATTTCTTTATTTGACACTTTAAATGTCTTTGGATGCCGTTTGCGTTAGAAAACGCGCCCGCTGTCTCTAATTGAGTGAATTTAAGAACTGGTGATATTAAAAATAGTGTGGTCGCAGTAAATTTGATTCCTTTGTATAAATATTTTTCGGGAATCTTGTTTTCTGTGTATATTTTTAAACAGCGGCATGATAACATCAGGTTTAAGACAAACACATTGCCTAATGGATGTTGTTTTATGAATATTTTATACAAAGTGTCAGAAACGGGCGATTATAAGTTCATAAAATCCATCACTTTGTGGAGCACTACGTCTTGTACTTAGACTATTGAATATTACAGGTTAACTTGAAGTATGGCTTGAAGAGCGATCGCTTAGAAACGGCGCGTGAAACGTGTACGGCGTGCGCCGGCTCAATAATTCTGGAAATGGCGGCGCTCTCGCGATTAACAGGCGAACCAATATTTGAGGAGAAGGCCCATAAGGCCATGGATGAACTTTGGAAGATGAGAAACAGAGGTTCCGATTTAATGGGAACAGTATTGAACGTCCACTCTGGCGATTGGGTGAGGAAAGACTCGGGTGTCGGGGCAGGCATTGACTCTTACTACGAATACTGCCTGAAAGCTTACATTCTTCTGGGAGACGATCAGTATTTAAATCGTTTTAATCGCCATTACAACGCCGTTATGAAATACATATCGCAAGGGCCGATGTTGCTGGACGTTCACATGCACAGGCCGCATACGAATTCACGAAATTACATGGATGCCCTACTGGCATTTTGGCCGGGTCTGCAGGTGTTAAAGGGCGATTTGAAGCCAGCGGTTGAGACCCACGAAATGTTGTACCAGGTGATGCAAAGGCACAAGTTTATACCAGAAGCGTTCACTACCGATTTTCAAGTGCATTGGGGCAATCATCCGCTTAGACCCGAATTTTTAGAATCGACATACTTTCTGTATACAGCTACCAACGATCCCTATTATTTAGAAGTTGGTAAAACTGTCTTGAAGAGTTTGCAAAAGTACACCCGAGTGCCTTGCGGATACGCTGCCGTTAACGATGTGCATACCGGTAAACAAGAAGATCGTATGGATTCGTTCGTACTCGCGGAGACGTTCAAGTATCTGTATTTGCTGTTCGCCGATCCCGAAGATCTCATACTAAATTTGGAGGAATTTCTGTTTACGACCGAAGGTCACTTGCTGCCACTTACTTTAGCATCACATACGAATTTGTCGCGCACATTAATCGATAACGAAATCGACGACAGCGAATTTGCACGAACTTGCCCGAATAGTAAGAAATTATTTCCCGCATCCGTACGCAAGCCGCTTAAGAATATGGTCGATGGTGTCTGCCCACGAAGATTAACCAAGCGAAAGTTAACAGCAACCGAGTTCTCCGCATCAAATTTGAATCATCTAAGGTTGATTAAAGATATGGGGATCAATATTATTGCTCTGAATGATGGCAGAGTGCAGCTTTTGCATACATTTTCTTCCGTAAGTACTTTTCTTGTTCGATTTAACCTACTTATCAGATAGTTAAGTGGCCAAATCGAAAAACGACTCTGTTTCTTAGTTCTAACGGCATTTTATGAGCCATTTTGGCCACATGGTTTTTTAGATGTAAAAAAATGTGCTGAATCCGATTCTGGATGTTGCCAGGCCGAATTTTGCACTAGTTCACAAATACGGCACGATGGCGCCACTATCTATTGTATTGTGTACTATTTAGTATTAAATTGTTTTCCATAATTTATTACTTATATAATATACGTAAGAGTCGGTTAATTAACTTCATAGCTAGTTCGGAAAATGTAGGAAAATATCCTGTGGTGATATATAGGGTGTCCCAAAAAAGCTGCGAATTAATTAAATTAGTGTTTTACATTTTCCTCGGCGAATTTTGTTTGTTATTAAATTTTGTGCTTTTTAATAACCGTTGGTAAGTATTAAGGTTTTTTCCAACTATATATATAAATATATATGAATAAAATTACGTATTTTTTCCAATGAATTCAAATCTGCATTTAAAAAACAACACCACATCGCATTTTTCAGATGATAACAAAAATGTGACTTTGATATGGAACACCGCACATCTAACACCAGGTTCAAAATTTGGTTTTTCACATGCCACTACCGATAGTGGTATCTCGAGTAGTATTAAATGGCATTAAATGTAAATTAATTACATTAACTTAGCATTAACCACATTAAATTACATTCACTGAATTAACTTGAAATTAACTGCATTTACAGAACATATTAACTACATTAAAAGTTAATTTTAATTCATTAACTACTATTTGTACACCGAATTAACTAGGTGGTTTACCCCTCGGTTCCCGCCGACACAGTAGAGCTACACTCAAATTGTTTATTTACCGCCCTCCAAGTTAGACTTTATTTACAAAAAATATGATTTCATTTTTTGGGGTAAAGTTAAAGTAACTTATCTAGAAAACTGTCGGTTTACTTTTTCCATAAATCGTCTTGATCGAGAGTAAAACAATAAAACAGGTTAGCGCAATAAACAGTGCAAAATATCTAATCTTTAAACAGCCGGTATTCAGTTGCTATAAACTTAAAAAAAAAAATAGTCGAACATTTTGTAGATAAAGGTCTAAATTTATAAAATATAAAATTTATATATTATTAATATAAAATTTTATTTTTCAAAAACAACTTGAGTTTTTTAGGCGGACGCTCTTATGGAAATTTACATTGGGTGCAGTGGGTACAGAAGGGCGTAGCGTTGCATGCTGTTGCCGGGGACATCTTGTACCATACATATTGTCTCGCAAATGCGATAAGGGACACTGAAAAATCGAATGGTCAGCCTAGTCCTCCTAAAAACTTGGCTTTAAATAAATTATGCTATGAACTAAAAGTGCACAAATATCTACAAGTGTCTTGGCGACTGCTTCAATCTTAAAAAAAATGAGCAGAATGATGAAGAAATTTAAGTTCCGTTAAAATTTTTGAACGAAATATAGGTAATACATTTGCCGTCAGAATTATCTCTATATTGTTACCGTGTTGTCTGTATAATGTATCCAATATACAAATTTTTGCAATTTTCTGTGCTTCCTGTATGTTTTTTTAACACCTCAATCCGAAAAACTATGTAAAATGCATCTGGCTTAAAAATTTATATATTTGGCCGCCATTTTGAAATTAGCCAAAAATCAGCTTGGCAACATCCGAATTCGGGTTGAGCAGACATTTTTACAATTATAAACGCACGTTTCCAAAATGGCTCATTAAATGCCGTTAGACTTGCGATTTATTAACTATGGCCACCCAACTAAGAGGCAAATGGTCTCTAGTTTTCAGGCATTACTCTTCAAGCTCTCGTATCGGAGAAAACTTTGTGCATTGATACGTTTTTACATATTCTTACTTACTTACAGGCGAGATCAACATCTGACGCCGAAGAGGGCCTATTGTTCATGCAAGAAATGGTGGAACTATCAAAATTGCAAGCACAACAAACCGAATCGTCACCGCAAGCCGTAACGTTCGCAATAAAAGACGGAACGGGAAACAAAAAAACAATCACGGTCCAAGCTGGCCCGTCGCATTTCGGCGTTAGCCTAAAAAACAATCAGAAAGTGACGTCACAAACGATCCTCGCCGACCCGTTCAGGGCCTGTACCGATCTAAAATTTGCGGACAAATTGAAGGGGAAAATCGTAATTGTCGAAAGGGGCGATTGTATGTTCGTGAACAAAGCGAGACAAATCCAAAACGCGGGAGCCGTCGGCGGTATAATTGTCGATAACACCCCCGATAGCAGCAACACGATTACACCTCTATTTTCAATGTCGGGCGACGGTACCGACGACATAAAAATACCGGTGGTGTTCCTGTTCACGCAAGATGCCTCAAAGTTACTGCTGGCGCTATCTACAGATACCAAACTGGAGGTGACGATTAGCGAACTCAAAAACGACTCCGAATTTTGGCCATCAAACGAAGAAGAGTCCGTGTTCCAAAAGTTGAAGGTGTCAGTGCAAGAATTCCTAAATAAACATACAGGTATCGTTTTTACCGACACTGTCGTCGTGGGAGATTTCCGCGCGAATATCGGAATAGATAAAATACAGATCAGTTACAAGCAAAATAAAGACAGCGATATTTACGTACCAGAAGCGACAACAAACCTACAGTGGAGTCAGATTAGGAAAGGCTTAATTAAATCGATATTGCATTCCGAAACCCAAGAACTGTATGTTCCCATAAGTATTTTGCGCATTTATTACCAGACATTGAGCGGTGCTTCGGCGGAAGACTTACGGAAATTCGACGTTACCATACAGACAACGTGGTTACTTCAACAGTTAAACATTGAAAATCGCAGAAAAAAAGACGACGACTTAGTCGAAGTCGGTGAAACACCAGAGCTCGCCAAAGAAGCGAAATTGGAGCAACTGAAGGCGATACTCGAGAGCACACTACAGTATGAAGTGGATAACGCGGCGTCTCCCACCGACGACCTAGTGATACACGGTGAGGACAAGACTAAGCCAGAAGTCATAATTACGGCGGATCGCCTCGACGGTACGGAACAAAAGTCGGACGTTAAAACAAAAAAGATCGCGGACGAATTGTGATTTTAAGTGTTAGGTAAATTATAAATTTAATACATCAACATTTGTGCAAATTGCTTGATTTTCGAAATGTCTTTTAAATTTCTGACTGTGAGAAATTGCTAGTCACGTATTAAGGATTGTCGTTAATTTAATGCATTTCACTAAGATTATTTCGTAAATTCTGCACTCATTTTTTTCGTTATACACACACAGCGTCACTTTTATATCATCTTTTTCATATCTGATGTACATTTTGTACAAATTGTAAATATTATTGTTTATATGGTTATACAGTTATAAAAAAGATGAATTTGTAAAATATTTTTATATTAATAGCAAAGTGTTAGTAAATGGTTGAGAAATTTTATTACAAAAGTCCGTCTTTGCTTTATCAAGAATCGCTGAAATGTGGGGAAAAGGTTACGCATCTTTCTGGGTGTTGTGAAATGTTGGGAAAAGGATACGCATCTTTCTGGATATTGGGATATTTCAGAAAGTTGTAAGCTACACGTGTACATTTAATTGGTAATGATGATAATAGTTCACATGTCAGATGGAGTCACATGTAATATGTTTACTAGATCGTGTGTAAACAATTCAGTTTTGCCGCCAAAGATTCGCACGTGGTCGTAATGCGCGAAAAATAATGAGCATACCGTCTGTAACTGTATGGTGGTTTATTGTACAGTTATGAATTTGCTCCAGTGATTACGTGACCTTTTCCACTGTACACTCTGAAATGGATAATCGAACACATCTTTGAAGCACCAGGAATCCGAATTAAACAAAATATCAATTATGTCGGTCTGTTCAATGGTGTATGTAGGTATGAACAACAACAACATGAAATTTTTACGTTCTGCACGAGTGTTGCACGAGAAACTGAAGAAATCCATGTGAAAATTGCTCTCAATGGAACATAAATATTCGTAAATATTGGTTGTCATTTGTCCATAACCTCATTTTAGATTTAGGTAATCGACAAATCTCTATTCTAAAAAATGACAAACGATTTCAGTATTATTTATGATAAACGATGAGGAACATAAATTTGAAATTCCTGTAAAGAACAAATTTTTGGCGTTCAGTTTAATGAGTAAGTGCAACTTTTTGTAAAATAGAAGTTATGGCTAGTTCATCATCTTCGCTATCGCTAGATGACGACAAAAAACTCTCCCAACGCAAGAAACAAATTCAAATTGTCGCACGTTTGTTTTGAAAATTTGTTAACTAGCAGCTCCACGAGCTCTCGGACCTCGTGCGTCGAAATTTGCACTGAGTGCGTAATTGTTGCATCACATTTGGCAATGGAAAACAGAAAATTGCCCTAAAATTACCAATAGAACGTAAAAATTGCACTCGTGCAGCACGAGTTTTGCCAATCGAAAACTCTATACATTCTGTTTTCTGTACAAAGTGAAAATAATGATAGACTCAATTTGTATGGGAAAACCACTGACGTAATCAGAAACGCCAGAGACTAGGGAGCGTTTCTCGATATGAGTAGTTCTTTGAAACCTGTAACCATTAAAAAAATGTTTCTTACATTTATTAAGATATACTTTGAGGAGAAATTAATTCGTTTCAATGATTTTCATGGGTTTTTTAGGTACACACTGTATATGCAATACGACAAAATCATGCCGTATAGCTACTGGTACGCATCTAACTTCACAGTTTACTGTCAAGTGTCAATAACGTCAGTTAAACTCTTAGACTATTTCTTTCCTTCTCTAAGGTTAAACTTTTGTTTGTATCTGCGTTTACAAAATTTTTCATTCCCGTTTGCTTTTACGAAAACTTTGTTAACTGTGAACTATTTCATTATGACCGACAAGGGAAAGTCCAAATCTTCCCAACCCTCTAAGAATATTCCGAAGGATGGTCAAGTAATAATGGCTATAATGAAAGAAATGGGCATCACGGAGTATGAACCCAAAACAATAATTCAACTAACAGAGTATGTTTATCGCTACACAACCGGCATTCTTGAAGAGGCACGCACCTTTGCGAATAATTGCAAGAAAAAGTTTATCGACGTAGAGGACGTTAGATTAGCATTAAGTTTAACAAACGAGGGCAGCTTTACTATGCCCCCGCCACGAGAAGTATTACTCGAATGCGCCCGTAATAAAAACAATACCCCTCTTCCGCTCATTAAGCCTCACTGTGGACTTCGTCTTCCACCCGATCGTCATTGTTTGTCGGCCTGCAACTACGTATTGAAGAGCAACGCTCAGAAGAAAAACAAAGTGCCGGGCACCGCTGGAGGAATTAAATTGGTAACGAAACCGATGGTCAGTTATATTAAACGCACAAATACAGCACCGCTTACAAAACAAACTGTTACAATTCCGAAACCCATCACAAACATAGCCAATCAACCGAAAGCTATACTAAAACCGAAAATACAAATACAACAGAACGTGCAAGTGATTTCCAGCAATTCTGCCTTACCGATGGAGATCGATAGCGGCATGTTAAAACGTAAACGCGAAGAGGACGATACAAATTCTTAACTTTGTAAAATGAAATTTATTAATAAAATACTTTTAATCTCTCCAATTATGCGAGCATTCGTGATTACAGCATCTGTAAAATGTAGTCATCGGTTCGTCGGCGGAACGGGTCTGGAGCTGCATAAAGTAGGCACGATGGTGACTGCACTTTGGGCAGGTTTCTTCGGTTGAATCTACGTTTTTCCATGCCTCCTCGCCGCCCAGGACGTCGTCGATTTCTTTTAGTTTGTAGTAGTTACGGTTGACGAGCGTTCTTGTAATGTTTCGAAATAACGGACATATCCTACATACAAGTCTCATTTTACCGGTCTCCGCTTCTTCTACGAATAGTAAGTTTCCACAAACGTTGCAAAATGGCATCATCTTGTTATAATTTGCTTAAAGTATCAGAAATTTAACGTTTATAGGTTATGTTGTCTTGTGATAGCAGTGTCTGGATTATCAACTAAAAATAGTGACGGTGGCTCGATAACCGTTAACTAGATTATTATAGGGTATTCACGAAATTGTTCGTATCTAACATCTTTATGTTCACATGATAGATAATCGCCGATGTCCAACATAAATCGGGGAGATGTTTACTAAAACTTTAGGAAAAGTTATGACTAACCCTAGAGTAAAGCCTAATTCAGATTTATCGAAACTAAAAATGTTCGAGTTTTAATATCTTCCGTTGGCTGACTTTGATCTTGACACGCACAATCTGGACCTACGAGTAAAAGTTTACTCGTAATAGACAGATATGACTCTCTCACTCTCATATGTTTATGCCTATAGGCTATATATGGGTTAGCAATCCGTAAAGATATGCAAAGAATCCTTAAGGTACCTTTGACAAACCTCTATTACATACTTGAATACTTTTTGAAGAATAAGTACTTGATAAATGTGTGAAGAATCATCGAGAATTCTTTGAAGAACAATATTATTATTTGATAACTCAAAAGATTTAAAAAAAAAGACGTGAATAGTCAAAACACATTCGAGCATCTAATTAAGAAATTTTTCATTAATTTCTTTTTTGAGCGTTTTGACTTGAATTCATTTATGAACTTCTCATTAGCATCTGGTAGTAAGCATGCGAAGCGTTAATCTTCAGCAGTTGAGTCCTTTGAGTCCATTATCGAAAATGGCCACATTCAATGTACAGAGTCGCTTCATTTCGTAACATCCTATGCACTAATAGCAATTTAACCTCACTTTGCTCTTTAACTTACAGTGAAATTCAACAAACCTCAAATTAAAAATAAAATGATTTTGCGAACCAAAATTCTACCAAAAACCATTTCAGATGGTGCAGTGACAATTTTTACACTTTTTATAGTACCAGTGGTATACTGGTTTGAACTATTCGTCGTTATGCCGACATTTTACAGTATGTGGAGTGCATGGTATACGTTTCATTTCGTTATGGGAACATTTATATTCGTGAACATATCCTCTAATTACGCAGCGGTTGTGTTAAGCGACACCAGTATTAAGGGAAGATTCCTTCCGACAACGAGACAACCGAATTGGCACTTTTGCGCTGTGTGCGAATCGCTGGTGCCTCCACGGTCCTGGCATTGCAGTGTTTGTAACATTTGCATTCTAAAACGGGACCATCATTGTATGTTCACGAGCTGTTGCATCGGCCACCACAATCAACGATACTTTTTGATGTTTGTATTATATGTGTTTATTGCGTGTTGTTATGCGACAGTATATAACGCGTTGTTTATGTGGACCAGATTTGATTTTTCAAGTTTCATCTCATTATTTAAGGTAGTGTTTCCATTACTCATGTTAATATTCGATTACTCCTACAATCAAATTTACCTGTTTCTATCTTTAATTTTATTTATTATCGGTATATTCACAGGCGCGTTGTTGTGTTATCACATTAACTTAGTATTTCAAGGCACTGTGACTTACGAATACAATAAGAATGTAAGAGAATACGATTTGGGATGTAAATTAAATGTTATATCTGTTCTTGGTGAAAGGTGGTATTTGGTTTGGACCTCTCCATTTACAGAAAGTAAGTTGCCAAGTGACGGCATCGTTTGGTTTAAAAAAGACTCGGTGAAAGCCAAATAGTTGCCAAATGGACTAATTTTATTGGGTCAAATTTAAATGTGATATGTGCACGTTCGTTTGCTCACACTCGATAGTTTAGTACCTACAATTTTTCACAGTTCATTTGTAAATAATTTTATAATAAAAATTGCAGATACTGTAATTTGTTCTTGTACCCCATATCTCTTATATACATATATGCCCCATATATATAAAATTATTTTAAATTGGACTTGTTTTTGCGCATGTGAAGTTAGCTCATCATTTTTAAAAATTTTACAATTCTAATTAAGAGTTCTGGAGGCCCCCATAAAGTTCTATAGTGCTTGATAAATCTTGGAAAAAGTGTTGACTGACAATTATAGTAGTTATACAAATCAATTTTGAAAATATGGAGGGCCAAGTTTTTACGCAGCCCCTCTAATGCGTCAAAAGTGAACTTTTTCTAGAGTTCTGAGAAAATCAAATAGTTCCTATAGTGTCAGGGCCTACCTATACGAAAGTCTAATTAACCTCAGAGAAAGTTTTAGAACTGCTGAGGGGCTCCCCAGAATTTAGTAAAAGCTCCAACGCTGCACACGAAAATCTGTTTTGTTTTTCTTAGTGCCGAAAGTAAAAATATCCTACAAGTGGCCAGCTAAAACTTTCTTTAGAGAAACTTCCAGAACTCTTGAAGAGGCTATGCGGAACCCCAACCATATCAAAACTAAAGAATATACTACTAAAAATGGTCAAGAATACAAAAAAGTAATTTGTTATATCCAAAACTGATGTTGTCAGAACTCTTAACTCTCACTAAGAAAATTTGTGTTTCGCAAAACGACATTACACAGTGACGGCATCGTTGGTGTAAAAATAACCTCTGAGAGCAAGATGGTCTTTAACATGGACTGATTTTGGGTATATTACAAATTTAAATGTAATATGTGCAACATGAGAGGTTTCACCCTGTATATACAACCTACAGCTACGATAATGCACACTTTTTTAAAGCTGGCAACGGCGCGACTTTTTTACAAGAAGGGGCGTGGTCTAGAGCACCAACGTTGACGGCTACGTAACGTTTGTTCTGGGTACGTAACGCCGCCGTAACCGTAACGGCAACTTCATTTTAACTTTTGTCACCAGCCTTGCAAGGCGTCGTGGTTATTTTTGCATTTTTTAATGCAGGTATAGTAATATTTGCACTTGCACTTACCAACGGAAATTAATAGTAGGTACAGTAGGTATAGAAATGAAAATCAAAGTAGGTACAGCAAACTTACAACTTTTTGAATAAACAATGAAAATAACACTATTATACTACCATAGTGTTTCATTTTGCGTTCCTTCCCTACCTTACTTCAGGTCATGGCGTTGTGCCTTAGATGTTTGATCACCTCCCACTTTTAGATTTCAAATTTAAGCGGGATCTGTTTAACTTTTGGAGGGGATAGCCATTTCGGTGAAGCTTGTTGGATTGTTGTTATTTACATATATATATAGGGTTATTTCGGTGTTACTGTAGTGTGAAGTTAGCGTAGAACCGGGAGGTTTTAGTACTTAGACCATACATGGTCTAAGGTTAAGTACACTCATACACTGCTACAATGTTAGCATAGTATGCCAGTTAGGGAGTACAATTTATTCTTTCACAATTTATTTGTAGTACTTACACCTAGATCATTTTTTTAAAATTAATTATAAATACTGTCACTTTGTGCTTATCCCTAAATCACAGGTACGCTATACGATTGAAAGCATTTTAAAATACAGCTTCCTCTTGATTATTTCGATTTCCTCTCATCTGTAGGAGTTCTCGGATTAGGCTCGTCTTTTCCCTTTCTAAAACTGTAATTCGTTCGCTTTTCTTTCCCACTTCCTGCAAATATAAGAATTAGCTATGATGACCTACATAGCGATACGTATCACCGGTATCAGTATCAATTAATCAAAACTCTAAGAATTTAGGCAACTTAAATAGCACCAAATGGAAATTTCACTTGATGTTTGAAATTTGTGGTTTATTGTATTGTGTAAATTGTTGATGCAGTACTTTTGTATATGATGTTAAACCTGACCTATCAGAAATTTCAGCTTCAAACCAGTGGCGTACGTAGAAATTTATTCTGGGGGGGGGGGGGATTAAACAAGTTCGTGGCACATACAGTCACCCAGTACGTACTAGAAGGGGAGGGGGGGGGGTAAGAAATAGAAATTGGGTTGCACAGGCGAAAAAGATTAGATTAGAATGGCATTTTATTTCTTACTGCTGACAGGCCCCTTTATTGCTTTTGCTTTAATTAGTCAACGAAAACTTTGAATAATAGGTATATTTATGGGCAAAAAACCAATTTCGACAAAAAACTCAAAGGGCTGTAACTTTTGATCTAGTAGTCCGATCTTGGAACTGTTTGAAATTATGGATTCTACAGGCCACATTCTATAAGAAAATATTTTCCGGTCGATCCGAGGTAATTTTTTTTCTGGGCAAAAAAAAGGCAGTGTATTACCTTCCTTTTTTCCCAAAAATCGACTGCACCAAAATTTCTCGGGGAAAAACTTTTTCTTATTAATTTGGGTGCGTAGAATCCAAAACGATTCGTACTTTTTCAATTAGACGTCCCAATCAAAAGTTATGGGCAAAAAAGCAATTCCTGTTTTTAAAATTTAAAATTCTTATTTTCGTCATTTCGTGAAAGGCAGGACGCAGGTACCTCACCTCAGTAGCAGTACTAAGTACCTTCATACCGTTCATCCCCCCCCCATAAATACGCCACTGCTTCAAACGTGTCTTATAAATATACCTCAATACTTTGAATTTGAAGGGACACATATAGGAGAACTGTAGGTATTTAGGTGTGAATGTGTTCTTTGAAAAGAAACATTTGCACATTACCTCTGTTAAAAGGTGGTTCTGTTGCTTTAACCTAGATGTCAGGTCGTGGTGCTGGGGATAATGGTGAACTGCAAGGTTCATATGGAGCGGTAGCCCTCCTCTTTCCCAACTGTCGGTTAATGCCGATAAATGCCTGTTTACTTCGAGAACTCGTGCCCTTTGTAGTTCCAATCTTTCTTGTTGAGATTCGGTCCATTGTTCCTGTAACATTACTATTTTAGAGTTAAGCATTTTTTTTCATTTGTTCTTTGTTAGTCCATCTATAATCCATTACACCTTTAATAAAATTCAAATTATTTCCAATTTTTACAAAAGCAAAATTTGTCCATTGTAAATAAAAGTCGTTGAGGTACTTGGTTAGGAGAAGTTTGCAGTTCAATAGTAAATAACGAAAGTCTTCTAACTGAGTCAAATAGGTACGTAATTATATGCAATATTGCACAGATGATACATTTGATGATGGAGTGATTAACCCCTTGCTGTTGTTCTCGACGAACGTTTCTTTATTATATATGTAGCTGTAAGTACAACAGCGAGCTTCTGTTTAGAATCGACAGATAATACACAGTAATCTCGAAAACCACTGAAGATATAAGGAAGATAAATGGGGAATTGTTTTTTGAAATCTACTAGTATCACCACCACTACCAGACTAAACATTTAGTTGGGCCAAATAATTTATTGGCATTCTGGAAGGGTAAGAGATACAAATTTGGTAAAATGGGAAAAAAGTTTTGCAATCAAAGGTCTAAAACGATAGCGTTTAGAAATCCCCTAAACATTTTTTGGTTTTTGAAATATCTGGAAAAAATCGATTTTTTTTAGTTCTTAATAGCTGACCTAGAGCAAAACTTTCCACGTCAATTTTTAATGCCCTTTAAGGTAGAGTTGTTAACTTTTTAATCCGACGTTTTGTTTTGTGGAACCATCTTCAACTTCATTTTTTTAAATACGACTCTGATATGCCAATATCATATTCCCAAAAGCCCTTTTTTTCTAAATTCAATGATGCACCTATAGCGCTGTCTGAATCGATTGAATTTTTTCCATTGCTGTCGATTACGCCACAACAAAAAGTTGACACCCTGTATATAGGAATAACGCATGGCACACAACACCTCCGGTGTGACGTTTCAACTTTGAAAACAAATATCAAACTAAGGTAATGAGGAAACCTATGGTGTTAAAATCGTAATTTGTGGGTCACTTTTCGAAAAACGACTTTCTGGGGGTTAAAAAATGGCCCTTGTGCTATCACGCTCGAATATTCTCCGTAGAAAGCACTCTCTCAATTTGAATAGGATGTCATTTTGATTTACTCCCTACGTATATGGTGTCGCGCAATTTGCCAACTTTTTCGAGCTGTAGGGTTGATTTTCAAAAACCACTGGCACTGGCAGGGGATGAAAATAGACCCCTGTGCCACCACTATTCACTAAGAGGTATTCGAGAAGGAAGATGCCTTGTACACGTTGTTGGAAATATAAGATTTAATTTGGAGAGTGGTCGTGTTTCATTTTCCGTTTGTAACCGTTTCCGCAGGAATATTTAAATCGTTTTTACAGCCGCCGAAAACTCTCTTACCAGGGCAGAAGAGAGAATCTATCTCGTTAGGTTTTCGGGTCATTATAATTACCCGTTTCAAATATTTCAAAAACCAAAAAATATTTAAGGGATTCAGTGGCCTCTTTGGATGTTATTTGGCTATTATATTTTTTTGATTTTTTTAGGATTTTGGGTCATGGTGTCAAAACTAGCCCCTTGGCGGAGAAGGATTCAAGTGATTCAACTAAATTAACTATACTTTGGTTGATTACTTATTGCCCAAGGAATGCTCTTTTCAACGATACCAAATTTGTTAAAATCGGTCAAACCATTAAGAAGTCAAAGCAAAAACAATTGAAACGCCCCACACCATCTTTGTTTTTGAAATAACTGAGTTTTTTGTGTTTACGAAAATGATAGATAAACTGGTTCTCTTTAAAAATGTGAAAAAAAATTGTTAGTTTATTATGCGAATTTAAAGAAAATGCAATTTTAAAATTTAAGATGGCAGTTACGCCCTCTGGTGGCCATTTTTAGAACTTGAAAATATTTTCCAGCGATTCTGACAGATTTACCCTCGGATTTACCCAATAATTTTTTTTTACCCCTAAGTCATACGACGAACGGTACCCGAGATATGGCCGAGGAACAGTCTGATTGAGTCATTATTACTATCCCGCGCGACTCTTTTTCGCGATCAGTGGATGACGGGACCTGAGGGTATTCTAATTAAAGGTCTCAAGGGAAGGAATTAATTTCTACCAACCATAGTCCTCCTTCTCGGTCCCTTGTTGTGATCGGGTATATTCCCTTATATCTCCAGAATGGATTGTCGGAAGAGGGTACTCACAAAGGACGTTTGAGACGTCTGGAAGAGATATATCCATTGGTGGTCAGAAAGTACTCTCAAAGGCAAAATAAATCGAGTGGACTAGACATATCTATTGGTGTAGTCGAAGCAAATACCTTGCCAATGAAGTGTCGGAAAAATGGGACTCGTAAAAGGCAAGTGGAACGTCAGGACGAGATGTTTCTATTGGTGATGTCAAAGCTTTCAGTGCAAATATCTGCAGAATGGAGTGTCGCAGGATTTTGAATGTATGCCAGGCGGCCTTTAAATGTTTATGTGTAAAGAGCCTCCTCTCCGTTAATCATCTACCAAGAAAGTAAACATGGGTAGCATGGTACTACCTTATAACCCAACCATTTACCTATTTCGGTTTCAAAAAATGCGCTTTATCTGCACAAGAGTTGTGCACAATTTGTACTTGTTATCTCTTAGTTCTACATTGATTTTTAGCGCATTTTTGCAAATTTATTTGTAAAAGGGTAGCTTTTAGTCTCACTTTGGTCGGCTGACTGGCTGGTAGCAAATGCGGGATGACATGACATGATGAATGATGTCGGGGCGCCATCCCCGAGCGTGGTTTACTAACATGGTGATTTTTCAGTTCTTTCCCATCTTCTTTTACAGTTTTGGTCCGATTGTTTTCAACTCCTGCGTGACGGAATTTTGTTGTTTTTTCCTAGGGGTGAAATTAATCACCTTTTGCGAGGCACGCGTCTACGAGAGGTAGTCGACTTCGAGCGCTCAAAAGTTACCTTCCGCTGCGGATTTTGTCACGCGGTTTAAAGATTCTTAGAACTCGAATCGCGGTCTCTCTCCTTGTGTCGCCACTAGAAGCTCGAGCTATGTGACCCAAAAATTGAGTATCTACTATTTTGTGGAGGGCTTTTTGCGAAATCCACCAAAATGGCGCATTTATGTGAACGGGGGGCGTCAGAAGTGGGTACCAATAAAAGGAATGTGGTATCCCCAGATGAAATCTTACTGATGGTGGCATCAAAAGTTCAAACGCGGGTACCGACAAAGAGAATGTGGTAGCCTTCGACAAGATCTTATTGATGGTGGTTAATAGAATTCCCTTCGATCTCACAGGAGGATTTTGATACTTTTTGTAATAGAATTTTCATACACAGGGTGGATACTAGAAAGGGCATAAATTGTTTAGGGTGGGCACTTATCCACCTACATCCACCATTGGCTATATGCCTGGTAGCGAGAAACTAGGTTTTCCATTTGTCAAAGGATGTGAATTCTGTGAAATTAATGATATGTTACAAGAAATCCGAGTTGTAATATGCGAAATATCTGAAATTCAGTGAAATATTCATGAAATTATCCGCGAAATGTTAGTTCATTACTTATATGAACTTTGGATGCAACTCAGACTCCACCTGCTAAAGTAGTGGTACTGATACCGTTGGAGGAGGCACGATAGATAGAAAATAGTGCTCACCAAGGGGTCTCGATCAACAATACATTTATATACAAAGCTCCAACCGATACCAATCTTTTCTCGCCTAATAAGAAATGGTCAAAAGCATTTGGGCCAAACAAATTGTTATTCTCAAACCGTAATGAGAACTTCCTACTTGCATAATGACCAATTTTGATATACCGTGTCATCAATAATATTAAAATGCGCAATTCACCGCAAGGGTGCCAGTGGAACGTTGCCTACATGAATGACTAAAAACGGTTTACAAATTGCAGATTGTACGTAATTCACCTGTTCGTTCTGGCATGAAGTCACCGCTACTTTAATTAAACGCCTTATGTATTCGTTTTAAGCAATATTTGCGGTCTACCCTCAAATTGACATCGGTACGTCATAATAAAATCGTAACTGTAAAATGAATTGAGGATACTTTCACTAATAGTATGTTACCGTCCATAAAAATGATTTAATTAGAAGCGTAAAAGTTTGCATAATGGGAAAGCAGTCGTGTACCTCCCATTTCCTTATAGGAGTAGATTTCATTGAATAATTAGCGAATCTCTAACTACGCTTAGTTACATTGTGTGTATGGGAATTTCTCTTGGTCGATAGTCGAAACTGTGTCAGTATTACTTACCAGGTGACCCATTCTTCCTAGATGTTTCATTTTTTCTTGTACGGCGGCGATTTGTTTCAAGTACCATTCCCTGGCCTTTTCGATTCCGCTCAATCCCTGCATGAGGACGTCCTTTTCCTGTTCGATCTGTTTCATCCTCTTCAGCATGTTGTAGTCGATTCCGTTCTGGAGAGTGTGTCGGCGCGGTTCTCTTCGGCGGACGTTGGGCTTCTTTTGATATAAGCCGGTCGTGGGAAGATCGGGTTGAGGGGCCGCCTTTCCATCCCCCAAGCTTCGGCCGGTTCTGGGCACGCCGACGTAGCGTTTGTCGCCCTTCATGTCCTGCTCGTTCATCATCAGGCCGATTTGCCAGTTTTGTAATGCCGTGCGAATTTCCGCCCTGTCGATGTTGCTTCCGCGTTCTAAGCCAACGGCCGATCTGGGGGGTTTGGGGGGACCGTAGAGCATCGGCTTGTTTATGTTTGGAACTGGTTTTTCAAAATTGTGAATGTCGCCGATCTCTTGGTCCTTAGTTTTGCGCTCGGTTATCAATTGAGGCATGCTAATCGTCCTTTGTTGGGAGATTATGTTATTCGGGCGTACGGCGGCGGTATTCGTCCATGACGGCGGTTTAGGTGGATTGTCTAAATCGAGCAGCGGAGCCGAAGGTGGACGGTTATTAGACTGACCGCCTACGTCTGGCGCCGCGCGCTGTTTTAACGGATTTTGATTTCGTTGCTCTACCTGATTTCGCAACAGGCAAATTTTCAAGCCGGCACAGAATCGCTCGAATGTTAGCAGACCGTTAGGGGGTGTCACTTTGCGCAAACTTTCTATGACACCTTTTGGCAACCCTTTGGAACCGTCGTCTTGCCATCTGTTTTCAATATCGGAAAATGTAACGTAACCCGTTTTTTTGTCGTCCATTATATCAAAAAGTGTACGCATCGCGGACACAAACTGTTTAGGTAAACTGTCGAGGGTGGACGACTGTAAGGGCGAACTCATGTTTGTTTACACAGAGCACAATGACACCTGCGATCTCGTCTGGTCTCGTTGCCTGCTGCACGCGCCCACTACACTATATGAACAAGTTTGTGTGTAGAAACGTGGCCAGGTGTATAACACATTCTGACCCACCTCTTAGGTATGCAATAGAGAGAGGGCATCTGCACACCTTCAGAATCAGATCGACCTTGGAAGTTGGATACCAACCACTTTATCTTTCTGCAGCAACCGTCGATTACTTTTCCTTTTACAGCCTTTCTTTACGCATTTTTAGTACACGCAATGATTGTTACACAACCACAATTGCCAGCAGACGGTAGGTAGCTCTCGACCCAGGACCAGTAAAGTACCAGCACACGCTTCAGTAATTAGTATACCCATGCGAAAAGAGGTTTGTATGTGCATGTGAAACGATTTCGAATTCGTCTAAACCAGTTAATTTGGTTTAAAGTGGTTCAAGTGGGTAGTACCAGAGCTTCTTCTGCTAATTATACCAACAAGACAAGAAGAAGCAATAAACTACCGACCTTATACAAATCATCAATTAACCACGAAGTATTTTATGATGTCTAATTTCTTATATAATGTCTTTGATTCACAACATGTTTGGAAGGGTCAAAATTTAGTTTCTTCACAGCCAGATGAGAACTACTTACAAGTCGTGGTACGCTTTACTTAAATACGGTAACGGGCAAAGCGGATTAAATTGGTGCCTTATACAACAATTTGCGACCCAAGAAGTATAACAATTACCAAAAAATTATCAAAGTCCTCGTGTGAGATCAAAGGACTTGACTCCTCCATCAGTAAGATCTCGTCGGGGATTACTATATTCCCTTTGTCAGTACCCACCTCCGACGTCCCATTCACTCGTAATTCGCGTTTGTAGTTTTGACTCCACCATCAGTAAGATCTTGTCAGGAGCAACCATGTTCCCTTTGTAGGTACCCACCTTTGACCATCCGTTTGTCCGTGCGCATGATAGTTTGTTTAGAAATTTTCGATCGCTTTGAAAATTGGTACACATGGTCTTAAGGATATAAGAAAGGTCCCTATTATTTATAAGTTACGTAGACTATCGAATCAAAAAGTTTCACTCCAGGATCGTTCGGTATTCAGTTGTATCGGATTTTTATATTTGATTTTGTGACTTTTGAGGCCGGAAAAAAATTGTCTGAGATCGACCGGGAAAACATTTTCTTATAGAATTTTGCCCGTAGAATCCATAATTTCAAACAGTTCCAAGATTTGGCTACTACTTCAAAAGTTACAGCCCTTTGAATTTTCTTTCGAAATTGGTTTCTATAGTCTATAAATTTTGATTGAAAAGCCTGATCGAAAAAGTACGAATTGTTTTGGATTCTACGCACCCAAATTAATAAGAAAAAGTGTTTTCCCGAGAAATTTTGGTGCAGTCGATTTTTGGTAAAAAAGAAAGGTTATACACTGCCTTTTTTTGAGCCCCGAAAAAAAAATTGTCTCAGATCGACCCGGAAAAAAAATTTTCTTATAGAATGTGGCCTGTAGAATCCATAATTTCAAACAGTTCCAAGATTGGGCTACTAGTTCAAAAGTTACAGCCCTTTGAATTTT